CCTCTTGTTGCACTCCGGCGCCCGCTCTGCCTTCGGGGGGGGGGGGGGGCCCCCGCCGCCCGGCGACTTAAGTGCACAAAAACACGTTGGAAGCCAGAATTTTCTCGCTGCCCCTGCCAAATTCCATCGGGATCCTGGGGTCTTCTCCTGCAAGCTGTAGTAAATGTAAATTCGTGGCACACAGGCACCGGGGGGTTCCACCCCAGTCGCTTGCCCGCACCGTTCATGGGGCTAAAGCCCGCTGAACTGATAGCGCATGCAGTAAAAAGGTCCGGTACCCCCCCCCACACACCCTTTGTGCTTCCCGGTGATTGCCTTTTAAAGGACCTGACATTTTGCCATTATGTGAAATGCCTTTTTATTTTTGTCTCACATTTCCGTGAAGATTCATATTTGGCACAAGTTCTTCTTCAGCCTGAAGAAGTGGATAAATGATTATGATTTAGAACATTTGTTAATAATAACACGTGCTGTATATACATATATTTTGTGTGTTCTTTTTTGGAGAACCTTTGATCAAGTGGGATTAAAAAGCAGTAAACGTAATCAAGCTGTAGGTGTCATTCATTAGCGCAGAATGTTTTCCTCAGGTCATCACATATTTTACTTTTAAGACGTCTGCTTGTGCGATGCCCCCGAGATGGGGACCGGCCCTCAAGTTCATGTCTGTCTGGGCTGGATCATCTAAATGAAGCCCTCTTTGTTTGTAAAATGGCCTTAGATGGATTTAGTACCTGTTGCTAGGTGAGCAGGAGGGATAATGAAGGGATGAAGAAGGCGTGTGCAGTGTCACGTTCGCTTTGATTCCAAGGCCCGGCCCATTCACAACCACCTGTTAATAAAGACGCGGGACGCTATTGGGCGCAATCAAAGCCCCCTTCAGCTCATTTCCTGAGTTCTCTGGGCGTTCTATCTCCTGTCAACAGAACCACAATGAAACTTTCCCCTCAGTGATCCCTGAATATCAAAGACACTGACGCCTCCGGCTCCCAACGAGTGATGTGGTGACGTTGGCGTTTGCCTTTTCTACCTGTTCTGCTTCTTCCACCACTTTGTCCGTCACGTCATTTTGAGGACAAACTGCACAGTTCTACAATTCTCACAAACGCAAGTATGTCGAGGAAGAAATGCTTTGTATTACCATCCTCGAACATCCTTAAATGTTGATGTTTTTTTTAAATTAATTTGAAATCCAAGCAAATTTGAAGGTTTTTCAAAATGACTTAAATTCACCTTTTATAAATGACTCATTTTTTTTCATTACATATCAGGTTCCCATTTGACTGTGGCAGGTGTTGACGGACGCAGCTCCGTCCTGTCCCGTCCTTGTGCACCGCGGACGTCTGTCACCGAGCGGCATATGCTGCTGTTTGTTCTGCGATGACAGAACTGAAGCTAATTAGAGAGACGTGGTGTTGCCACAGGAAGCGAGCGGACTATTCACTGCTCTGATTAGTTAGTTGATCAAACAAGGACTGTTAGAAAACCTTGAATTCCCTGGAAATGCAAATATCACCAGTTCAGAGTGGAAATGGAGACAACGTCCCACTCGAGTAGAACCACAATACTTTTACAATTAGTTTATTTAAATTACTATCAATTTCTGTGCTAATGTTGAAGTACGTTAACTGTTATGTTTGGATCGGTTCGATACAATTAGAATGCATACATTAATATAATTGAGTCAGTATTTATATCCTTATAGTTTCATATTCATTAGTTTGATTATTTTTCAGTGCTTCCCAAGACTCAAAACTCGTTCAGTTCTTCTGACTTGTGTTATACCAGACCTCTTTGGCCTGTTTTACCCTCATTTCCGATAAGTAACTGTTACTGAAATAAAAGCTAAATATAGAACGTAATTACAGCAGAAGGTGTAACTTTTCTAAACTAACAAGGCTTCACGCAGACAACACAAGGGCGGCTTGTTGCACTGATGTTTCTCCCAAATGCCCTGTGAGATGGAGTGCAGTTTTAATACAACCTAATGCTGCTGTTGAGCAGTTTCTTAGTACCCGAGGTGAGATTAGCCAAAGAGATCTCTTGCAGCTTGATGCTCAGACAGTGTGACTAAATCCCTCTGATTGAATTGAACATAACTAGGACAGACTTGCAGACACGGTGACGCCCACGCGCTCTCGGGCACGTTTGACACGCACCTCAAAAATAAGAGTTTGTGCACTGTTAACCTTCAATTGTTTGGAAAAGTCTCTTCTGCACAATTCATAGAATACAATTTAGAAGTATATCTCTGCTGTAGACAGACTGTGTTCAGAATAATAAAAACAAAGTTGATTAATGGCTGATTTTAGTCGTGTAACATCCCTGAAGGTAATTATTCTGTGGCTTAAAGCATGTCTCAATAGCCTTCATCCCATTATCAATAAATCCGTTTTAAACATACATTTATTAAATAAAAAATCATCAGCCATTAACATATGTTAATAGACATAAAACACGATGTTCCTCTGACTGCGACATTAAATAAAGCAGATCGGATCCAGGAGCTGTCAAGACACCAGAAGATCAAAGACGTGGCCAGAGCATGTGCAGCATAAAAGAGTCGGTGAAAATGTATTTATAAATGTATTTGGATGTGCTTGCTGTTGCTGTAGAAGCTCAGAGAAAGGAACCATTCATTACTGAATCAACACCATGGCTTTATCATTCAGTCGGCTTTGTCATGTCTCCGGCCTTTTTTCACCTCTTGGTAAATAATCCAGCAACAATTCAAGGAATCACGAGTATGAGTCACAGGATCAACATGTGTTTAAGGACACGATCAACATGTGTTAAAGGTCCCCACTCATTTTTGTATTTGTTTTAGGCAGCAGGAGACTATTGCTTCTTTTGGGAGTAAATGGACGCCAGCAGAACTTATTTGTGTGAATTAAAATACGCTCAATTATTTACAAGCTGGGACAAGTATAGCGTAATTCTACACTGAATTAGACTGGAATTAGTTTTTTCAAAAGATGCCTTTACCAATGAAAGAGCAGATTTGGTTGTTAGTAATTGTGAAGCCTCTTAATAGTGCATTTCTACTGTTTTGTAACAGTTTAAGTTCATATTTCTAATGATAATAATGATGTAAAATGTGCTAAAGTGTTATCATCATTAGGGCTGCATTAAGAATTACTTGCATTGTCAAGTCATTTCTTTGTTTTTCTACTATTTAAAAAAAAAAATTCTATCTATAAAGTGTAAGAAAGGTAAAACATTATTTAACAAATAGAAAAAGGGAAAATTCCATAGATTTGAGAAGTTAAAACCAGAGAATGTCTTGGCTTACTGGACTAAAAGTTTTACCCCTAATAATCCCTTCGATGCGACGGACTGCTGACTCTTTCTGTAAGCCGGCCTTTGCTTGAAGATATTTGATTGGCTCTGGTCATTTTTGCTAAATGCTGCTCTTTATTCTAAGTCGAGGTCCAATGGAGACATGAAATAGTTCCGAAAACCTCTCAAAGGATGAATTGTTCATTCGTAGTGTTGATTCATATCGAGCAGCGTATATTTTGTTTGCACATTGCTGGAGAAATGTTTGCCTTCCTTTTGCGGAAGAGTTTCATCATCAACAGTAAACATGTTCACTAATGTTAAAGCTTAATAAGCAATGCATGCTGGTACGTGTAGTTACTGTCTGACAATGATGTTGTTTGTGTTCATGTTGGTGGCAGACAGGAGTGTTTAAAGGTTTCCCAAACTTCTTTTTCTGGCTATTCACTTTTTTACAGAGCAACCAAAATCACAATATGGGTCTTTTCTATAAATTGTGAGATTCACCATTTTTACTATCAACTCTGCATCACTTTATACACAATAAGTACGTAAATACATTTGAAAAATGTCACTCTTTTTTTAATTTGACATTGGAAACACTTGAAGTATGTCCAATTCATTCAAACAGGATCCTTTCATTTCCTCTCACCGGTTAAACAAACTGTATGCTCTCCTTTCCTATTAGATTTAATGTTAGCTACAATGCAAACATTTACGTGGCTCAGAGGAGATATACATGTTGAATTAAAAATTAAATCAAATCTCCTGCGGCACTTCACCATTCTGAAGCACGCTGGGATTCGGATGTGGATTCAGTTTTCAGAGAGGAAGGATTTCCCTTCATTGTGTAAAGCGTGTGTGTCGCCAGTGACACGGGCCGGGACCCCCTGAGACAGACAGCATGTGTATCAGCCGTGTCTCACTGAGTGGATCTAAAGGTATAGTGGCTGACGGACTAAAGACATCTCACCCGTCCTACTTGAGAGGTGACTGCAGCTTACAGAGAACAGTGGTATTATCTAAAGTAATGAGGCCTCTTTAAGTTCAGTGCTCCATCGTCTTTATTCTGCCTGCATGTACCTCTCAAGCTTATTCCACTGATTGTTTCTAAGGCTCGTGGTGTTAAAGGTGCAGGTTATTTGTGCACAAAAACCCAGAGGAGATTATACAGTGCAGATGATTTTGAGGTGCACGTTTGGATCCCCGGAGCAGGTGGGCTCAGCTTGAATCCTCTTAAACCTTGACCTCCTCTTAGTCTCAGGGTGTCAACAAACAAGGAGAATGAACTGCGTGGGTCGATATGAGGAGAACATGGAGTACAAGGAGTACATTTCTCCATATCGTATTTGAATTGTTAAATGCTTGCAGGTGACTCTGACATAACAAAATATGTATTTTTCTCAAAGACATAGAAATGTGCTAAAAAAAGAACTGTTCAATCTGGTATTTCGTTCATTCAGTGAAATCAGGATTTGTCATTCATCATCCATCTCATTGAATGTCGGGGATTCACGTGAAATAAAAAGGTGGTCCTTCTCCCCAACGACGTGACCCGTGCCTCTCTTTTTCCATTTGCTGCTCACAGTGAGATTACCCCCCCCTCCCCTTCACTCTCGTGGATAAATAGCCAGGCGCGCTGCTTCTCGGGGTAGACAGCCCACTTTGCACAGCGGGGACTCTCTAGATCCTTCAACTGTTAGAACTACACAAAACGCCCGGTCGTCTTTAACATGTACTCAAACAAAAACGAAGGACCACGTCGAGGAAGATCTTTTGACTCCATGAACATTGGCTACGAAGAAAAACTGCTGAACAATGAGGTAAGAGCTTCTTTGTCTCTATAAACAGGAAGATGAGGATGTTTCTCTCTGCATGTGAAGTGTTGAGACCATCGACCCGGTTTGTTTTAGTAAATAAGCCTTCACTTTGCACTCTTCTGTGCAGATTAATGTAAGCCGTTTTGTTGCAGTTTAATTTGCGTCGTAGGAATAAAAGGGTTAAAGAGAAATACCTCCCAAGTTTATAATATAACGAAGAGGCTCGTTATTCCTCGGTCCGTATTCAACATTCACTGATTTACACAGTAAAAGACAGAAGGGATTAAAGATAAACCGATCAACCTGCCCGCTGCGGTGTCTCCATTGCGCACGCGGGAAATGACGCTGACAGGACACATTAGTTGAAAGTAGTAGTAACAATTAATTGATCTAATTGCTGCCGTTGATAGATTTATTCTCTTTTTCAAAATGTGTTAGATGGGACCTTCACCTGCAGGCTCTCAAACATCTTAAACACGGGACGATTTCTGCATTTCAGGACAACAATTCTGCTGGAATGGATTGACAGAATGAAATATGTCTTCCCCACAATGAAGAAATGTGTAGCTGTAACCAGGTGGCAATTTAGTTTCAAATCAACTTTTACGTGCATATTTTTTTAAGTTCATAAATAAATAAATCCATAAATCTGACGTCAAGGAATAACTATTTGAGGAGGAACTCTCGTGCGTAAAAAGCGGCGCGCGCGCGGTGATTAAACGTTGCCTAATGTCTGCCGGGGTCTCAACGCAGAGAGCTGATCGGCTTCCCCTCTGTCTAAATGAGATTGCAGTAAGGCGATTCTTTGAGACACAGACGTGTTCATCTTCGTTAAACCGAGACGCGAGGAGTTGACCCTGCGGAGCGTGTTGATCCACTCTCCGTGCGAATGCTCTCAGGGATGCTACCGACAAGAGTCAACCGAAAAGTGATCTGCCACGCCGTCTACTCGGTGCTCGAGGGGCGGAATATGGTAGGCAGCTGAATTAATTCAACAAATCATTCCCTATAGGAGTATTAGATACTATTTCCAAAGTGTATTTGTGTGGTTTGGACGACGGGAATAAAGCGCAGTGTCGGATTCAGGTGTGTCTCGAGACTAAACGAGCAGGAGAGATTAGCTTTTCTGTGCCGATGGCGTGTTAAAGTCCTGCTTCTGAGATCTCGTTCAGGATTACTGGAATTTTCCGCATGTGCAGCGCGCACAGCCGGTGCGTCAGCGCGAGAGCGCTGTTCAGGGTGCTGAAACACACCGCGGGGGGGTTTGGCCCCGAGGACACTAATCTCAGCCCTGTCTTTATGTAACTAGCGCATCACTGTCAGCTGCTTTCATCAGTGCCAACGTAAAGCAACAAACCCACGTTACATGTTTTAGGGGGGGGGACAAAAATATCCCGCGGCAGTTCTCGGTGCCTCGGAGCTACTTAGTCGTGTTCGAGCGTGTTGCATGTTTAGTATAAGATGCTCTTAAGTGATTAGGAGTTGTGCTTCCAAGTCATTACCTGCCCCGAGTGTGTCACTGAGTCACGTTAGCCGCATTCTTAAAGGGTTACTGAAGTTAAGCAGCACAGAATGTTTCCACACTACTGTCAACGCCGCTGCCATGAAGTTCTCTGTTGGCAATTCCTTCTTTACCTTTAGGCTCTAAAAAATTAAATTTGCATTCACTTTCATCTAAATGAAATAATCCCCATTTGCATTTAAACATTTGGTAAGAGTTGAATGTGTTCCCATTAGCATTGTTCTGTTGAATGAAGACGCTTCCTTGCAGTTACACATGAAAATGAGTGTTTCGTATCGGTTTTCAGATAAACAAATCGACCTTCACAAAAATTGAAGAAAACACTGAAAAAAAGAATACATCAGAGAAGGGACGAGCGACCATTATCTTTTCCCTCAAGAATGAAGTGGGAGGACTAGTTAAGGCGCTCAAACTCTTCCAGGTATGGGTCTGATCAATTTACTTGGTCCTATCAATACAGTCCCTAAAGTATACAACCATATGTCAATACCTGTATTGACATAAATACCAGTAAGCTGTTGATAACTCATGAATCTTCATGTCTCCTTCCAGGAAAACCAGGTGAACCTCGTTCACATAGAGTCCAGAAAATCCAAACGACGCAACTCTGAGTTTGAAATCTTTGTGGACTGCGACAGCAACCACGAACAACTGAACGAAATAATCCAGCTGCTCAGAAAGCATGTGAACGTGGTGGATATGGACCCTCCAGATAACTCCTGTCTAGACGAGGAAGGTAAAGGAAATCCTTCAGACGGCACATTAGAAAACGTATCGCATCGGGCCTTATCGTCAGGAAAAAACTCATTCATTCTTCTCTTTCCTCAGAAATGTATAATGTACCCTGGTTCCCAAAGAAGATTTCAGACTTGGACAAGTGTGCCAACCGTGTCCTGATGTACGGCTCTGAGTTGGACGCCGATCACCCGGTACGTCGGCACATCCTGTATGAATGCAAAGCCACGAATTGAAATGATCCTGACCTGTATTTATTTTGCTCTCCGTCAGGGTTTCAAGGACAACGTCTACCGCAAAAGGCGAAAGTACTTTGCTGATCTCGCCATGGCCTTTAAGCAGTGAGTTCTCGCTGTACATTTGAACGGGCCGTTTCTCCTTGATCCCCGTGTAATTATTCTCTCCTGCTGCAGCGGGGATCCCATTCCTCGTATTGAGTTCACCGAGGAAGAATTGAAGACTTGGGGAGTCGTGTACAGGGAGCTCAACAAGTTGTACCCCACCCACGCCTGCCGTGAATACTTGAAGAACCTGCCGCTGTTGTCCAAATACTGTGAATTTCGGGAGGACAACATCCCTCAGCTGGAAGACGTATCACGCTTCCTCAAGGGTAGGATTGGTTTGGGATTTTTGCAAATCGGAATTTGCATGAATAAACAATACAAAAACAAATCTTGTCCGATTTGTAAAAGCAGTCATTCACTCATCTGCCTTTCAAACGTCTTGTCTCATCAGAGCGGACCGGATTCACCATCAGGCCGGTGGCTGGATATCTGTCCCCCCGGGACTTCCTGGCTGGTTTGGCCTTCCGGGTTTTCCATTGTACTCAGTATGTGCGACACAGCTCCGACCCCTTATACACCCCGGAGCCGTGAGTCACGCGCAGCGAAGTAAAACGCGGTTATTCACATGAAGCTGTGGGTTCTAATGTTGGGTTTTCTTTCACCGCGAAGGGACACGTGCCACGAGTTGCTGGGTCACGTCCCACTTCTGGCAGAGCCCAGCTTCGCCCAGTTTTCACAGGAGATCGGTCTCGCATCGCTCGGGGCGTCAGACGACTCGGTTCAGAAACTTGCCACAGTGAGTTACGCGGATCAAAACAAAATTCAGGCTCATACTCTCCACTTTTCAATCTCGAACATTTTTCGTAATTGCTTGCGTTTATGTTACAGTGCTATTTCTTCACGGTGGAGTTTGGCCTGTGCAAGCAAGAAGGGCAGCTGCGAGCATATGGAGCAGGACTGCTGTCCTCTATCAGCGAGCTGAAGGTAAAACATATATTGTGGGCATGTGAACAGTGTCCCACGTGACATTTTCCAATTGTATTTATCATAAATGTACCAATTATATAAAAAAGTACCAGCGGTATATTACCTATACTCCATCCTTCTAACCAGCCAAACCTATTAAACTTTGCTTTAAACATATACTGGATTTAGCAAATCATTTTTTTTTTATAGCTATTATTGAAAATTTTAATCCTTTATTAAATGTCATCATTACAGATACTTGAAAAAACAATAGATGTTTCTCTAAGAGAACCACTCTTTCATCTGAAGTAGCCAAAATACAAAATGATTTGCATTCAATGAAATGACCCAAATGTGTGCTGGTGTCTCAATCTCATCTCATCTCAATTATGTTTCTCTGTTACAGCATGCGCTATCCGGCAATGCAAGGATAATGCCCTTTGACCCCAAAGTTACATCCAAGCAAGAGTGCATCATCACAACATTTCAGGATGTGTACTTTGTGTCAAACAGCTTTGAGGAGGCCAAAGTCAAGATGAGGTGAGCGACACGATACATCCGACAGAAATCCTCTAAATACAACACGTTATTCAATAATGATATTTACGTTCATTTCAGGGAGTTCGCCAAGACCATCAAGCGTCCCTTCACAGTCCGATACAACCCTTACACCCAGAGTGTGGACGTGCTAAAAGACACCCCCAGCATCAACAGCGTGGTGGAGGAGCTTCGCCACGAGCTCGACATTGTCGGCGACGCCCTCAGCCGGCTGAACAAGCAGCTGGGCATCTGACCGCCCGCGTTCAAGTTCAAGTTATCCATTAGTTGAAGTTATTCCCCCCCCCCCCCCCCGCTGTAGAGATACTGCTTGTGTATCGCCCTTCGTCAGTACAATGAATGTTCTTTTGTTAAAACGCTGCTTTGTCCCCACTGCGAGGTGTATTGCTTGTACAATTTACAGAGGCGCGCTTCATGTTCATGTGTGCGTAAGTTGCAGAAACCCGAGGAGTCGCTGAACGCGAGACGCCGTTTCGGTTTCGGTTCACTTTTCTTTGCTCAGTCGGCTTCTGAATCCCAAACAGTCAACGTGCTTTCGTGGTTCTTTATTAGCTTTTTATCCCCAGCTGTTACAAACACAGGAGGTGTTTTCCGCATCTTATAGTTAACTCTGCTGTTGTATATGATCATTTGAATTGTTTTGTATCCCACGTCATTCTTCCTCACATTTAATCTTCCGCTCTACAGTGATATGTATCAGATTAATTCGTTTGTATTCTTTCAGTCTATGTATCATGTTCCTTTTTGTGGGCTGTTTTCCTGTGCGACCTGGCCCATTAACCCTGACCGATTTTATTTCACAGTGATGATTTTGAATTCCTCCTCTCGGACGTGAAAATAATTGTAGTGCTCCTGAAATCAAAACATTATTTTTCTACTGTAAAGAAATATATACATTATGATTAGGCTATGTATGAAAACAATAAAAACAATAAAAAATACCTTGTGTGTCAAACAGTTTGTTACCAGTAGTTTGTCACTTTGTATGGTTTGGTTATGGATGCTGAGCATCAGGCGGATGATGATGATCATGGAGAAAAAGAATGATAAGAGAAGGGGATTGAAAGTGATGGCAACATATGTTATATGTTATCTAAGAATAATTATTCCGTTGAGCCAAAAACCATGTAAAAGTCCATTCTGAAATAGAATAACACTGACGGAAATTTGTGGCGTTGGTGTCTTGGACATTGAATCAGTGACTGGCTCAATGTGTTGGTTAAGTTTATATTTGGGATACACATCACATCACGTCACGTCAAGGTATTTTACGTGACGTCCCACCTGCAGAACCAGAACAGAAAGTACTTCTGTCAATCTAAAAAGGAGAACTTTTTAAAACAAATTAAAACAAGTAATGTTAAATAGGATCTTTATCTAATTCGAGACCTAGTTGCCAGTATTTAGGATACTTTTACACCTTGTTCCAATTCATACAATCTATTTAACTTTAAAAGTGCTCTGACAATAGTAAATAGAGGTGTTAATACATCATCACGGTCATTTGAAGGACTGTTTGTGGTGTTCTTAAATACTTGTCAAAAGCGGTCACTTCTTTAAATTCGATTCGCAAACCGCTTGCTGCGAGACAACATGCTTTACGACAGTGTCGCAAATCATGATGCAACTTCACTCATGGAAACGAGCCCGCGGACGGAGTTTTGTTTGCACTCTTGGGTAAGTGTTTTGTTTCTATATCCAACTTTTAAGTGCTAAAAGTAGCTTATGTCTGACCTTGTCGTGAAATGATCTTAAATGCTTACCACCGGCATAGTGACACTTCAACGCGCGAAGTTAGCATAGAACTTTTGCTGAATTTAGCTAATCGGTTAGCCGACAAATAAGGTCCGGCTAAAACGCGCTAGGAACAACAACGAGCCGGTAAGCTTCTTTTAACGGACATCTCCTAATAATGACCTTGTAGTAACGTGGAGAACATTGTGTCCGTCAGGGAGCTAACAGCTACGGGCAGCTCGGACAGGGGCACGTGGAGGACCTGTCGGAGCCCCGGCTCGCAGACACCGCCGCTCTAAAACACACTGCTTTACGGGCCGTCAGCGGGGGCGGGGGTCACACCGCGGCCCTTTCCGGTAGGTTCATGTTTGCTGTCTGCTGCATTCCTGTGAAACACAAGCTTGACAACATCTCCCCAGGACTGACTAATGCTACATTCACATGAATCAAGCAGACTATATGACGGACACCACTTTATGGATGTTCATATATTTTTTTTACCGTCCTGCACTTTACGCTCCACAACATTATGAATGGATATTTTACAGCCTGACGTCATGTGACTCAAACAGTGATCATTTAGCGCCCCCCAGCGGACAAGTGTTAGTGTTTATTGTTGATGTTGACTATATTTAGTCAAGATCGTCAACCATCAAAAATATTCATAGAGACACACATTTGTACAGCGGAAAAAAGATCTTTGAAGTCAAACACAACACAACACAAACAAAACACAGCAATTTACGTGTCCATGTAATTTTAGATGCATTGCACTCATTTTAATTCAATTTATTCATAATCGGAATGAGTTTAATATATTCTCCTAAATGGAGGCTTATGGGAAACTAAAATAAGAAGTACATTCATGGTTTGGAGTCAGTGTTGTTTCACACGTAATCAACGTTTTCTCCCAAGCTCCATGGAATTGTCTAATGTAAATGTTTTATACGTGAAATGCCAACTCCGTTCTCTGGTTCCCAAATGTGTGTGTGTGTGTGTGTGTGTGTGTGTGTGTGTGTGTGTGTGTGTGTGTGTGTGTGTGTGTGTGTGTGTGTGTGTGTGTTTTGTGTTGGACAGAAAGCGGAGAGGTGTTTGTGTGCGGACAGAATCACAGAGGCCAGCTGGGACTCGGCCACAATGCAGACGTCTCAACTCTCCAACTCTGCCCCAGTCTGAACCAAAGGGTCACAAAAGTAGTCTGTGGTTGGGATTTTACTCTTCTTCTCAACGGTTGGAACCACTTTACACCAGGATTCAATGCTCTGGTTTACACATGTGTTGGAAGGATACTTTGATTAAAAGCATGTACTCTTGAGCAGAGTTATATCATGTATGTATGTATGTATGTATATGTGTATATATACACACACACGCAATTGAGTATGCCAGTCTCATTCATTTAAGTAATACAACCCACATGTTCTAAAATAAAGGGCCAAATTCTTAATGCAGTGTTTTTAAACTCTTCTGGAACCTCTGTAGAAATACAACTGGGTTGAGTTGTTAAAAAACATGAATAGCAGACGAAGCCTAAAACTTCCTTCTGCTTGGCAAACTCTTTAATATTATGTAATAAATGTTTTATTTACAAAGGTGTTTCTTCTTTTTATCACACGGACAGACTGTGGTGGAATACTAGCGTGTGGCTCCAATGCTTATGGACAACTGGGGGTTGGACCCAACGTCTCCCACTCGGCAGAGCTCCTGCTCGTTGAGGTGAGCACATGAGCAGCGTGTATTTGACCAACTTCAGAGAACACAATACAACCAATCTGAATGTAATTTGCAAATCAAATCTCTGATCAAACTGCTGCAAACCAACTTCACGTCATGATCAGTTGATTTTCATGAAGATGCCCCTGTATGCTTGTTCTCAGAGTCTGGGGGAGCCGGTGGTGAGTGTAGCAGCAGGACTCAGACATTCGTTAGCCGTTACTGGTAAGTTTTCCTTAAAAAGCCCATTGGTTTCAGTTTGTAGTCATCTCATCAATAAGTCAATCCTTTTTGTCTCTTGTGCTCTCAGACTCCGGCCGCGTCTACCAGTGGGGTAGCGGTCTTTACACTCACGCTAAGAGAGCCCTTAGTCCACGTCCTGTCCCAGCACATCTCCGCTCTACGGTGCCAGTTCTGGTTCCAGGTAGGTGAAACTATGAAAAAGTTCCAGGGAAGGAGTTTTTCAGGCAGTGCGTGAGTTACATCTACACCGATAACGGTGTCCACTCACTTGTGCATAATGTTGCAGGTTTGGATCAGAAGACCTCACACAGGGTAACTGCAGGCTCAGCGCACTGCGTGTGTCTTACAGGTAGGACGTGTGTGTGTGTGTGTGTGTGTGTTACACTCAGGCAACAAATAAGTTGACCCATCCACTTAAATGAGTAGCCTAAGATAAAAAAAAAATATGTAAAAGCTTTTTTGGATGTAGGAGTCGCAGGAAGACGTTTGCTTCCAAACCTGCAAACTTCTTCAATCAAACATTCCCAGTTTTATGGAACTTCATTCTCTCCACATATTCCTGCAGTACACCACCAAATCAAGTTAAAATGGGAACTGGAACTTCTCTTATTTATATGCAGCCTTTAGTAAAACAAACCGGCATGTTAGTGTAAATTTGACTAAACAAACGTCGGTGAGGCTGTAAACTACAAGCACAGACCTGAAGCCATTTCTGCTGCTTCTCTTTCAGGCTGAGCTTTAGTAGCAAAGACATCCAGGGTTTTACTAGTGAGTCGTCTTCCACTTTGTGTTCCTATCTGGCCTCCCGTCTGTCCTGCAATTAGTCGGCCAGTAACGCACAATTACCGCCGCGCCTTTTCCTATTGCTGCCTCTCCCGAGCGTTGAATGACGTCCATCCCGCCTGGTGTGCAGGAGACGGGGATTTGTTCCTGTGGGGAAGCAACAAGCGTGGCCAGCTGACCGGCACAGAGCCCTTCCTGTCCACGCCGACCCCTGTGAAGCGCTCACTGCTGGGCGGCGAGAAAGTCGCCGGCGCGTGGAGCGGCTGGACGCACGTTGCCGCTCAAACAGGTGAGCGGCGCGCATCGCGTCTGTGGTGCCCGGCGGTTTTAACAGGGCCGAATGGCAACGTTGTCGTTGTCTGAACGAGGTCGTCACTCATTCATTTCAGAAAGTGGACGAGTGTTCACATGGGGCAGAGGGGATTATGGGCAGCTGGGCCGACGAGCATCAACCCGTCAGAACCCGACGTGCCCGTCACCGGCAGGCGGAGACCAGGAAGCTCGCCTCCCTGCCGAGGTTGCCGGCCTCCGCGGAGCGACACAGGTCAGCGCTTTACACCGACAGACTGAAAACCCTCCGGGCCGCATTGTTTGCTACTGTTGTGGCTTTTGTCCTTTTTGGGTTGTAGCAGAAAATGTCAAAGTCAGACCTGCAGGGGGCAGCAGGCCCCCATAAATAGGTAGAGGAGGGTCCTTTTTTTTAAGAGAAGCTTTTTAATGATTAACATCTATGGTGCAGAGCTTACACATGCTGACAGAGGACCACTTACATCTAGATCGGTTCTCCCATAAGGGCAATTAAATGGGAGCATTGTGGTTGCAGCCGTTGACCTGAAGCCTAAATGGCAGCTGCATCGACGGAGATTGTTGCCAATGAAGTGGTTGCCGGTGAGGAACCGGGGCGAGCTGTGGATCATTCTCCCACAGCGCCGGCGTGTGTCAAGACTTTGTCACCTTGAGTGTGTGCAGCTAAAGGCAAGATGGATTATGGGATCATGAAGCGCTCAGCCCACCCTACCATGATGATGATGATGGTCCCCCCAACACTGTCACGGGTCAATATTTATTAGACTGTCTCTTTTTATGAGGCCTATGAGCATTACTGGAGTAATAAATTATTACCTGTCCGTGGTTCAGGGATCAAAGGGTCGATGTGTACGGCCTCCGTTGTATACTTTAGCAAGAAAAACATTGCTGTATCAAACCAGTTCAAACGTTATAAGCAAAGATTTATATCAGATTTTACTCTTGTTGAGCCTTGTGGATTTCATAGAGATGGAAATGATCCCCTTTGTGCATCTGTTATGAGGAGAAAAGGGCATTCATTTTTAAATCATTTTATCCTGCACATGCAGCTGTCACGTAAACTCTAAATTCTGGTGTTTTCCTGATTTTCTTTATTTCTCTTTTGAACGAGCTGGCTTTCATTGCTCTAGTTTCCTGCTCTGCTTTTAACGTCGGAGCGTCTGATGTATTTACAGACCAGATCTTCAATAACGTCGTATTCAGTAAGAAATAAAAGTTGGATGATTACATCTGGACACAATTCATTTTATTTCAATTTAAGGGAAGATTTGGTTACAAAGTGTCTCTGTCCACGTTGGCATGAGAAATTGGCGATATTACAGTCTTGAAATTGTCTACTTTCATCACACATTTCAAACATTTTTCTCAACAGATTGCATGCGGATCTGAACACAACCTTGCCATTGTAGGTGAGTGTATTCTCTCAGAAATATTCTCTCATTTTCTGTGCCCGCCTTCTCAAAAATGATTCTTGTATGGTCTTTTCAAAAAGCGACAATTTTATCTGCAAGCGCATCTGACGTAACACGATTGCGTTGAAAGGATTCGCCATGGTGGAGTGTTTTCGAAAAAATTAAGGAGATAAAAATGAACAATAGAATATTGGCTTCAATATGTGCAGGCGAATGGAACGAGAGGCTCCACTTTAGTCCTGACGTGAATAGATGGGAATACAATCGAAGAACGAGCAAGGGGACCGTCTAATAGATTACAGTTTAACGAAAGTGTGAAATACTTATACTGGTGATGCTGCAGAGGATTTCTCGGGTCAGCTCATTGCTCTGTGGCCTGTGCATCAGGAAGTAATTAAAGCATGAATAGATGGGTTTGTGTGGAATTTACCACACACACACACACACACATTTACACGCATATTTCTCCAGTTCCACAGTGTTTGGCAAGCTGTCTCCCTTTACATAAGAGCACATTAGAGACATTGGAGCTGCACACACATAATTAATTAAATTATATTAAATACAGTATTCCTATATATATATATATATATATGTGTGTGTTTGTGGTTTCCCATCAACTGTACAAAGAGAATAAATGTGCTTTTCTTCCTTCCAAGCTTTTGCACAGTCACCGCCTAGCAGCTGAAAACCTTTTTAAAGTAAAACCTTTTACATCAATTTTTTAACGGAGCTTCTCGTTCTTTTTTTTTTTTTTTTTTTTTTACATCGTCATGAACATGAGTACTGCAGATGAACACTGAAACAAGCACAGCACAAGTTCCATTAGAGAGGAAATGCTGGACACGGCAAATCCGTCTGAAATGATGTGAAATCTGAATTGGCAGCAGTAGAGGGGAGCCGATGACGCCCACTGTCCGTCATAATGGCAGTTTTCACAAAGGGCCTTCACAAGTTGGCTGATGAGAAGCAAAGCCAGTATACGGAGAGCTGGTGTGGACCTACTGCTTGCGGTCCTCGCTCTCCTCTTCTCTTCCTCGTGTCTGGAGCGCCGGGGCAGGAGCAGTGAAATCGCAGAACGGGATTGGACACAGAGGCCTGAGTGCTGCTATTTCTGGTGCTGAAGTAGGTCAGGTGGAAAGGAACAGAGAGCATTGCATGCTGCCCATGATATCTGTTGCCTGCTCAGCCCTCTGCTCCTCATGTGTGAAATGCATCATCATGGTCGCACGTAGGAGATCGTCCAAATACGCTGTGGGCACAGCTCATCCAACCTGAGGAAAGATTTGGGTTAATTTGAACATTTTTAACGCAGCAGGAAGGTACACTTCCCGCGGATTGCGGTGTCGCTAACTAGCTGTGAGAACGTACAGCCGAACGACAGGATTCGTTTACAAGGAAATGGCTTTTGGCTCGAGTGTCACGATGTTTATCCTTTCGTTGTGCCGAACAGCTTCCATGGCACTTTGTTGCCATGGAGACACTGATGTTCTGTACTCCCAGTCAGTAAATCCATGAACCAAGCACAGCACCAAAATAAGGCTTTTCCCCCAGCGAAGGAACTGTGTCAACACATTAAACCCCCCCCCGGATGTTTACGGATGAAGAGACGCATGCGGTCCAGTTACATCTGCATGCAGCATCTTAAAGACGGTGTGTTTGTTTTTGATGTACAATCCTTGTCGGGCAGAATGTCACACCGACATGAACTGACATCTCGGCCTCTTTAACTGTCGAGCGCACATGTGTCACTTGGCCAAACCTTCACAGCCGCAGATTTTCAGGGACGACAAGACAAAGAAAGCCCTCGATGAAAGGAAAGCTGGCATGAAAGACACGCGACTGCAGGACGGGGAAGGCTCGTGGACGTGTTACCCTTGAGAAAGCAAGCTCGCTTCTGTTGCCATGGCAATGGGGCCTATTAGGTAACTGTGTTGCCATGGCACGTGTGTTCTCAGTGATGCAGACCTGACCACACCCACTAACAAGCTCACCAGCTGTGAGAAGCAGGAAGGCTTCGCTGCGGGCCGAGTGGCAGCGTTGGGGACGGAGAGTGCGTGACGCATGCCGTCTGTTTATCTTTTTGCACCATTCTTGCTTCCTAAGTTCAGCGTACGTGGCCGAGTGCTGCAGCTCTGTCCCTCTCTCCCATCAGCTCCACTGACCCATCACCCCCCTCCCCCCTCCCCCTCTCTTTTCTAGACGGGTGTCTCCTCTCCTGGGGCTGGAACGAACACGGGATGTGCGGAGACGGTTCGCAGAGCGACGTCCGCCAGCCGCAGCCCGTCTCCGGAGTCAGACCTCTTCTCATTGGCTGTGGTGCTGGACATTCGATGGCAACGTGCGCCGCAACGACCGACCTGAGACGAAACTCTGCGACCGCTCCGCCTCACTGACCTCGGAGGAGGAGCGTTTATTCATCGCGGCACAATCAGACGAGCAAAACCCAAAGGGCTTTGTGAATGAACAGCTCTTACTTGTCAGGAGGCTTATTGGTGGTTCGCGTAGCACCTCGTGATTATTTGAAGCGTCTAACACTGCAACTTTCACCTCCCAAATGGCCTACTTAAGCTCCTCGAAAGGATCCGGCTGCACTGGCCGTAAATGCTGAGGGGTGGTTGGTGGGACACCAACTGATTTATGTTTCACGTGAAGAGGAGCCGTTATTTCTCCCAGCAGCCAGTTGCTTTGATGAAGGTGATTGGGGCCCACGGACGTGGCCACGCCCACGGCCACGGCTCTCGCCATGCTGGTCTCCCAGGAGGAAAGCCTCTGTGGGTCGTGTGAGGAAGGGGCCGGACTGGTGCTATGACTCCATCCATGTTAGCAGTTTTATTGCTGGGATGATGTTTGTCAGAAAGCAATAAATCTCTGCTCTTCATAAGGAAAAATCGCTCGGCCGTGTTTTACCAGTTACACAACAAATATAATTTGTTGGACTGCTGTCCATCACTTTTTTTTTGCATTCTGTGTCATATTCTTTGATCAGTACTTGGCTCACTTTCATACTGTAAACCACTTAATCTATTTTGGGGGACATTTTTTCCTCCGCACTCGACCCAAAATACATATTTATAAGCTGTGGGCAACCGCAGTGCACCACCCGGTGACCGAACTGCAGGTCTGAAGACACGGCTGTGGTCAAGGGCAGTGACGGAAATGAGAATAGCTCAATGGTGCAATTTTTTTCTTTTTTATGTTTCATGTTTTTATTTTCTCTATATGATTTATGCAAATTTGATATATATTTATATTTTTATATATATATATATATATATATATATATATATATACACACATATTAAAGACATTAATGACAATGAATGTGCCCGGATTAGTTTAGAAAAAATACATCCACACTCTATCAAATCTGATCATTTCTGTGTTTTTTTTATTTTTTTTATCACTATTTATTGTACAAGCCTGAACTGTATCGGTCAAAAAGGACACAACAATCCCGAAACAACAGACCAATCAAAACGATCACTGAACACCTCATTGAGATAACTAAACCACAAAATGCACTGTGTTCAAATTGCACACGCACAACTAAACCACAAAATGCACTGTGTTCAAATTCCCGAGTCGCGCCAAACGGCGCAGTAGTTGCCTCTCAGTTGTTATCAATCCCTTTTAATTTTACAGGCTGTTGGGTTATTTCTTCTCTGCAACAATGACCAGCACACCATCCCCTATTTGTGCTCCGCTCCAATGGCAGACTGAACTCTGCTGCATCTGGCTTCACACAGATCTCACAAGGTTGTTGGCAGTGTTTTTTTTGCAGTTGTTTGGTAAAAAGTTGGTCCCTGTCATGACAAACAATTAGGCTGCACTATGTACCCAATGGCTCTCCTTTAAGACTTGAATGAGGTCTTAACAGCCTTGTGTGGGTCCTGCTTGTATCCTTGTGCTTTTTGAGTGAACTGATGCTTTCAATGGCTGGTGGTTGGTTACTAATGTCAAATGAAATGTGCATTAATTCGTCACATGCTCCTGAATGGTATGAATAACTTGCATAACAGAGGCACTTGTCCAGTATGTGTGTAATGTGTTGGCATTAGTATAGTTTACTGCTTTATGCCAATGTGCATTTGTGCAGAAAAACAAACCAATTCCACATGATCAACCATTAAAATGTAAGACTCATTATGAATGTCTGAGCTATGATACGAATAAATGTATTTTAGATCCAAGTTGTCTTTGTTCATTAATATGCAGCTATGAAGATATCTCAACATGCAATGAATGTTGAATATCTGTATGAGAGTTAATTAACCAAACCATTATTCTTAACAGCACACTTAGCCATTTCAATGCCTAATACAAGGTACAAGAGGTAAGTACGACCTTTTTCGGTTTTTATTATGTCGATTTCTTTGATGCCTGAAAACTAAATTAAAAGAATGACAAAAGTTCAAGGGTGCAAAAAAGTGCAAAAGTGTACAAAATGTGATGATGACAGTGCAAAGTTCACCGTTTGTTTTTAACTGTTTAGTCTGGCTGACGTGACAAGTGACAGTTTTTTTTCCCACTGGGTGCTTAAAATCGGAGCAACATTTTTTTTTCCTTTCAAAAAGAAGAAGCACACAAATATTTGATGATCACTCAAAAACATTGGTACACACAACTTTGGCACACACAAAAAAAAAGCATATTTACAGCACTGGCACAAACCAAAAATAGGCACACAAGTTACAACACAATAACCATTCACAGATACTGAGCTACATAAGGCTTGACAACAAAACTCTCAGTGCTACATCTATGCTGCGTTTGTGGTGAACAGGTTGTCACTGTCACACCCGCTTGAAAGGACTAAGTAACACACACAACAATGTTATTGCGCATTATCAGGTGGGTGATGGGCCTTTATGGGTCATACACATAGTGGTTGGGACACCATGGTTCATAACACAAACTGACTCGGTTGGTTGTCTGCTCCGGTGCTGTCGCTGGGTCTCTATAAACATATAAAAAAAACAGTAACAAAAGTAAATTATTACACAGAAATTACGTATAACGGTGGAAATGATGGCGATGACATGACACCTCGGCGAGAGGTGAGACACGACACTAGCATGGAGAGTAAAGAAAATGTGCTCCGTTAGTTCCTCATGGTAAACGACAGGTTTACCATGTGCTTCCCATGCGTAGCCGAGGCGTCAGGCCCGCGGCGGTCTGCGCGAGGTCACCGGCCGAGGGGGTTAATAAACATGCCCAGTCATGCTTCAGCTTTTACACGTTTGATGTACAGTAGTTTGGTCGTTGTCATGCGTTTGTATGATCCGTGTCATGCTCTTGCAGTCACTTTTTGTTGTTTTGTTTTTTTGTCTCTCTTTGACCCCGACGCAGTTAAAGGGTCAAACAGCAGTTCAAAGCACTGGAAGGAAAGGAGAGAAGTGTGTGTGCGTGTGCTGTTGAATAAAAACGGAGTCTAAATGCTCATTGTGTATAAAATTTATTTCATGCAAGGACTTATATTTACATATTTTTATTTGAATACTTTTCTGTTGCATAAATGTAAAATACATGCATTTACCTTTCCCCAAGTAGGCCCACATCCTTTGCCGCTTCGCATCGTACTTTGTATTTTTCTTTTTTTAATCGCATTAGCATATTTTTCCCCTGCATCTCATCACATCAAGTCGGCACAAGTTTTTTTTTCTTAAATATATATAACGTTCATTAATTACCACAATAGACATTACTTGAAATGTAAAACTCTGCTCATTCAGATTAAAAACAATACTTAGAGTTGCTATACTTGTATCTTCTTCTAGAAATGAACATTTCTGATTGGTCAACATTAAATTTGTTGAAGTGCCCTGAAAATCTGTGCATAATTATTGGGAAAGCATCAATACGTGTAACTATAACAGTATTGATGCTTTAACTCGATAAACATACATACTGGCGATGTCATCGTGACATATTTTGATTATGTTGAGTTGCCTGGCTTCCCTCAATAAGTTAGCTTTGTTATGAAAAACATTATGTCAGATTTGGACAATAAAGTCCAGCTGATATTCTTTCCTTCTTGGAGTTTATGCCCATCAGGGTTAAATCCTAGGATGTGTTAGACGTAACAATCTGAACTATTGGATCTATTATCTGAATCTATTAGTTAACAATAATGATCAATTTTCTGTAATTAAGGATACGAAGGTGGTACAAAGTGCACCTTGTAGAACAAAGCTTCTGTTACACTGTTATGAGCATGGTAAAGTGTACTGATGCTACACTGGTTACACTTATGTTACGTTCTTAATTTATTCCCCTCTTTTAGTTTGCCTCACTAGGTATGAAGGCACCATTGTTTCATAATTATTGTATCTCGCCTTGATTTAGGCATCACAGCAGTTACAGAAGTTGCTGCCGACTACAGATACTGTTTTAAAAACTAATAACTACTGGTAATATATTTGTATAAAACAAGTCATGCTCATAACAGCATTAGTTGGCTTTATCACAGATTGTTCAAGTCAAATCCCGCTATTTTATTCGGAGGCCCCAGTCAAATAAATACAAGAAAATAAATCTATGAATTTGTGGAAAGGCAAGGAATGGCGGCTACATAAAAATCTTTTGCTTTGAGACTGAGTCTCTTGTAAAGCTGGCTTAAAATGCATACAAAAATGACAACGCTTTAGAAGCTTTCTTACAGATACTGCGGTACAGTTAGCTTCTTGTTGAACATAATTTCTCATGCAGTTCATGCAAATGAACAAAACAGTTTTAGTTCTGTTGACATTAAATGTATTCATCACTAGTATCACAGACGGCGTCATCATCTCCATATTGCATTGGATATAATGAACATCATGTTCATTTTTTTTCTAATGGCCTCTCAGATCGCATTGAGCCTTGTCTGGGCTGCACTTTCAGAATTATGTCTCTAATTTGCAACGTACAAAGCACTTAGGAGGACCTCCCTTAACAGCTGGCAATGGTACCGTTTGGATATGTTTCAGTGCCGTGTATTGTTAGTGTCCGGCATATTATTTGCAGGGGTTACATCTTATGAAAGATTCTTTCACAAAATTGTAAAAAGCAGATGAGATCAAAAGTTACTGTCAGAAGAGCATGTGAGATCAAAAGCAACAGAGCAACAGGCAAGGATGTAAACACGGGGAAAGAGGGGGGTTGGCCTGTGGTAGAAGGACAACAGCGCTCTGTCTGCGACTGAGGCGACCCATGCAGAGTACCATGTGCCAATGTTTTTCTAGATGAGCATTTGATGACACACCCAAGGAGAACACTTGGGAAAGCTTGAGCATTAGACACAGTTAAGATACAATTCTTTCCAGAAAAATAATGAAAGAAAAAAAAAAGAAGAAGAAAAAAGCAAAAGTGAAGGGGAGCGTAAAAGGAAAGTTGGGGACTGGCCTTCCAATGGCATTGTGTCTGCTACTCAACCATGCTACATAATGGATGGGATGGGAGAATGTGAGTGCTGCATTAGACAAGGTGGGCTGCAGGGTACGGCGGACACTGAGGACACTCCAGAGGCATCCCCGCTCATGCCAGACATGCTGTTAAGGCTCCAAGGCTTTTCATAACCTTCGGTTGAAAAACAGAGAATGTTCTGAGTACACTGCAGCACTGAATCCATTACAAATGTTTTGGTTGATACTAAACCTGTTGCTTTCTTGTTTTTGTCTCCGAAGAAACAGGTCAACACATACTTGAGACACATTAATATTCTCCATGCATTGAGTGCATCAGGAGTACAACAGCATGCACCGGGTGGTACTGGAATGGTTTGGAGTATAACACTGTAAAAAGACTCAAGTAGGGAATGTGTCCTCGGCTACAGGTAGCATTTCAGTCTACGCTATTTACTGTGTATGTGCTGGCTCAATCGCACACTTAATGGTACTTTCTCATAGGAATATTTTGTAGATTAATCCAAAATAAATCAATTCAATAAAAAAGATTTTAACCTGGGAGTAAAGGGTGAGATTTGGCTCTGAATAACATCACTAGGCATATTTCACATAAGCCGTCCTCCATTTGTGTAGTGCTCCTTCACCATACTGATAGCACCCATCAGCAAGACACTTCATGCACCGTTACAGGCCAGAGCGCTTCACTACTGGTTAGTTAGGGTCCTACATGGTATTTATCATTAAAGCAAATGCACGTACATGGTACACAGAAAGTACAAAAGTACTTTCTTGCATGTAAGAAAACACATCCTTTATCATATCGATATCTTGTCATATCTTGAAAAGCACTTATTTGCTTATAAATATTAAATAAATAGGGGGTTGGATTTGAACGATTATGCATGGTATCAAAAAATATAGTAGATGTGAAATCATTATTATTGACATTGTGGTGATTGTGCTTGACCTTAACAGATGTTATAGTGACTGGGTATATATACAATTCCCAAAAAGGAGGAATGAGGAAAAAGCAGCTGCGGTAAGACTGTGTAATAAGAGGTTTGTTGCTGTTGTGTGTGCGTGTGTGTGCGTGTGCCTGTGAAATCTGAGATGTAACACTCAGCAAAGAGGGGGAAAAAACTAGCGTGTCCCGTCTACGGTCTACAGGGTGTGAGTGTCTTTGGGGCCTGTGATTGGCCGTTGCTGTACGTACCCCTCCTCACCCGGCCCCCCGCGTGGTCGGGCCGTTCAGAAGTGGTGACCAGGAAGCAGGGCCGCTCCCTCTCGCTCGGGCTGAAGATCTCCTCCGGAGACACGGCCTGGTCGATGTGAGGGCAATCTTCGTTGGCCAGCGCCGCGTTCGCTGCCTCACCGTTCAACTTGGGATCTTCTAAGTAATCGATTAGGAAAATAGAAAAAATAAAATCTTGTTTTACATACCAACATATTTTTTGGAATAGTCAACAATGCTTTTTGCGACCGACCCAGGTACACATTCAGCATGTATATGGAGCCTACTGCTTTTGAAGTAGTGTATTGTCTACATTTAACTTGTTTAAATTGTCCACTAAGAAGGAAATGGTCTTGTCTCACCCTCAAAGCGGTGTCTACTAAATCCTGTGCTCATCCATTACAGCCCACTTCCTAAACATACCATATCACTCTTTATACTACTACCACTGCTAAATTCTTCCTCTATCTATTGTTAAATTAATAAAAAAACAGGTGTAAATAACAGAATAGCTGTAGAGTCACTATTCATCCAGGAGTAAATACACCTTATGTTTCTCAACATACCCTCAGTTTCCACTATCTACTCTCTGGATGCTCATAGGATTTAAGTACGAAAGAACACTGTCTAATATTTGCTTCGCACTCTGAGGCACAAACTGCATTTTCTCTTTGCACTGACGCCATCACAGGAATTCAAGAGGAAATCAAGTGACTTACAAATCTACTTACACGTTCTCCACCTCACACAAACACACGGTGATTACACTCTCAGTTAGTCCTAAGAGAGAGGCGGAGTGAATCACTGCATTAAGACGCGCATTAAGAATCAATCGCAAGGTTACTCACGGTCTGCTGTTCTCCAACCAGAGTAAAACATGCTTTTTATCACATATTTTATTGATCGTGTTCGGTGGGGAAACTAATTTCTTTCATCCGGTGTCTGATTTGTCAGCTGTTCGTAGTGTGGGAACCGACAAACAGATCAACAGTGGTGTGGCTGCTTTTAGGGAGCGGAAAACAACAACAGCACAAATCCGCTTTGTTTCTTACCTTGAAACTTAATCTCGAAAACGTCATCGTGGGGTATCGGGCTCGGGTGTTGGGAGCTGGTGCTTGACTTGCAGAAGTTTGGAGAACCTGGTTGGGGTGCACGGGGGATGTGCCTATTCTTTTTCTTTGGTAGTTTTTGTTTCGCCATAGCCAGAGAGTAATACATTCCAAAGTTGTTGACAATCACAGGGACAGGCATGGCGATGGTCAGTACACCTGCCAGCGCGCACAGGGCTCCGACCAGCATACCGGAGGTCGTCTGAGGGTACATGTCTCCGTAGCCCAGGGTCGTCATGGTCACCACGGCCCACCAGAATCCAATCGGGATGTTCTTGAACTGCGTGTGCTCACTGGCTCGAGGGTCGTTGGGGTTGGCTCCGATCCTTTCAGCGTAGTAGATCATAGTAGCAAAGATGAGGACACCCAGGGCCAGGAAGATGATGAGCAGCAGGAACTCGTTGGTGCTGGCCCTCAGCGTGTGGCCCAGCACCCTCAGCCCCACGAAGTGACGGGTCAGCTTGAAGATGCGCAGGATCCGCACGAAGCGGACGACGCGCAGGAAACCCAACACGTCCTTGGCCGCCTGGGAGGAGAGCCCGCTGAGGCCGACCTCCAGGTAGAAGGGCAGGATGGCCACAAAGTCGATGATGTTCAGGGCGTTGCGGATGAAGTCACATTTATTCGGGCAGAAAGTTATTCGCATTAGAAACTCAAACGTGAACCACACCACGCACACGCCTTCGATGTATGTGAGGTAGAGCGCAGTCTCGGTCTCCTGGTAGGTGTGCACCACCGTGACGTTGTTCACCACCTTCACCTCGGTGCGGTTGATGATGGGGTTGAAGGCCTCGTGGGTCTCCAGACAGAAAGTGGTGATGGACACCACGATAAAGAACAGCGAGGCCAGAGCCACCCACTGGGCGGGGGAAGTACATTTGGGGGGGGGGCCGAATATACCCCTAGAGAGAGAGAGAGAGAAGGGAGAGGGTGGGGAGGTGGGAGAAAGGACAGAGATGAGCACAGTAATTCGTGCACTATAATTAAGCTCAACACCCAGCAGCCATTCCTAGCAGCGCACAAAGCATTTTGTTCTGTCATCGGTGACAATGCTGTCTGGTCTCCCTTTCCTCTGTGCTCTCTGTGTGTCTTGATCCAGTCATTGTAAAATGGACAATCAATGCGAGCTCGGGGGGGGTTCTCGCTCCTCCTTCCTCCTTGCTGTATCTCAAGGTCATGGCATTTTCAAGCGCAAGCTAGAACTACCAAGAGTCCACCGCAGCGGAAACATGGCATTAGCCCACATTAGCTGGGTTTCTTCCCCTTAGCACCAGTTTCCCCCTACAAGGTCATAGAGTCCAGATGATCAACTCTCGATGATTGTAAGGATCTGACAAACTTGCGAGAGAAACCAATATTTCCCTTAATGGCAACCATGTACTTAAGCCTTCATTATGTATTGATTAGAAGATCCTATTTCATCACATGTACGGGTGTAACCGATAGAGTATTCTCTTGATTGCGGCCTTGTCCTCATGTTAGCCTGCTCTAATAACCCTGTACTGATTCACCGTATTGGTACATTGTAGTGGAAATGGAAGAAAAAAAAAGCTTTATCTCATTGGGAGTCGGAGGTCAATAAAATTAGAATTACTGGACAACGGTTCAGACTGACCGTCCTCTTCATTCAGTGAGACGACTCACACTGAGCAAAGAAGACACACACACACCCGTTTCAGTGAAGATCGAGACTACCTTCCATTTACAGCACAGCATGTGAATTGATCTTTTTTCTGCAATCAGATACAAAATCATTTATAAATGAACTTCTGTCAAGTTAATAATGAACAGCTTCTGTTGGTAAAGTGTGAGAAATACATTGTGTGTGAGTGTTTAAGGCCATATGTTGTTGTATTGGATTGCATAATATTGTCTGCTTGTCCACCCCCCCCCCCCTCTAAAGAATGCACTGTACATAATAACAGTACATCCAAGAATATAATACAAGTCAGATTGAAGCTACAGTGTCCAAAAATTACAGATCAATCAACAGCAAAGACTTGATTACCAACAATCTCTTTCTTTCCATCAGGAGCGGCGAGAGCCAGAGATATTCTGTCCATAGGCATTGCTTTGTGTCATTTTGATAATCCAGATAACGGATCCGGCTCATTTCTTTTTTAGCTAAAAATGGGTTGTAGACAGCAGTGATGGGGATTTTTCAATGTTTTAATATTCAATTTATTTAGAAAATCTCAATAACCCTAACTGACAGTTGCATTGTTATTTTATCCAGCAATCAGTTATCAAGGAAGATGTGGGAGGAGACATTCCCATTACTGCCAGCATCGTTCAGTGTGATAAGGCCTCATTTTTAAAAGCTACCTTGATGCCTCCTGACACGCTGGCTTGCTCGGCCCTCTGAACATCCCACCCTGCAGACTATTAAACCAACGCTGCGTCTTATCAGAACTCCTCTCGCAGTAAATGATGCATCTGTGTGACAGTTCGGCACAGTGCGGCTTGGAGGGAGGGTGACGGGCAAAGATTGTTTGCTCTGTGCGTTGGCCCATTCTCGCTGTCAGTGACAAATCACAGGCCTACAGTGAGAAGCAGCTAAGAGTTTTCCAGCGATGTATCCACTGCGAAGAGACACTGTAATTAAGGCTCCCTTCTAATTAATCTCCTTTCCAGTCTTACTGGAGCTCTGTCAATCTTTGCTCTCGGCTCGTTCAATCTTAAATATGGGAGATATCTGAGTCGCTTCTCGCTTTGGGATAGGAGACTCTGTGTGTGTGTGTGTGTGTGTGTGTGTGCACTTGCTGGATGGGGACTTAACTACCACAATCAGTGCAACAGCTGTCAAACCAATGGGCTGCAAAGCAATGTTCTGTAGGCCTGCGTTTAAAAAAACAAAAATGTCTAAACAAACCTGGAGGTGTAAAGTCATGTCATTGTCGCCATCGAGAGGCATCACGCCCAGATGGAAAACTGCCCACAACAAGAAATGTCACCACAAACAGCAGCCCAATTTTTTCGTCTGGAGGTCTGCCATTGAAATCCTGCTGGTGCCAAAGCTCTGGTTTCCTAATGTGTAACTGACCTATTAAACCAAAGAGCCAGGCTGCTCAGGGATTCTTGTGTCCTGGAAATATCAATCCAGACACCGGTTCGCTATTTATCTTCCCCTGCGAGAGAGAGCAGGGTGGGAGTGATCGTTTGCCTCGAAAGTATTTGAACGGATGAGGTCTTTTTCCCCCCCTCTTCTCTGTGCAGTCGCATCCCTGCTGTGGTGACACATCATTTCAAGGTCATCAAACGCATCTCTTCAAGAGACATTCATCTTTGTTTCACCATGAAGGAAACACATGCAAAACTAAACCCTTGTTCAACTTTGACTGTATCACACCAGAATATAGAACACGTTGGTGTGTTTTACAGTGTCCGCAACTCCTACGAGGCCTCAGATCTTAAGAAACACACCGTGGCGAACATGTTAAGAGTTAGAGGCAACTTACCCTTGCATATTTAGAGGAGTAAGGGTCCTCAAACAGAGCCCAGACATGCTTCTGCCACCGGCTCCACAAGCTCCCACTCCTGGCATCGTGAGCGTCCCCCTGCGCCAGCCTCCTCGTCATCTCATCCACATCATCATCGGCAGCGTGCTCCGGCTCCGGCTCCGCATCGTCGCTCACCAGGTCTAACAAGCCCCCCCCGCCGAAACTATCAAGGGCCTCCTCTGCCTCCCGGTGCTGGCGATAGGTCATCCAGCAGCAGGGCTCCACGTCTGTCTCGTCGATGCCCCAGAAGGCCAGTTCCTCCTCGTACAGCGGCCCGCACACATCAGCCGGGCAGTGCAGTTTACCTGTCCGGTAGTAGTTGAGGATATGTGCAAACACCCCGGGGTGGCGGTCGAAGAAGAACTCCCCGATCTTGGCGTCATAGTCAAAGTGGTTGGGCGCATCGGGCTCGGCCAGCCAGGACAGGCGGGTGCCGGGTAGAGTGCGCAGGGTGCTGCGGTATGTCTGATGTCTGATCCCTCCCACGTTTATCACAATGCGATCCTTGTCGTCGCTCAGGCCCATTTCGTCCCTCAGGCATTTCTCCAATAAGTTCCCTTCATCGCGAAAGATGAGTCTAAGCGACCCCGAGCAGCGGTAGCGCAGAGGAGAACAAGTACCCAAAGGAGGCAGGGAGGCAGGGCGCGGAACAACCTGTCGTTTCCTCACCAAACTATGAGAGAAATCCGCTCGACGCGCGCCAGGGTACGTTCACTCTAAACGCAGGGGGGGTCTGTATGCAACTGGAGGGTTGTAAACGGTTATGGGTGCCACGCGCTCACCCCCCGAGGGTATCAAAAATCGAAATCTAAAACAAATCAATGGCATTGCATTGAGGATGATTAGTGTTTAAAATCCAAGATGTCGACATAAAAAAGGACAAACACTGATGAAAGACGCCCCCACCCGCCGCCCCAAACTCCCCCCCCCCTCCCTCCCCTCCTCCGGCAGACAACAAATCCAATCTCATTGGACTCAGGTTGGCCGATCGGATTGATCCCCGAGCAGCTTTGTGACTTTCGCAGCAAGGTGACTGCGGTGGTGCTGAGCGGACAGCGCCGGTCCGGCGGCTCCGAGCTTCTTCTTCTTCTCCCGGTCCGCCCGACTGACTCACCTCCTGCGCAGCCTCCTCTGCGTCTAAGCACGCGCGGCCGCTCTTTGTCTCCGCGCGGAGATGCTCTCCTGCTCGGGAACTTGACCTCCCCCTGCACGCGTCGCTGATTAAGAAGAAGACACCCGGACTAAGGGAGGGGGCGGGGCCGGTGCTGTTTTCTCCGCTGTGCGTGCAGCAGAAATAATATAGATATGGAGAGGAAGAGGGGCCAAAAACCCGCCTCACCTCTCTCCCCTTAAAAAACCGAGAACACCCGCCCCAAAACTGCCTGGTTGTTCACACCGTGCGCAGCTCTCTTCTCTGATCACACGAAGCTTCCACGCCGCTTTTGTCCAAAGACGATGTCAAGTTCTCCAATTTTAAACTGTGCGGAGGGTCATCGCGGCCAAATTTCTTCTCACTAAACGTCTCCACTCAGAGGGTTAATGGTCAGTTAGGGGGGGGGGGCGTGTTCAGCTGCTCCAAGGTGTGACACCCCCCCCCCGCATGGAGCCTCCCTCATCAAAGAGTCTGATCATTTGCCTTCTTGTAGCTCAGCGATGATCGATATCAGAGTCCGTTAGAGGATCTGCGCGGACTGCGGGAACGTTTGAGAAACAAAGAGTTGAGAGATTCTCATAGTGGTTTTTTGCTGAACTCTTATGTGCTGCACTTGATCCTTGCGATAATGACCCCCTCCCACCCACCTGTGGTTATTGTGCCAGCAGGGGGCGTCCTAGCTCACTGCCGCTTGTCAACAGATACATAATAGGCACCAAACTGTTGGTTTTCTAGAGCGGATTTCTGTCTGTTGCCTTTTTAGAGCTTGTTTTTATTCTACGCACAACCTACACACACAAATGCGCACAAACGCACGAGCACGCCTCCCCATGTCTTTGATGCAGACATTTACTTTAAACGTGGTTGCATCAGGATCAGGAATCAGGAAACGGGAAACATTTCTTGCCAAAATATGTCAAACATACAAGGAATTTGTCTTGGCGGTTGGTGCGTGACAGACAGTGTAACAATAGACAACAAGACAGCAGTGCACAAGTAATAAAATAAAACGAAATGATAATGCAATGGGTTAGTAGAATAAGGCTATGGGTTAGTATAAAACAAGAGAATAAAGTTAAACATTAAAAATATTTAAAAAGTTAAAAAATATACTAGCGAACAAGTGACAAAGTGACGAGTGAAAAATAAAAATGAAATTAAACTATTGGGGATTTCATCTGTGTTCCTCCTTTGTACTTCTTGTCCTCAGGACAATAAGGTATTTCTGTCCTACACTTTTTCTAACCATTATGTTTAAACCGTCTCTGCGGACGAGGAGCTCGTTCTTCCCTCGGCCTTCTTGTCCTCCTGTCCGCTTTGCCTTGTGGGCAGTTCTCCGTCTCAGTTTTCACTCTTGATTATAAAGGAGGAGTTTGCAGCGCAGAGGCGCTCACACTCCAACCGGCTGCAATAAACTGTGGCTGTGTGATCCGGGACAGAAGGCTCACTGGTTGTTGGACAAGCTGATCAAACTGGCATCATGGTTCTGACGGGCTGCACGAAATGCATCAAATACATGTTGTTTTTCTTTAATTTTATTTTCTGGGTGAGTTGAACATTTTTTACTCGAAAGTGTTTTTTGATATTTTTGCGCCTTCGGTGTTTGAGTAACTTCTGCTTAAACTTCTTGTTGATTGATTTAGGGTCAGGACCTTTAGGCCACACTCACACTGTGCATAGCTCTAAGCCTGTTATAGTTGACACGTTATCACCCCTGCACAGTTTCCCGCCCTGCTGAGGACTTTTCATTATACTGCTGCTCTTTGCGGTGGGGGTGGGGGGGGGGGGGTGTCAGTCCCCTCACAGGAAGAATCCTTTTTTTTCCTACCCCGGTTATAAATTCATTATTTCATTGATGCAACTGCTGTTCATATTTTTTCAAAGGTTGGATTTCCAAGGTGGCTGCTGATGGACAAGTGAGCCAAATGTCTCTCATCATTGGACAGTTTCTTGTTATTTCAGGGAGTCTAGTTCTCCCCATATTAAACACACATAAAGAGGGGGGGTCGAACAGGGGTAAGGAGGGTTCTGGGGGATGGGGGAGCTGTTTTCCCTTTGACATTTCCTTTGTTCCCACTTGGTCACCAGACTGTTGCATTTGCCGCGTTTGAACTTGCGAGGAACTCAGGAAACACCTCGTTTATTGACCATTGTACATTCACCCTTCTTGTTTTTTTCTCCGTAATAAGTGCCACGGGGCTGCATGTCATTTGATCCTGGTTACAGGCGTCAGACTTCCTGCAGATGTGCTGTCCACTTTGCCCGTGGCCTTGCACAGAATTGATCCGTACTTGTTTGGGCATTTCCATTCGAGTTTGTCTCTGCAACAGTCATCTTTTTTTAGACAAGCCACCACATCCTGAACATGTCGTACCTGATGGAGTGTTTCCTCTGTTGATTTTGTCATTGTAAAAAACGGAGCCCTGTCTTCCTCGTTGTTTCTTGAAGAACAATAGCGAGCACTCATGGCACTAAATGTGAAGACATGTTGGAATAAACAGCGGCGTAAAGAAAAAAAAGCGTCACCATGGGAACAGTGCACGGATCCGTTCATATAGTTACGCTGCATTGATACAAGATTTTTTCAGGATGTAGGGGGTACCGTTGAATAACAAAGTTCTGGAGTTGACTTTTAAACAATGTAGCGAGGACGTGGTTGCTGAAGTGGCCGGATGTCCTTCCATCAGTCTTCTGAACTCGTCGAGTAACATAAGCCCAAAGGTTGGACACTGATTTGATCTCAGGAGTCCGGCATGAACACGTGTATACTTGTCATATCTGTGATATATGTGATACTTTTACCAACGTCAAGAATAATGATGAGAACCATTTTGTCTCGGGGGACAGCTGGCCGGAGGCGTGATCTTAGGAGTGGCCCTGTGGCTCCGCCATGACAGTCAAACCAGCAACCTCCTCATTCTCCAGTTCGAGGGCCAGCAGGCACCCGGCACCTTCTACGTCAGTGAGTATACTCCATCCACAAAAAGAGCTTCAACATCACGTTGTTTGAAAGTGGACACAATACCGTCTCCCAATACAGTACAATCAACTACTACAACTGAACAAACGAAGAATGCACCCAGCAGAGATTTGAGTATTCGCAAAATAGGTTTTTATTCTTTTCGCCACCCGTAAGTTGCTCGGTCATAATTGCGTCCATCCCACTTCCTCATAGCCAAGCGTCCTCCCCAAGGCCCGAGATACGCTTCCTCTCGTACCCCTTGCCCTCGTTCCTCGATCGCCCCTTCGCAGGAAGCCCACTGTTAACAGAGTGATGAAACGTAACTAATTGACAAAAAATACCCTTTCTTTGATACTCAGTTGGTACAGTGGCTCTAGAATAGTAGGAACGATGTGACCTCCGAGCAGAGACCAGGATACAGGAACTGCGTAGATCCGGAGGGTGACGGGCGGCGTTTTCGCCCCATTGTTTTTACTCAGCTGTCACTCTTGACACTTATAACCCCGTGCAGGAGTGACGCTTCTCTGGCATGTTTCTTCCTCAAAGATCGTTCAAGACAGATGTTGAGACATAAATAGGCTCTGAGAAAATGGTCTGTGGTGCACGAATAACGCCACCATGTGCCTTCTGTTATACTTCCGTGATACTCAGGAGTTTTGTATTCATTCAGTCCAGCGTGGTGCTTGTCTTTAGAAAAGTTTTCCACAGAATCAGGAACATGCGCCTAAGGACCACGGTCTTAAATCGCCTCTATTTCACTGCTCTCAGCGTGTGATTTAAACATTTCAAAGGTCCGTCTTCTTCGCTTGTTGTGGTGCTGAACCCGTGTGAGCCCATTAATTCACATTGGGGCTCCGACTGCCGTCCCATACTTACCCCCGCAGTAAGTATACAGGCCGTATGCGAACCCATGCTTTTTATAGAGGCAAAGGCACACTCGTGATTTTAACAGCAGGGCGGCAAGCGAGGCCCACCCAAGCGAGATCAAGGGACTGTTTTTCTTTTTAGGTTACCCTCCCTTTTACGTTACGCCCTTGCATAATTCAAAAAACCTCGTACATCTGCACATTACCCTTCAAATTAGAGTTGAGGAGTGGATGTTTTTAGCATGCTGGCACCCCAAAGTGGTATTTATTTAGGGCTGAAAATACACGTTCTCCCGCCTCCTAACCAGTGCCTGAAATCATAATTGGTGGCAGTTGTACGAAGTCTGGTGTGGTGAGTTCCCCATCCCGCATACTCTGGGACACAGATGCTCCAGTTGTTTATCCCAGCATGTTTAATGCAGAGCCTCGGCCCGAAAAACCTTTTTGCATTGTGCAGAGTGAAGGAAGGATTTTATACCAGATGCAATGTACACAAAGACAAACCATTCCGCTCAATTCTCACAGCTGTTGATACTTTGGTGGATTCGTCCAAACAGGACGTTACTAACATTTCTCTTATACTGAAGTGGTAATAAACAAAGACCTTTTGGGTTTTAAAGTCGTACTTGTTGCAGGTCTGTCTGCTACGTGTCGCAGTAATAGAGGTGTTTGTCAAAGTTGAAACCAAAGACGAGGCACCGTAGCTCTGATTCTCTCTCACTTCAACTGTAACTGCGTTCTTTTTCTGCATGTCGACTGACAGTTCAAATGGTTTCTACTTCCTGGTCAATAGGAAACTTCTCCACTACTTACATTAAGGCACAGCTTTCACTGTGTGACGTTTTGTCAGTATACGCGTTGATGAAGTGGAGATTTCTGGCAACAATTTACAGAAAATCGCCTTCGTGTGCATTTTGTAAGAAGCTGGCTGTGAAAAAAAGCTTGATTTTCTTTTCATATATGCAACGAGGCATTATGAAATGCTAACTTTTTGGTGGATTATGGAGAAATCTAAAGACGCAAATAGACAAAAGCAGTAAAAGTAGTTTTTAAAAAATCATTTCTGTTCATTAGTTCAGAAAACAACCTAAAATTGATTCCAACTAAATCTTATCCCAACTGACATTCAAAGGAACAATTGAACATTTAGGGTACTCTTATTTTTCCCTTTTTTGATGAGAGTTAAACAAAAAGAAAATCAATACCACCTCTCTTGAATACGGTATCGATCTTCTACTCTATGTTAGTGAAGTGAATGAACTTGTGAATATTTTATATTTTTCTTCTTCTCAAATATCTTGTTTAACTTTGACATGAATCATTCACTGCAGGGGGGCAGCTTGTAAAGACAAAGTCCCTGTCTTCTCTTTCGTTCCAATTTCTAACGAGATTAACAGCCTTTTTAATGATTAATCCTCTTCTCATCATTTATCCATGTACTCACTGGCTTCCTCTCATTGAACACGACTTCACAGCTCTTTATTTTTTTGTCCATACCAGATGAAAATAAGTCCAAGTGGGGCTTTTCGCTGGTCTTCACCCCCCCCCCCCCCCCCCTCCTAACCCCCCTCTGGAGATTACACTGGGATGCAAGAAATAAATGAACTTCCCCGGTGGTATGAAATTGCCTGTCTCCCTTAAAGTCTCAATAGCCTGCAAACCTCAAAGGGTGTTGTCATAGCGATGGAAGGCAGTGGGAATAATGGCTGCTTTGCTGCATTGCCGGGTTACTGGCCTTGGTGCTCCTTTCTCACTAAACAAAAAGCTGAAAGAGCAGAGAGGGGTGGATGAAGGAGGAGGGCAGTGAGTCGACACAGCCGGAGTAAGAGAGAGTGTAGATGTGAGTATACGGGGGACGACTATGGTTGACATGCACGGTACCATGTGAGGTGTTTGAACTGTCTGTTGTTTTCAGTCCGCACCATCAGTCTGTTTTTTTTTTAATTTTGTGTGTGAGTAAGAATAGAAAATGCTCCGGAAGCATCTGAAGGATAACTAGTCAAGTGTGAAGTTGAATCAAACTGAAATACTGAAGTAAAAGAAAAGTGCTTGAAGATTGAGTACATTTTTTTTTTTGTTATTGTCAACCACTTGCTTCGGGCTGCATGGATGCAAACTACAACTTTTCTAAATGTGTAAATCTCTTTCTGGCGATTAATTCACGCAGGTTATTGGTTTAATCAATTGGACCAACCAGTCAACCCTGGAATCACTGAACAATAAAGTACCCGTTTCAAGGAAATCATATATCGACCTGCTAACACAGGATACACATTAATCACTTAAAATGGATTTTTCTTGGCCTTTACCAGGCAAACAGCAGCTGACCAAAAAAACTCACCCGAGGTCCATTTAGTAGCTGTTTCAATGGTATCACATGGTCTCAATCCAAATAGTGGAGAAAGTGGTCAGAAGAAGAAAGCCGGAATGCCTTCACGTTATCACGAACCTTTAATTAAAGTCACCAAATAGACAGAACAAGAGATTTTTTTGTTGTCTTTGTGTGCTGAACATTTTCCTTTTAAATAAAGGCCATAATCTGAGTTTTACTGCTATTCCCCACCTGTTGCACACCAAACAGAAGCGTCCAACAGGCTGTTTAATGTTGGGAAAACTGTGTATTCACAATGCGTAATCCCCAAAAATAATAATAATACTGTACTGACATATTAATATTAATTATATTATTATATATATTATATTAATATATTATTAATAATAATACTGACATATATATTTCGAAGTTTGATATATTGTTTAAGCTATAACTAGATTTATTTTTATGACTCTTTATAGCAGTTTAACTACATGAATATTTGTTTTTGTATGTGGTTTGTGTTCAAGTTCCTCCCTGTTTCCTGGGGAAGGATAATGCTCTGGGGTCAGGGGTCAGGGGTCAGTGCGGAGGTGGTTTTGTTGGGGGTTGTGCGTAGCTGGAAGCTACTTCCTGGCCTGACAACTGAACAGTCAGCTCAGATCTCTCAGGATATGAGGGGAGGGGCGGGCTGTTTATCTCCAGGATGTCAATAAGGTGGCGTCATCCTACAGGGAAGGCGAGAGTAAGATACAAAGCACTTCTTTACAACAACCAATCAATTAATCAGATCCCTGCTGGGACACTGCCGCCCTCTAGTGGTGCCGATGATGAACCGCTGTTCTGGTGTACGGTTGAAGCCAACGGTTGAAGGAAACTGTCTCCTCGTGTCTCCAGGTGTGTACATCCTGATAGCAGTCGGCGCCGTGATGATGCTCGTCGGCTTCCTCGGTTGTTACGGTGCAATTCAAGAATCTCAGTGCCTGTTGGGAACAGTGAGTATCTTCCGGGGGGGGGGGGGGGGGGGATTCATTTAGGATCATTTATATCTGGGAACACGAACCCCTTGTTTTCTTTCCTCAGTTCTTCTTCTTCCTGGTGATCCTCTTCGCTTGTGAAGTGGCTGCAGCGATGTGGGGTTTCATGAACAAGGACACCGTAAGCAGCACTAACATATACGTGACGTTTGCATTGATCTCCACCTTGTTCCCCTCCAGTGAACCTGCCCCCCCCCCTTTTTCTCTGAAACACAGATTTCCAAAGAACTGACCAACTTCTACGACGCGGCCTACATCAAGGCCGTGGACATCTCGGGGTCCCCCAGCAAAGACTCTGCCATCAAGGTGCTGGATGTGTTCCACACAACGGTACGTCACAACGCAAACGTCACGTGTGGGAGTGATGAAAAAAAGGCGTTTAAATGGATTTTGTTAGAAGAAGTAACCTCTTGTTTTCTTTTTGGGGCCCTTCAGCTCGACTGCTGCGGCAAAGGAGACGACAACGCTCTCTTCAAACAAGTCGCCAGCACCTTGTGTCCCAGGAAGTCCCCGGAAGATTTCCTTAAGTCTCAGGTACACACACATTCTTGCTAAAACTCACAATGACCACATACCTGGTAGAAAGATGTTCTTTATTTTATTAGTATTTTTCAGAAGAATGACATTTTGTCTTCAAATCTTCCATTGCTCTGCAGAGTTAATGATTGCTGAACGTTGAACCAAATACTGAGCAAACACAGCCAAATATGAAGGTTTTGACTGGGTATCAAAAAGGCAGGCATATATATATATATATATATATATATATATTTATATGATGTATGATAAATATGATATTCTTCTGAACATTTGGGTTATCGGCTCAAACTAAAAACCCTGAATGGTTTTCTTTGCTTTTGTATAATGACTGAAATGTAACGTTGGAGGGACCAAGCATTCAGGCAAAGAGACTCGGACAAAACTATACTTAACTAGCACAAAATAAGTCTTTAAGAGGTGAAATAAATATCTTATTCTTCTGGAAATGTTTTAATCAGTAAGATTTCCCTCAAGCACGTGAAAGCTGTTTGCTGGCCTGCAGGTGATTTGAGGTTATTGCTGCCTACAGAGAAGTAGCCCAGTATTGTATCGGTGATATAAGACTTTCCCTCTTCTCGACTGCTCACTAGTATTTATGTTGCTACTAGCTGATGGCGTGTAAACCAAGTACAGTGTTCATGCAGTTTGAGCACAGAGGTCAACATCTGCATTTCTGCCTCCTCCCAGAGCTGTCACAGCAAACTGATCGAGCTGTTCTCGGAGAAGCTGTACCTGATCGGTCTGGCCGCTCTGGTGGTCGCTGTCATCATGGTGAGTGAGGACGCAGATGAACGTTTCACACGGCTGTAGTGTAGACTTGGCCAAACATCTCCCTGAAAGCAAAGCCACTCAGATCCGTGCGATGTGTTGAGCCGCTCCGTCCTTCTGCCCATTCAGATCTTCGAGATGATCTTCACCATGGTGCTCTGCTGTGGCATCCGTAACAACCCTGGAGTGTACTAGGACCAACAAACTACGTCAGACTTTAAGGGATTTTTCATTATTTGTTTCTTTTCATCGGCTTCTCTTCCTTATGATTTTAACAAAACAAGACGGATATCTTTTCCTTTTTAATCTGCGTCTTGTTCCTGATATTGCTAATCCGTAAGGACTCGTTCTCCTTACATAATGATTTAGACGTTCTTTATTTATCACACAACTATTCACATGAGCCTTTTATACATTTGATATGTTGTGAAATATTTATCTGAGGTCATAATTTTTTTTTTTTAATGGATGTATAAATTGTATATATACTTGTCGTATGTTAATAACACTTAGGAGAGCGCATGTTATTCCCTGATTGGTTGTCTGTGATGCATCTTCCTGCAGCGTTAGGGTTAATCCTAATGAGCGATGTTGTTACTATAATGATTACCAGGAGGACGAGTCAGTCAGCGTGTGTTTGTAAGTCGACTGTGTGTCTCTTCTTTGTGCCTAATGGACCATCTCCATGCTTTATTTCCTTTATTAACTTGTGAGACTCCTTCTTTAAATAAATAAACAGTCATGTCTTCTTACTCAACCAGTTGTTTTATTAATGCTGACAAAGTCACCTTGTGGTTTTTGGAGCAAACACATTACATTGCTGTTTTCGGATATCAGGTGTGACTCAAAAGATAAAGATATTTCTCATTCAATGTCTATAAATTGTCATCAGAAAGTATTATTTAACAAATTAATCGAGAGTAGAATTGTGTGTATCTTAAGGAGTTTATGGTGTTCTATATTATTAGTTGTTATTGAGAGCCTTTGAATGGGCTCTTGTTTGGGAACCACTGCAGTACACATACTGTGAGATTGTTTTAAATGCAGGACTGAGCTCGTTGTTGGACACATGCTGTACACGCTTTCTACCTGACACATAAACTGCGCTATCTGTGCGTCAATCTGCCGTCCCCATGACCCTTTTCAACCTTCACTCAAAAAAGCCATGGGTATTTTGTGCGGTTTCTTGCTCAATCAGCAACACGAATCCATTTAAAAACTTGTTTCACTTGTATTTCTGCCGGTGAGGCGGCGGACGCGCCCATAAATCTCAGGGTTTGTCCGGCCAACAGGTTCACTTTCCCATCTGAGAACACAGCTCTTACGTCAAGATTAGTGGAATCACACCAAATGATTCGCACGTGACGTGGCTTATTACACGAAAGGAGACACCCTCTGGTTTCATATGGCTCAATAATATTCTTTATTCTTTTTGTAGTAGTCTACTATTTGCTGCTGTGTAAAATGCTTTGCAAGTCAACTGCATCACAAAATCCCAAACCAACACAGTCTAACAAAAACCCTCAGAGGAGAGCCGGGGCCACACAACCATGAGAGGCTCCACACGGGGGCGCATGGACACTGGAGGACAGAAATATAGTTATTTTAAAGTAATATTTGTATTGTTTCATGTTCTACGCACTGTGTATCTTCCCAGACGACCACGCAGGGAGGCGGCCGGCTCCTGGCACCCGAGACACGATGAGCAGACGAAGGGCGTCATTCTCGCTCTGTGGTGCAATCACTTTCTCTGACGCACATACACACACTCACAGTGACTTTTACACACACACACACACACTGATCTGAGTTAACCTGTATGCTGATATTTATCTTTCTGTTCCTCAGACCTGGGGTGGGACTCCAGTCAAACAGCTACCTTGTTCAGATCTGCTTTAACCGAGCGAGTCGTCAACGAAATGTTGCCACATATATAAAAACACATGATGTGGCCATTAAATAATGCATTGTGCACGTTTATAACACATAAGCCATTTCCTCAGAACAATTTAGCTAGAAAAGATGTAGCTTTATTGTTGAAAAGCAGCATCTCAAGTGAAATAGAACTGACTCTCGTTTGCGTCACAGTCGGACCCCCCCGCTCGTCCGTACACACCCTGGGGTGTCAACCTCTCCCTTGACTCATCGCTTTGTCTCGTCTAAGCTAAGCTCTGCAAAGGAAAAGGTACTTTGATTTGAGGGCGGTGACTGTAACTGTACCATTTAATACTTTCCAAGATCCCACCAGATCACATCACTTGGTGCGCTTCATCAGAGAAGAACCTCTACGATCAGCACAGCGTCGAGGATAAAGGTGAGTCAAAATATGTGCTTTCACTTTTCAGATTTACACCAGATGGATCTTTTTTTACGACTTTATTTGAATAATCAATCATTTCAAATAATCAGGTAAAATGGATTTCAATGAGAACATTTTATCTCAGACTGGCTGAAAATTAAATTGGGTGAAATTATATTTACTGCTATGAAATGATTGAAAAACCTTAAAAATGAATGCAGTTAATCTTCTACTCAGATGCACCCAAACAAAGGAAGGCGGGCAGAGGATTAAGATAAGAAGAGATGTTTTCTCTATACCTGAAATATAAATTACTTTATTCTGCTCCAACAGGGAATTTTTCTGACATTTCAGCCGACAGGTGGATTCAGACATGCAACTGTATCCTGTTCGCTTCTCACTGTTTATTATGAATCAGGAGTTACATCGCTTTCACAGTGCTGCGGTGACTCACAGTTGCTAAGCTCAGATAAAACCAAACAGATCAAACTAAGGTGTGGCTACACCTTAATAGTTGAGTGAGACCGTACCACACCTCGTATTAATCATCCATTCATACATAACGTCAAGATAGAGCATCAGATTAGGTCTGTAAAAAAACGATATAAAGCTCAAAGGCCTTTACGGCTGCATCCGGAGGAATAATGTTTATGCGATCTACTTGTATTTAACTAATTATTACTGATTAAAAAAACAGTAGTGTCCTTCATAAATAAACTATAGAAAACTGCCAGCAACAGCCAGTGGAAGAGGAAATTAAATAAAAGTAGCAGCACTACGGATTACAATGACTTAAATGGCTATTTAAAGTAAGTTGGAGCATAACAATATACTTAAAGTAGCAAAGATTTAAAGTAAAATACTCTGTTTAGCAGAATGGCTCATCTCATGAGAAAACACATCACAAGCAGCTACAAAAATCAGATGGATGCCCGATTACAATTAATGATGCATCAATCACTTTCACTTTCCAGCTGGAGGAATCGGCTCAAACTGTGTATTTGTTGATTTGCATTTTTGTCTGAATCTGCAAAGAAATTAGCACAACTAATGTGGCTAAATAGATGAAGTAGAAGTCTATATGTAATAGTAACATAAAACTTAAATACCTCATAATTGGAATTCAGTGCTTTATTACTGTATGTTGATTCGCCCAGTGTAAACAGCAGGGCTGTAACACTGGGAGGCCTGTGGGACCATTAGCCGTGTCATACACCTTACAGCCACTCTACAAAGGTCATTGAGTTTATCCACCTTGTCATTTAACTCTTTATAACATGACGGTTCTTATTGTCTATTCATTTGTGTTAATTCGTTAAAGTTTATTTGAACTATTTCTACACCAATGCTCGCAGAGAATCTGGTAAATCTATAGGTCAGCGGTTCCCAAACCCAAGAACGCCGCGGCCCACTTTGAAAACTGAAAATCTTCTGCGGCCCACCAAAACCTTTAATCACAACTCTGATCAAAACATAAAATAGGGGTTATTAAATGACCTTAAGAATTTAACCGATTCAAAATGTATTAACCGACAATGTATGTTTTGTATATCATTTTCTCATGTGCCGTGTTTTCCGCACAATAAGACGCATAAGATACTGCAGTCTATCAGCGCAAATCACTGTCAAAATCGGGTTGATGCGGCAAAGTCAAAGTCCGTCTCGAGCGAGCAAAAGTCCGTCGAGACGGTACTTCCAGGGTCCGATTGCTGCGAGGTGCGTCCGCTCTCGCCGCCCCCCCTCGCCATCCACGCCTTAAATCTTCGGCTGCTTTTAGAATAACTTATTTTCCCTGTTAAGATGGTTCAGCTACTGTAGAGAAAAGGGCGCCGTCTCTCGCTCTTTAATCTCATGAAGTGCTCGGCGAGAACGACAGCTTTGTTTCTCCGACGCGCCCTGAAAGCAGCTCCATATCTCACGCGCTTGAGCGCCGCTCAGCATCTCGCCGTCGTAGACGAGCTTTGGCGTGTTTGGCAGAGCGCCTTGAGCGTCGTGTACGACCAGTATGGATCAACCGATTAACCAATCTGTTCGTTTCAATTGTTTGTGCTTCATCAAATAATGTTTCACATAACTAACGTGCCGCATCATACATATTTTTATACTATTAAATAATAATAAATTTATACTATAAATTTCAAACTTTTCAAAATTTCAAAATTAAAAACTTTTTATTTATTTATTGTATATGACCTCTCGCGGCCCACCTGCATTACATTCGAGGCCCACACCTTGGGAATCGCTGCTATAGGTAATGCAAGGGGAAAGACCGGATGTAACTTATTCATATTGATACCGAGTGAGAAAAAGTAGTGCAGATGTAAAGCTAAATGTTATTTTTGTAGCGGTTTCTTTTCTTTTCTGCCTTTAGAAAGCAATGTCGACTCATTTAATCAGTTTAAAAAAAAAAAAGCCACTCAGAGAGGCCAGCGGGAGGCAGCAACGCAGAGAAGAAGGGAAAGCGCACCTGAGAGTCAGGTGAGCGCAGCGCTCCGCTTCGGACTCTCAGGCTCCTCCTCCCGCGGATGTCCCGCTGTCTCCGAGCGCCTCTTGGACACTTTCGCCAGCGCGATCACCTGCTCGCGACACGGTTTCTGCCCGGGTTTCTCGCGTCCCCCTCCCCGCTTAACTTTCGCCATGAGTATCGCGGACTCAGACACCACTTTTTTGTCCGCTTTACAGCCCAACACCTCGGTGACTACTTATGGACTCCCGTCCGAGCTCCTTCTAGGGTACGGGCGCACAATGTCGGACGAGATGTCCAGAGCGCGGCGCGTACAGCAGCAGGTCCAGATGAGAATGGCGGAGAAGTCCACACTTCCGCGTCAGAATGGATCGGCCTCACATTACGCCAAGTCAGGTAAACATCAAGACGTATTTAAAGAAAAAAAAGAAGAAAAAAAGAAAAAGACTTTCACGAGGACCTGTGTGCGCTGTGTGTTCTGCTTCATGAAAGTATCAGTACGCACGAGCCGACGAACGAGTTGGACTCCGAGCCACGCGAGTTCAGGTGCAGGTGTCTGAGTGCGCACTTTAATCGGCCTAAAGTGCGCACTTTAGGCCAAATGTTGTTGGGTGGGGTTTTTGATTTGGGAACAGATTACATTAGATTACATTATCAGATAATGGATAGTCCAAATAGCAAAACGGTCTAATTCCATTTTATAAACCGTTTATAACGTGGAGAAGTATTTCAATCAGTCCACTGAATTTTTTTTTTTACTCATCTATAAATCAATTGGTGCTAATTCCAGAGCAGCTTGCAGCATTTAAATTGAAGACAAAGAAAATTTCTAAAGAATGGATGTTAAGTTTTCGGTTCCCTGACACATGGATTATTCCTCTGATTGTTTCAGCTCTAGATAACAAACGTTTTGTATTTCAGTAGTTTTTACTTTAATCGAGTGTGCATGCATCAATATGTCTGTAGTGTGAGCTGGTCCGCTGGTTTTGTATGTATGTCTGTTGCATTCCTGTGGGCCTCGTCACCTGGTCTCTGCATTTATCCATTCAGCTGCTCTGCAGGTCCGTAAGAGATGAACCTGAATCCACTGGCCTGATCTCAAAAGGGTTAATGTGTAACCGGCTCGAACAAAGTGCTGCTTTCAGGAATTTCCGGGATAGGGAACCAAGGTCAATGCCTCCCTCTGTGGGATTGGGTTTCAGGAGGTGAGGGTTGAAGAGGTTTCCGAGAGATGATGCTGTTTTGTGAGTTCACACCAAGTCAGCCCACATAGGATTGTTATGTAAGCAGCAGCAAGGTGTGCATTTTTTTACTCGACTACGCGATGCAGTTCTGCAGGTTTTGAAATCCGGAATCCTTCATGCAAAAAGACATTTCCTTGGCTTCACTTACTTGACTATGGAGAGCAGTTCGATTTCAGATGCGCGTTGTTGTGAGAAAGAAGCTTGTTCTCACTTGTCTGGTTTGAACGTATCACCAGCGGGCAAACTGTCTCGACGAGGGAGACAAACGCTGTTACTGGCGTTTTGATATTTAGGAATGCAGAGGGACATAAACGTTTGCCAAGTTACTCACTGTCAGGTTTTTTAACCTCCATTATATTCCTCAAACACTTCACCAAATCATGGCAGGGCTGTATTGAGAATCTAGGCGGATCTGGGTTCTGCACAGTTTTATCTCGGCCTGTCGTTTGCCCCGGGAATAAATCATACACTTTTAAAATGCTGCCACATCATATTTATCGTCTTTTAAAAGTGGCTGATAAGAAATCCTTGTGGGTGTTTTGTTGGCTTCATAAGACCTCATTATGAGTGCATGCGCACACAGGGAAAGCAACCAGGCGATTGCGAAAGGCAGGCGTCCTCTCTTTCTATATTCGAAAGTCTCAACAACTGTCCATTCGCCGACTAATTGGTGTTCACAGGTCGGAAAGTCTTGGCAGAAAGTGTGAGCAGAATTGATTTTTCAGGAAGAAACCAGATAATTAAAAAAACAAAACTCTTTTTTACAGGTTGGTTTTCTGTGTGGTGCAAAGGTGTGCTGGGCGTTGCCGACATTGTCTCATTCTCATCTCCACCAACTGGTTTGGTGTGTGTGTGTGTGTGTGTCTGCTGCATCAAAGGTAGATCGAGCCCCGCCCCCTCGGCTCACATGGGAAAATGTAAGACCTACAACATAAACATGTAAGCGCAGTGTTTCGTGTTGAGTATTCAGTTGTTCGCCCTAGGAGATGACGAGGTTGTTGGAGGTTTTTGTAAGTGTACGCGCAGCGTTGAGACAAAGGGATTCGTCAGTTGTGAATCATTATCTGCGCAGACGGGAACGCGGCTCAAGCCTCCTGCCAGAACACGTTTCCGACCCTGCTGACTGGTGTTCCTCTTAGCCGTGCTGGTGGTGCGCCTGTACAAATTAGATGAAGTTAGTCCAACACATTGTATTGCAATGTGATGTTGTGCACATGTTCATGGTCCCAAAAAAGGGTAAAACCAACCGACGTTCCTCTCCCGCCACTATGAAGGGGACATTTTGTTGTTTTTAGACATGTATGTCTACCTGAAGATGATTTGTAAAAGTCTTCTAACAATGTTTCATCGTGAATCATCGTCAGGCCAATATCTTTTCTAGGATTTTCTTACACTAAATACCTAAAATTAGGTGTTATACGGCCATCAGCCTCTGCTCCACTTTGTGTTATTTGTTATCAGCAAATGTTAGCGTGCCATGGCTCTAAACTCCTGTTAGCATTTAGCTTAGCGCACCTCGCACAGCTGTAGTCTTTTTTTATCGTTATTTTGCATTACACCTGGAGAAAGAAATAGTTCTCTGGAAGGTTTTTTTACTCCTTGACCTGCTGTCCCATCCTTCACTCGCCGGTCAGCTGAATCCGCGTCCTCGTTTGGGTTCGGGTCAACATTCACGCTCCGAGGGCGCCGACAGCGTCTTTGGACGGTTCCCCTGGAGTGAAGGGTAACCAGAGACGTCACACGTGGCTGCTTGCCTCCTGCTGTTACAAGATTGTGTGTGTGCAACTGGAACCTCATGCTTGAACAGGATAAGTGGAAGTCAAACTGTCTTTCACGCCAAAAAGCGCGACTCATTAATCCCGCTGTGCTGTGAATAAATCTGCATTCACTCGGCCGCTTGTTGTTTTACTGTGAAGAAATGTGTTTTTCTTTGAAACACAAGACAAACAAGACAGAATAGTAGTTGTTTCCACGTATGTTGTTCTGTACACTAAAACCACTACGCAAACGTCAGGCTTGACTTGCTGTATTATCTATGTTTATGGTTGAACTTAATGATCACCTTGTTCTTCTCTGGTATTATGAAGATCGCCAATCGTGTTCTGCTTCTACGTGATTACAAAATTACATTAATCAGTGCGTTGAGAAATTTAAAACGATGGAGAACATAATGATGGATGGAATGGAAATAACACAACTAACTACATTCGTCATCTCTGAAAGGTCTCAAACAATACACAATTCCAACACAAGGCAACAGCACTTTTTTAACTTAACTTTGACTTTTTCATGTGCCTGCACATGTTTACAAGCCAGCCATTGAAAAACACATCAACTCTGCCTGAACCTTTTAGTCATTAAATCCCTTATAAAGTGAAAAAAAAGACTGCATGTTCTTAGAAGTGCTGTAATCATTGCTGACGTGCACGTTGAAATATTTTTGTTTTAAGCGTCATTATTTCATTACGGTTGTATCTCAGAGTGATATTGTATGTGGTATTCATTCGTCTCCCTCCTTCCTTCCAGACTACGGTGGTTCTTCAATGATGAAATATAACACCGTTTCCCCAAACTACAGCTCCAAATCCACCTACGTGTACTCGGGAGCCCAGACAATGGTGAGCACACAGCATTATGTCACTGTTTCCGGGTCTGCTCACACAGGTCTGGGATTTATCCAGCTGGTCATGTAACGCGCCATTTAAACACTGTCACTGCCACAGTGGGTCACCCAGGACACAGGATGTGTGGTATTTCACAGTATGCCGCCATGAGACCAGCTCAGGGTTTCAAGTGCACCCTCCAGATTCCTCCATTTTAGTGATTCAACAGGAACACATTGGCTTGTGCTACAGACGAAACCCGAAGCTTTTTCAATTTGTCCACATTGGATATTTGAGTGAATAATAATGACCTTATCTTCTAAACACATGTATGCTCGTAGGACGAATATAAATGAATATGAACTTTTCATCAACACATGCACAGTTCATCTGAAGTCTGATTAGACATTTAACGGTTACTCCTCTTCCATATTCTCAGGGTCCTCGCGTATCCCAGAAACCAGGCTTCAGCAGCCAGTCTGTCGGCCCGGACATGATCTTGCACAGGATCAGTGTCGGAGGTGGGGCTGGTGGAGCTGGAATGGGTGTTGGAGGTGGGGGTGGTGGAGCTGGAATGGGTGTTGTAGGTGGGGGTGGTGGCGGTTTTTACCGAGAAGACGTACGCATGGGCGGCTACCAAGGAGGCTACCAAGGAGGTTACCAAGGAGGTTACCAAGGAGGCTACCAAGGAGGTTACCAAGGAGGCTACCAAGGAGGCGCCGTGCAACAGAGCCGGATGGAGCCAGAGCCCCTCTCCATCCACGCCGTGCAGCATCACACAGCACAGGTCCACCCCTGGGCGGTGGACATGAGCGATGCCGGCAGTATGATATCCGACCGGGACGCCATTTACGGTGGCCAGTATTCTCAGAGCGCAGTAAACGGCTACACCTCCCAGATTAGGCAAGGAGGAAGCATGATCGTTGCGCCCGCCATGCGCCGATCTCTTAGCGGCACCCTGTCCCGCGGCGGAGGGATGGCAGGAGGAGAGATGGAGGTCAACCCGCCACATTCCGTCAAAGGCCCAGCCCAACGCACTCTCAACAGGATGACACTCCGGAACCGGCAGAGCATGGGCTCAGTGTCTGGGCAACAGATTGTCCAAGGAGGGAGCATCTATGGTGGAGACAGAATTGACGGAGGGTTTATGAACTCCGGAGTGTCCTCTGTTTCCCAGGCGAATCTTTTACAGCGTAAGGGCACCATGTCCCGGGCCGTGTCAATGAGAAGCCTTAAGAGTGTGGGCAGGGGCGCGGACATCTTCGACACGCAGATGGACATGGGAGACACGGGCGGGTGAGACATTACATTTAGTCATCTGCTGTAGATATACTCTCACATGGCCCTCCTGAGTCAGTCCCACATACACCATCCAGCTGCTGTAGATACTCACTGGCACACAGAATGTGTAGTTATTCGTTACTGAAGATGTTTGAACAACGCCTGCTGTATATATTTTTTTAACTTTATGTCTTCAATAGGAACAAACTTGGTTCTTGGAACAGAGATAGAAAATGTATTGATAGAAAAAACATCATTGCTTTGAGTATTATCATTACTTGAGAATAAGTATTCATGTGGTCCACATCATTTAATTAGGGTTAAAATACACAATGAAAAAGATCAGCGATATTTCACACACTCGTATGTCAGTAGGTCTTAGTGAGGGACTGTATGTCATAAGAACTCTGCATTGGGAGGTGGCTCCATAGTGGCTGGACTGGTTTTGGGTGTGGCAGCTCAGTTCAAGGACTCACATTTCAAACATCCCACAACCTGTGCCAAATCACAGATCAATGTGTCATACTAAATGGCTGAATGTTTGCTAAAAAGAAACAAATAACATCTAAAAGACATATCTTGTAATACCATACATGATGCCAAGGTGCTATAATTGAAATGTTTGTTTGAATTTGCTCCTTTGCTAGGTTTGACTCCATGGACATGGCCACTGCCATTCAATACCTGAGCGAGCCCGACAATGAGCTGAAGGTCATGGGTGCTGCCTACATTCAACACGTGTGTTACAACAACAAGGAGGCCAAAGACCAGGTAGCTCAAACTGAATAAACGTGTGGTTAGATTTCCTCTGTGTTTTTCTCCTCTGAAACTCAATTGTTCAATTTTAATCATCACCGTTAACATATCTAGACTGTGCTCTGTTCGGGTGTTGCATGGAAGACATATTAATATATAACCCTAACCCATAATTATATACCGTATAGGATTTACAACTCTTATCTATGTGACAGAGAAGGCTGGGTGCTTTTGGGAAGTAGTAGTAGTAGTAGTAGTAGTTTTAGCTCTAACACCGTGTTTAGAATCAGTGTTTAATGAGTTTAATAGCTTGACATCCAGGTATATAAGCACATTTGCTTTCTTGCTGGAAGGTAGATAAGAAGTGTGATACTGCTGTTTGTGCAGCAACTGGGAAGTACAGCCGAGTAGCTTAGACCAGATTCAGAGGGAAAACAGCCTCCCTGGGTCCGTCCGAAAGTAACTAAATAGTCCCAGCACCTAATTTAATAGTTCAATCAATTCTTTGGAATCGCTCACACACTCAAGGTACCAAAACAGCTCAAATCCTAAGCGAATGTTTTTCTTGCCACTTTGTTTCCAGGTGCGTCACCTGAAGGGCATTGGTGAGCTGGTGAATCTGTTCAACTGCGACAACCAGGAAGTGCAGCGTTATGCCACTGGTGCTACACGCAACCTCATCTATGAGAACATGGACAACAAGGTGGCCCTGATCGAGGAGGGCGGCATCTTACAGCTGGTCGAGGCACTCAAAGATCATGATGAGGAGCTCAACAAAAACATCACTGGTAGGAAAATCGCAATCAACTTAATTAAATAAAAAAAATAAAAAAAATGACACAACAAGCAAAATTTACAGAAATTCATGCAATTAGCTGGTCACTATATTTGGATGCAACATAATCTGGGCAGCAGTGTCCTTGAAAGCGAACAGCCTTTGAGAGCGATATTATTCACCAACAAACAGGGTATTATTTCATTCAGTGGAGTAGTTGTTCTGCACTTGACATCCAGTTCATGTCTAAAAAGGTTGACGGTTGACTCTTCCCCGCCCTCACTATTCAAAATGATCTTACTCATAAAATGACATTTAAACAATCTATGATGCACCAACTTCACAGTGTAGAAATGTGGACGACCTGAGTAGGAGTCAGAGGTGGGTTGGGTGGAGCTAAAGGTGTTTCTTTAGGGTGTGTGAGAAGAGAGGGGGTGTAAGGGCGTGTTGGAGTTGTTTGGGCGTGTATCACCTCCCTTTATGAGGGTCACTCTGTTCTTTGAGCAAATTTGATACAAAACAAAGGGAGTGTTGCCGTGCACCTTTTTCTGCCTAGTTACCCAAACAGTGACACAGACGTCTTACCTTTCCCGGAAAGTACCCCTAATGCTTTGTCTTCACTGCCACTTCAGTTTCTTTCAGAGGTTCCAATTTAACCCAATATCCATAATATATTCATGTGTAAAATTACCTGAAACTAAGAATACTTTTGGATGCTTTTGACTTTTTACATGACCTAAAACCCCTGTAGTGATATCAAAGAGATCATTTGAATCTCCGCGATTGACGTAAAAATGTCCTATATTTATTTACACGTATGTGCAAAATGAAGCATATGTCAGTAATGTCAGTTTTGTTGGCATGTGTGCAGGTATCCTGTGGAACCTTTCATCCAAAGACAACCTGAAGGAGAAACTGGCCAAGGAGACGCTTCCCGAGCTGACCGAAAAGATCCTTATCCCTCTGTCAGGCGGCTCGGAAGGCATCCAGCAGTCTGCCTCTGAGGCGGACATCTTCTACAACACCACAGGATGCCTCAGGTGCGTCTCACAGATACCCACGTCTTCTCTTTGTGCATGTAGACTGTTCATTAGTTAAAATGCATGCACAGTCCCTTTTAACTGTTTGCAAAAGCCTGCGTCACTCCAGCCTCCAGTTGCTTTTGCTCTGCTTTGCTTGTTTACCCTGGAGGGTGTTTATCTCCCATTGAATCACTATTGTGTTTTTTTGCAACGCTCTGTTGTGCAAAAAGTAGAAAACTCTCTCCTAAGTCAAACTGTACTGCACTCTCTATTTGAACCCTCCAGTTAAAGTAATAAGAGCAACAGTCCCTTTGCTTTTTATTAACAGCTCAAAGAAAAGAGTGACAAGTCCCTCATAAAGGGAGCGGATACACGCCCAGGCAACTCCAACACGCCCTTATCCCCCCCCCACCCCCCTTCTCACACACCCTAAAGAAACGTCTTTAGCGCTACCCAACCCGCCTCTGACTCTGCGTACTAAAGTACACGACACGTCATATGAAGTGCTTGCATCATAGATTGATAGAGAAAGATCATTTTGAATAGTGACAGAGTGCTGGAGGGCGGGGCCGAGTCAACGTGCAATATTCCTGACTGGATTTAACTGAAATATCTCCGTGTGCTCAGGAATATGAGCTCTGTGAGCGAAAAGACCCGTCAACAGATGAGAGAAACTCGTGGACTGGTGGACTCTTTGGTGGGCTACATCAATAGCTCCCTGCAGGAAGACAAGGCCCAAGACAAGGTGAGACAAGACCGGGAGCGCTGAACTCGTCCTGCTCAATTCACCAAGGCTTGTGTATTTATTTGTCTGTGTCTGGTGTGTTCTTCTTAGGGGGTGGAAAATGCCGTGTGTGTCTTGAGGAACCTCTCCTACCAGCTCTACACGGAGATGCCTCCGTCTGTGATGATACGACTGGAAGGACAAACCAGAGCTCAGGCCTCGGGGAAGGGCGAAGCCATTGGTTGCTTCACGCCTCAGAGCCGGAAATCCCAAAACGTGAGCACGCACGAGATTCGCCGCTCAGCTTTTTGTCGTACGGAACACAATCACCCGGCTCAACAAAGGCTCCCTGTGTCTTCCCTTCCCCGGCAGAGCAAGAACCAGGATCTCTCCACTTTCACCGAGGTCGCTCGGGTACCAAAGGGCGTGGAGTGGCTGTGGCACCCACAGGTGGTGGGTTTGTACAAACGTGTGCTGGACCAGTGTGAGGACAACTTCACCACCCGCGAGGCAGCTGCCGGAGCGCTGCAGAACATCACGGCCGGAGACAAGCGGGTAGGCGGCAGATTGCTGCAATCAAATGCAACAATGTTTTTATAAGTTTGACCCAATGAATGTGACGCGTGCCTCTTTGCCGTGCAGTGGGCGTCCGTGCTGAGCCGCGTGGCTCTGGAGCAGGAGCGCATTCTGCCAGTGCTGCTGGCCCACCTGCGTACCAACAGTGACCTGGAGCTGCGTTCTCTCACAGGCCTCCTCCGAAATCTGTCCCGCCATGCCAAGGATAAGAATGATATGGGTCAGTTCTTTTTATTTTTTGTTTTTCTTGTTAGATGTAAATCATGTGCTGCTCCGAGATACTTGTTAACAGTGTAAATGTTTAATATATTTCATTGGCAGTAAAATGTGTTGTTTTATCACAGTTTAGACTCATTTCAGTAATAATCTCACCTCATCAGGATATTAATGTTAAAACATAAATCTTACTGAATTTATAGAATTTAAATTGACTTTGAAACGCATTTATCTGAATTTGTCGGGTATCTCTTTGATTTAGAAATGTAACAATCTGTCTATATTCAATTTAATGCATGAAAAGTAAAAATAAAATCCAAAGCAGAATATCTGTACTGATCCCATTGCTAACAGGTTTTATTTGATTGTAAAAATAAAACGATCCTCACTGATTCGTCCAGCTACAAAGGTGGTGAACAACCTGGTGTCCCTGCTGCCTGAGGATGGACACCAGAAGGAGCCCTCCAGCGACGTGACCATCAACATCTGTGGTGTTCTTAACAACTTAGTGACCAGCAGTTCTGTAGCTGCCCGAGACATCACTTACTTCGATGGACTCACAAAACTAATCGCCATCAAGAACTCACATGACAGCAGGTGGGCGGTCGGAGAGGAATTCATTCAACAGGCCAAACTAGTTCATTGTGTACTTGTCTTGTTGGTACAGACATTTGCATGTTTTCATGTCATTTGATGTTAAATGTTGCATAAAATATACCATAGACGTCTCCTCATCTCCTGAAATAAGGGTATTTGTACCAAGCATTAACATTGCTTGATGCATCTGTTTTCAGCTCTGCGAAGATGAAAGCAGCCAAAGCAGCAGCCACCGTTCTCAGCAACATGTTCCAGTACAAGAAACTGCACAAAGACTACAGAGCGGTAAATTACAAAAATCAAACTGCATGATGGAAGAGAATTGAATTCAAAATGAATTGTAGATCAAAGACAAAGCATAAACTATATATTAAAAAAGATCTCAATCTATGACTATACTGCAGTTTCTCATTGAGGGACTAAAACTATTTTCCTACCAAATGATTTAATTCAGTGTAACAAATAAATAACTTGGTACATATTTTTTAAACCACAGTGCACTCAATTCAGCAAAGACACGGCAAGAACAACAAGTTAAACTCTATGTGTCCACTGCCGCTCAAAAGTCCAAGCTCAGTGGAAACGTTTTCTCGTCACACCCTCATTCTTATAACTGAGTGTTTGCGCGTCAGTGTGAAAAAGTGAGAGTGATTGTGTGTGTGTGTCTGTGCGTGTCTGTAGGTGTGTTTGTGTGTGTTCTGGTGACAGATTACATTCCTCTCTCTCCGCCATTCCCTCGTCGGTTGGTGTGACAAGTTTGAAACCCAGCTAACGCCGCTGTTTTTAAAAAAAAACACACACGCACACAAAGGCGTGTCCACGTCTTGGGGAGGATCCGGTGCCGTGCGCCTTCTGCCTTCTGCAGATCACGACTTGCCCCTCCCAAGGGTGTGGTGCTCCTACCGAACAAGTCACAACAGAGCGAAAAAGGCCTCAAAGCTTGTGTTAATTCCTGTATACCTGCACCACCAACTGCTACCAAAAAGGGAATAAAAAACGTGAAATTTGAAAACCATGGCATGGTGTCTTAACCTCTACCTCGTTTGTTTCTTTGTGTTGCAGAAAGGGTTTTCTAGAATGGATTTCGCGGATATGTCCGTCTAAAAGAAAAGTAACGCCATGCAAGATTCACTTCTTCAGCCGCCTGTGGACTAAATCGACACTTCGAATAGTTCAAAGATAGATCGTAGGCTTCTTACCTGCCTTACTTCGTGATGACAACTTGGACACACAAGTGATGGAGCTTCTACTCGACGGAAATGGACTTCTAGGGTGTTTTAAAAACTCATCGTTCAAGGAATGTGGAATCGTGCGCTGGATTATTGATGGACTTTGATACAAATGTGTGCACCTTTAGCATTTACTCTCTTTGTTTGAACACTGTATGTTTTAGTTTGAAATCAGGGATGTTTTGTCTGTCAGAGCAACATTTATTCTGATATTTGTTTCTGCCAGTTGAGCAACTGTTGATGGACGATATGGGGACACTTGTGCCTTGTCTTCTCACTTTTGCACCTCAACCACAGCAGAGATGCCAACAAGTATACTTTTGTAAATATTGCTCTTCACGCAGAAATCTAATGTTTTATATGTTGCATTTGTGTACTTTGTATTTCTGGATTTTGTGCGTCTATAAATGAGTCCAAATTACAACATAGTTCTGATTGAATGTAAAGAGTCATAGAAATGTCGATCTTTGATGGTATGGATTTTGGCTCCACAGTCGACATTAGAACTAGTTAAGTGCTTTTTTAAACTTTCCGTTTGTAACTGCTGTGTCAAACTAAACTCAGAGTATGGCGAGTTCTTCCGGGGTGAAAAGGATACGATCCAAACAAATCCAGTATTTGTTGTCTTATTCTAAATCGACCACTTCACATTCAGACCCCATTGAAACTTAAGTTTAATATTTAGATTTTTTATGTCTCACTTGTATTAATCCAAAACTTTAAATACTTATTATTGTCCATAAAACCATATTTCTGTTTGGCTTCTGACTGTTTTATATCTGCTTTTCGTGTTGTGTACAGGCAGATATATCATCTGGATATTCAGCTAATAAAGTTACCGAACTGGAAGTGAAATGTCCTTTTTGGATTTCTTGAGTGTATGTGTACAGTATGCGTGTTTGCAGATCTGCGGCATGTGCTGTCTACAATACAGTGACACTAAGGTGGGGAAATGTCGGCCACTCCCTGTTAACATATTTGCTCCTGTTTGGACATGAATATTACCAGACGTTGCCTGCTGCACCCTTATTTAGACTCTTACTTCATTGCAGGTACTGTATATCATTTCTCTGTCAGGACAAAGATCATTGGCTCCTACAGAGAAATTGTCACGTATTTTGTCAAATTGCTTTATTGGTGTGTTTGCTATGTTATTTCCGTCACATTTATTTCCTGAAATGCACTTGTGCAAAATCTGTTAAAAAAGAAGAATTATTTCATCTTATCTGACATCAGTTTATAAGAATGCTACCAGTGAAATGCAAGTCGAGAGTTACTTATTTTCCTGATTAACACAATAATTTGTCTTAAAATATTCTACGAAACAGCAAAAAATACCGAAAAACAATAAGAATAATTTTCTTTACAAGTAAGTGGAAATAAAAATAGGTAACACTTTGATTTTAACAACACACTGTACACAAAAGAAAAACACATTTACTAGATAACTATAAAGCAATGGCATGTAGGCATGGAGACCAGTAGCAGTGGGGGGGTGTGAGTCACATGTCCTCAGTGACCAGGCAGTAAAAGTCTGTGCGGGCTCCATAGTTGCGTGATCCGAGGTCCGACACGTCGATGTCGGAGGACTTGGGCTCAGCTGCCTGGATGGGAGCAGCAGGGAGGACAGGAGCTTTAAAGGCCAGAGCCTTGTACACAGGGAGGCGCAGCCCTGCAGCAGAAAGAGCAAAGGTCAAACATGTGTCCCAAATGAATGCACATACATCATATATTATTTTGATGTATTTTAATAATCTCCCCTGACTTTCAAATTAAATTCTTGTTTCATTGTTACACGTTTTTTTGCCCGGGAAGGAAAAGATCAGTATCAACTTCAGAGTGAGGTGCATTGTGTGCAATGAGAGGTAACGCACAGCACAAAGCTGGACTCATTCAAATACTCTTTGTGGAAGATTTGTTTACTTTCTTTACAAGAAATAGATGTTATCTCATCGGGCTCATCGTGGGATGGGATTTACATCTGAGTTAAAGATTAACGGCAAATGAATCCATGTTTGTTGATTCAAACTAGTATGAAACTACATCAGTTTCGATTTACAATGTGTGTCATAGAAGATGAAAAAAGTCTCTTATCAAGTTGAGACTTGGTTGAGACTTGCAATGAGGCTATAACTTGTATATTCTAATGCCCATGCAACAGACAAGCATTTAAATCTCTGCATTAGATTTAAGCAAGCTTGCCTCAATATTATGAAACAAAACTGTAACACACCTTGCATTCATTTTGCCCGAGGTAACGCAGCTTCAACATGCATTTCCTTCATTTGCATGTGCAAATAGAGTGAGGCAAACATCAGTATTGGAGGACATATCTAGTGCTGTGGCTCTTGTTCTCACCCAGATCTCCAGCAGGGTCTGTGTCTGAGCGGCAGTCAAGGTACTCGGAGTCCAGGGTCAGCATGGGGTCCCTGTCATCTTGTAGCAGAGTCTGAGGGTCGCCTGCAGACTCACTGTGGAAGACGACTCTGCGGGGCATCGCTAAGGCCAGCTCCTTCCAGAAGACGGAGGAAGGAGTCTGTGGAAACCCAACACGACCTTTTCAAACCAAGTTCAAAGGGACTCTCAATGCTCTTTCGAGAGAGAACTAGACAACATTATAGATGCATGTATGGCTGCACGTATGTTTACAATCATTTATTATCACCCCGCTGGCTTTTATTGTAGATCTTACCACCGAGTTGTGCCTCCAGGTGAGTATGGTGAGGCGGTGCTGGTGCTCACTGAGCAGTTGCTTGATCTCAGGCCTCATGCGTTTGGACTGACCCTCCAACATGATGAGGATGGGCCTCTGACACAACTCCAACAGTTGCAGAAGGCCCTGCCTGAGGACACACACATCTAAGGTGTGTCACGATAGGACACGGTGGAGAAACTGCTCCAAATTGCACCGACAGTGACCTCAAGTGGTACGTTGTAATGTTACCACATCCGTGTAACTCTTTATTGTAATATGAGCGTATGAAGTACGGTTTGAAAATAATTATTTATGCATGAAATTTGTCTGACCTGAAGTTATTGGAGCACCAGTCCTGCTCGAGGTAAGCATGAGAGAGCAACACGATCAAACGCCGCGAGCGACTAATGTTCATTAGCAGCTCTGCAGAAGGTTCTGGAGTCAAAGAATAATGTTCAGCATTGTTAGAAATGAGTTTTAAACCAAAAGAGCCTGTTCCACAAACAGGGCCAACACACAGATCACAAATGTTATGCAAACCGGATATGCATTCGTATATATGTAGAAAGTAAACATGCAGCTTGCGTGTTTTAAAGTCAGATTATCCTGGATTTTTTAAGACAGAGAATATTTCCCATTGACCCATCGTATGCACTCAAGACCAGCAGACATAAATCTTACCCGAGCCTGGTAGAATATCATTGTCAGTGAGATGCACCTTGAGCGCATTTTTGTTCTCCAGGTGAGGTTTGAGAATAAAGTTGACAAACTTCCTGTCGTGGTCATTGTTCACATAAGAGATATAGGCGTCATATAATTTGCCATCTGCAGACACGGGGACAGAAACAGCGTTGTTAGTACTGCTGTACAGTCATTAACGCCATTACAGCAGCCTCGTATCGCTTCATAGGACCTCACCATTTAGATCGTAGGGGCCGTAGGAATTCCTGTACCACAGTTTGATGTTCAAGTGACACCGGGAGTACACAGCAGCAGCTACAGTCAGGAGCAGGAGGAGAACGACGGCTGCAATGACAGCAGATGTGTGGTTGGGGCCAACCGAGCACACAACCGTGTCTGTGGACCAATGATGGGCATAAATTAAACAATCGATATACTTTGATTGAAGTATATCTCTCTAATCTTTCGGTGGGTTATGTTTTGAGAAATAAAAAAGATCTTTAGTTGTCCTACTTGAGTACGGCAGGCTGAAGTCAGCGGAAATGTTCCTCACTGTGCAGCTGTAGAGCCCAAAGGCATCTAGCTCTTTAAGGTTGACCACCAGAAGACTGGTGACCATCAGCTGGCCAGCAACAGGAGACCTGATATGGGACAGAAAGCAGGATCTGCCCTTAGAATACAGCCAAAGGTTCCGACACATTTTCTTATTCAACGAGAAAGTGTGTCCAAACCTTTGACTGGTACTGTACATTTGAAATGCCGGTGCATTTAACTCATAAAAAAAAACAAATGTACCATGAAGATGTATTCTGAATGTGAGGTGTGTGATTGGTCAGGGGTTGGCCCTCTTTACTCCACTGCAGTGTGGTGTCACAGGGCTCTTCTGTCGGGTCCCATTGGAGTTGAGCAGTACAGTTTAATGTCACGGTGTGTTCCGCACTTGTCTGGAGTCCTTTCAGGACCCCAGTAAGTTCAAATGTTGGGACTTTGGAGCACTGGGAGTCTGTGGAAAGACACACCTCTGTTAACTGTGTTCACTACAGGAGCTCTGGACAATGGAGGCCTCCATGTGCACAGCCTGAAATGAAACGCGTCCTCGCAGGTGTCGTTGTCCAACTAGACCCTCCAAACCCCCCCTGAAACAAACTCTTTGTTTACTTTGCTTCATGAGAGAGCCACATGATCACGGTATTGGCCTGAGATGACTTCATTACACGCGGAAACAATACTTACCTTTGACTATGAGACGCACAGTGAATGAGGCTGTGCTGTTGCTCTGTTGCGTACAGGTGTAATTTCCTTGATCTTGCAAGGTGAGGTTGGCAAACTCCAGGTATCCCTTCCCTACCTGAGCAGGGAGCTGCTGACAGTCCTTCTGCCAGGTGAGCTCGGGCTGCAGGGGGCTGCGGGGCTCCAGAGGGCAGTTCAGTCGATACGGGGGCGTCTGCTGCCCCACATTGAGCATGTGCTCCTTAAACCTGCTCTCGTCCACACAAGACTGAGCTACAAATAGAGAGACGGGGGGGTTACACAGCCGTCTTTACATAGTGGAAGCAACAAAAAATCGCGTTGAATAATGGCACAATGACGAAAATGGAATTCATATTGTGTGATCGAAGAAATGTAGCTTTCGTTTGAGAAAACAGTTTGCCGACCATATGTGGACGAACAGTTTCCATTAGCTCGGTGCAATTTCAGGAAATGGGTTTGTTTGGTTTGTTCATTAGACTGAATGTCTTATGGTGCATGAAGGTGATCTTCGCTCTCATGGGGGGAAGGGGGGTGGGGGGTGTAGTTGCTGACCTGGACGAAATGGAAGAAAAGGGAAAAATACCTGGTGGTGTGAGGACACGTTCAAAGCAAACAACTGACTATCCCGCTGAAATGCCGCTTTGTCAGGACACATTTAAGACACGTGTCAAACTATCGAGAGCTGCCCCCTGCATGTGGACCTGTTATTCAAGATATTCAGCGCATGCGCGGAACTACGACTAAACCAGCAAAACTGCCCGCGCCGGTTCCTCTCGGACTTCCCTTTTGTTTTATTATTCCGCTTCTCAACCGTTTCTCAACCAATGCGGAACTCATCCGGGTCAGAAGTCCGGCTCAATTTTTCATGTTGCCAGGCAACAGCATGTGACCCCCGTGCACACTGACCACACGTGCACCGACCTGGTATTTACTCATCCAGCACCGCGTGAGCCTTCTGCTGTGACTAATAGTTTGCTATGGTCAAATACACCAAGAACAATGCTATCTGCAGCTATCGACACATGCACTTTATTTTAAACGGTATCTAAAAACAAAGCGTGAACCTATAATATGAGTAAATCCAAGGGCATAATGGTTTTAAACTTCCCCATCCTTACCCTCCGCGAGGACAGACTTGTCCCATTTCCCGGTGGACACCAACATTAGGACGAATACGATCAGAGCCATGAGGGGCAGTCTTCCCCTTCCTCTTCCTCTTCCTCCTTCCTCAGGTGGGTAGAGTGACCGAGTGAAGTGTATTTTGTAAATCTACATCACCACCTATAACATACGTATTATTACAGCTTCATTACGTTGCATGGAGCCGTACAGTCTACGTGACGACGCCAGCTTTCTGTTTGATCACCTGCACCTGGAGATACCTGAAACTCGTCTGGCTATTGGCTCCCCGTGGTCACGTGACGCCTGCTTTCACCTACGTTAAGTAATGGGAGGAGACACGAAAACTCCCGAAAGTACAACACCTACGTCACGCGTCTCGGATAGAATGATATCTCTAGTTATTATTATTATATATTTAATAATTCGTAGTGTTTATTTCATTCAAGGGTTCTGGAGTATCTTCAAATGCACTATTTATATAGGAGTTATAAGTGGTAAATAAAAATTGTTATGAATAATACATGTTCATAAAGCAATCCCTTCCAGGCTGTATAATTTCACTTTAAATATATATTTATTTATCATTAATAAAGTTACAACTTTTTTTAATCCCCTGTCTGATAATTCCCAGAGAGAGAGTGGTTAGGATTAAATGAGGTCAAAATGCTGTTTCAACAGATTTCATGGGGACACTTATAATACTGATAATATCTTTTGGCTGGGAATTCTTAAATGTAAAGGTGTGGAGACTAAGAAACATTAGCATCAACCCAAAAAGTCACCATGTGTGTGTGTAATTTGGCAAATCCCCTTTGATGCATCTTATAACCCAGAAGGTTAAACTCAAAAGACACAGTAGTTCAAAGTTTTCTTCTTTATTCAATAATATAAAATATTATAATGCAAAACAGTTTAGGTCTGGTTTACAAAAGACACCTTCAGACTGTGTCTGCAGTAATGACAATCCTCACAGCGTTTTTTTACACTAAGGCAACACCTTAACACACAATCGGTACTGTATGTGTAGTACCAGTATAAATTATGTTTAGGCCTATTGATAAAAACACATGCGTCTCACAAATATCAAGATCCAAAGGTAAGCTATTGGTGCATTCTTACAATAAAATTAAAAAAAAAACGGAAAAATAAAATCAGTTACTGTACACTTGTTTTGTCCATGAAAAATGGAAAAAAGTCGGTTTTGTCGATGAGAATCCCTATATAGCAATTAACATTTGACTGCACACAATGAAAGAGAGTGGGCGCCCACTCTCTGGACTCCTTAGAAAGATGATGGCTTTGAAGCTGACTCAACACTGTTAGTCTGGACATGTGTAAACTTTAAGTGTTTGAGTGGGTTCGCGCTTCGAATGAACTGCAAGAAAAAAAACACACAAAGGTTGATTTGTTGCAGTATCTCTGTCAAGGAAACAGAGCTACACAACAATACGAAGCGCATCTTAAAAACATGTATACTATTTATTAATACACAATCAATTATTTATCAAACATAAAATGTCACAACCATTATGCAAAAATGTAATTTTTCACAATGAATACCTGTTAGAATTCATTCATGAAGTTGAATGCATGCTTTAGAAACACTAAAGTAAACACAGCCAAATGCAAGTGTGGGATAAAGCATGAACGACCAGAGGAAGTTTCTCAAAAGTTTTCACTTTCCACAAATCAGAATGTCATATAAAACATGAGACAGACAGACTTTTAACAGAGAATTAGTACCGACAAGACACTTTGTGTCTTAAACCGGAAGTATGGGTCCCACGAGGCCCGATACCAAATCCACCCAATAAGATCAGCTGTCCGCTCAAATTTCAAAAACCAATGAGCAAGATAATTTATTATTTTCTTGCCTTCCACAACATTATAACCATATATTACTTAGGACTCACCTGAGTTCCTCTTTTAGTCTGTTGCGTTTATCGAAGAGTCTATCATTCTTGACCTGCATGGGAGCACTCGGCACAAACCAGGCGGCAATGAACTTACATATGACGACAACGTGCTGCAAGCAGAGAGAAAAATGTTTGGTGTGTTATCGTTGATACGTGAAATGTGGTTTCATTAAAGATAAAATTCACTGATTTTGTTATAGACCAACATTGTAAAACATCCAAATTTACCTCAAAAAGGATGACAAACGCAAAGCGCACAGCTAAAATTAGCCAGTATTGTGGTGTTAAGGTGTAGTCATTGTCCCTGTAGTCTTTATACCTGTGGAGAAAAAACAACCAGAATGCGGATGTGATCTCTCTTATTATTATTAGTTGTTTTTTTGTTTTTTCAATCACACAGTTGATTATTCTGGTACCCGCCGCAGAAATTGTACCATTCAAGAAGAATGTGCAATTTATTTATGTAGCACTTCTATCACCTAAGGTCATACAGCAACAGGTACAGTACAATACTAGTAAATGCAGTTATTAACACCGCTGGTGTGAAGGGTGAGCGCTTCGGACTCTTTTGTTACACCAATTTGAGGTTTTTACATAAATAAACTCTGACCTGATCGTCATCCATAGAAGACAAACAAAAATGAGAGCGGAACAAACCTGCAGTAAGAGACATTATATCCACCAGGAGAAACCATCTGACTGGCTGAAAACTCGTTGCCTATGTTCTGGTCATCCATCCGTGCAGTGGAGAGAGTGTTGTTGATGTATCCGGCCATGCAGCTTGAAAGAAAGAAGAACAAGTTATTTTTCTGTAAAAGTGAGGATTGCACAATACATCAAGACATTTTTGAGGATAATTATTACTCAATGTCCGTCACTGTGCCGTTGGCACATGGGCCGTAGCGGTAGCGGTACACCAATCGAGGGACGAAGTCCGAGGATACGCCGATGACCAGCCCGTTTGCGATGACGGCCAAGACACCAATGGCCTCCAACACGTCGATCCACACACCTGAGGAAAGGAGATGTGAAGAGAACGCTCCACGGTTGGACAGCATTTCAATTCTCAGTCCAAAGTGATGCTCACCAATATCGTTGGTTTTCTTGGGAACCAGTCTGCGCTCCAGAGCGACCATTTTAATGGCATCCAGGCGTATCTCAATAACATTATTAATGAGGGCTAGCAGAGGAGCGAGAGGAAACGCTGCCACAAATATGGTGGTAAAGCTGAACTGGATCACTGGGGAGAAAGCAATAAACATATTATTTGCCAAAACTGATCCAGCATCTATGGTTTTTGTTGTTGAAGCGATGAGCAGGAGTACACACCCATCTCCAGGAACTCATGAAAAAGACTGAAGGAGTCGACATCGTTGAGACGGTAGTTGCTGACCCAGTCTCGAAGCTTGCAGTTATCACACAGTTCAGCTCCTTGTTTGGCCTCTGATTCATCTTTCAGGTAGCAGTGGGCACATTTCCTCTGCAGCTTCTGGGTTCTTCGTCTCTTAAACCACCTGCAGAACCAGCTGATGCCCAAAAGAGACATCTTTTAAAACAGCCGACACAAGTGGATTTCACGGTGTCGTACACCATTTAGTCACAAATCTGATTCATACTCACGGGCCAGTGAACTCCAACACGTTGCTGATGGTTTGCTTCAGTACCATTATAATGGCCATTTGGATGAAGAGATCTGTGAGACATCCACTGGGATGACACTGCACAGGGGGGAGTTACTTTTTAAAAAATGTATTCAGATACAATATTTAAATGTAAAACAGCAATTTTTAATTAGAAACGGATATTCAGTGTTGCTAAATGTGATCCACGTTTATGTCACACACCTCTTCCAGCCTCCATTTCCCTGAAATTCGGACGTAACCACCAGGATGACCATTTATCCTGTCATCAGTGTTGCAAAAACCAGTTATCAGGTTGGGACGACTTGACTTCAATAACTAAGAACAATGACTTTCTTTTATTTGGACATCCATTTAGTGTCCTTTAGCTTATGAAAATGTGTTGCATGGGTTTAGAATCTCCACTTGCTCTTACCTGCCGAGAAAAAACGCCACGTAGAAGAGGGAGGAGAAATAGGTGAAGAACTGGAAGGTGAACATCTTGACAGTGAAACTCTTCTCTGTGGCAGCAAATGACCTCGTTTTCTCTAGTGAAGACAATCAGTTTTCAACGGGTCAATCGATCAATGGGTGGCCCAATTTCACACACCTGAAACAACTACACATTCAACAAATTGAAATATACCGGCAAAGTAAACAAACCTATTTCACAAAGCTTCATGGCGACAATCCTGTTGACCTGCAAAGACAAAGACATCGTCATAGTAACAGAGAATACCACCAAAAGGAAACAGAGATGCCCGTTATGAGACCTGCGTACCCGTGTCATCACAGTGATGATGAGGTAATGGAGGACGGCCCCCAACATCATCGCGCCGCTGTTGGAGTGGTTGCTCAGGAACTCCCATGATCCCTCAGCCAAGAGCACTGCAGCAATCACTCTGAACACCACCAAGGCGTGTGTCAGGCCAATGATCACCAATATCTGCGGAAACCAAAAGAAAACACTCACTTCGATGATTATCCTTATGACGGCCACCATTCGTTATGAAAACACAAAAACCCCTCAACTACATTTTCATGCCGCCACTGGAACCTTATCACACTTTAATCTCATTGTTACTTCAACCTGAAATATCAGAGACAACTGAGTTTTTATCTTCTTTCTAAACATAGCCGGGCTGGCGGCGCATTTCTTTTGGACATGTTATTGCATGTGAGCATCTGCGCTGTTAGCCCCGTTATCTGCGAGCTGCCGGCTCAGCCGTCGCAATGTTGAGTACCGTTGAGAGGGCATCAAAATGCACTTATTATCTTAAATAGCAACGTTTCATGACTTTAAATATATATATATATATATATACAGGGATAAAAGGAAAGGTCACCCACCATAGCTGTGACACAGACCAAAACCAGGGTGCTGCGCAGGTAGGAGTGCTTGTATTCTTTTGGCTCGCATTTAACGTCGTTCACAATTTCCAGTATAAGTTCCTCCTACAGTGAAATACAAAGGTACACACGGTCATAGTTTCAGTGAGCATTATTGAAATGGGATGTTTTGTGTAAAAGTGATCATACCTCCTCCTCACACCAATCTGACACTTTCCACTCGCACACGTAAGAAGCTCGATGTCTCTTCCAGAACTCCAAAAACAGTGTCGCTGTGGAGATCAACGATTTGTATGAGTCCATAGAACCTACTGGAACAACACTATGAAGTATGAGGGAAAACAAAGATCCACTTCCGGGAATACGCTCCCTCAATATGAAATGAATGATAAAAGTTTTGATTTTGCGTTAAACACACATAATACCTTTGTTTATAGCATACTGACATAAAGGGCTTTGTCACAAACAAAAATGAGGCGTATTACTTTTTGTTTTTAAGACATTCTTTTTCTTTGGTTGAGGGACTTTCGCTTTCATTTGAAACATTCCTTCGCTCTCTGTAGCTCACCCATCCCTTCCTCACTTCCTTTTCATATACTCATGATCCAAGCACTTTTTAAAGGCTGCGGTGACTGTTCACTTTACTCTTCCCACGCTGTGCTACTACATTTGTCCTCTACGCTTTTTAAAAAACAACGGATACAAATTTGATGACAACGGTGAAAAGCTGATTAAGACGGTGCATTTATGTGTTCTTAGCGGTGGCCCCCACAGCCAGATGGCCTGGGCTGATTAACATGTACGAAGGCAGGACGAGTAGGTTTCCTCGGTGATGTGGCATCTTGTTGCCATCTCTCAGTGCACATAGAACATCCAGGCAGTTGTATAAAGTGAGGCAGATAAAACACTTGATTGTACCCATAGTCCTGTAAAGCCAAACGTGTTAAGACAAATAAACAGCAAAGAAGACTTCTGCATCTTGATTTTTAAATGATTTCTTCAATGATCTGCAATGTTTTCAATGTCTGTGAAGTAATATTGCATCCGCAGGATGAATGATTGTAATAATTCCACTAATCTATTTTTAACCGAAAACTAAGTATTAGAAATGAAGGACTATGTCTAACAACACGAGAATAATTCAATCATATAGACACACAAAACTCACCCCACACCGCCATGAACATTGCAAAGAGCACTGTGCCATTATTATCAAACAGCAGGCTCACCTGTAGGTAGACCAGGAGACCATCAGTGATCACAAACAGACACCATTCAACCGTCTGAAATGAATGTGCTGATGTACCTTGGCGTATGTGCAGGTGTCAGAGAGCTGCCACACTTTGCATCTCTTGTCACAAAGGGGACACATTAGCGTGTCAGCCTCACAAACCTCCTTTCTGCAACACAGCGAGCACTATATTCATCACAGTGTAAATGCCGGGTTGTGACGCAAGACACTCTGGAGCTGTGGAAAAAACTTACATAAGAGGTGAGGTGTTGAAGAAAGCAAGGCCATAAAGGAAGACGATGACCCCGATGAGGGCCGGCGGGATTAGCAGGTATGTGTACCAGCCCAACCAGAGGAAGTACAAGGCCACCTTCTCCCCAAAGTAGTTCCTGAAAGGAGAACACACACACAGAAGGAGAAAATGACCAAATGCATAAATATTGTAAAAAATAGACTTTACAAACTGTGTTTAATAGGTTTCAGATGTGAGAGACACACGGCGTACTGATAATGCCGCTGTAGGGAAACATTTAAGAACACAACATCGTACTAAATCAACATTTCCCAAAAGTGTACTGGACATTAATTCAAATTACTCGACTGACAGTGACCATTTATATTGTACACAGTATGTTGTCGTTTGTTTGGCCCAATGTGGGGATTCAAATCTCACAGCTGACGCGCTGACCTGAATCTCACGCATATCCAATGACTCTCTTCTCCCTTAAAAGTGGGAACTTGATGCATGTTTGCAAAGCGCTCTGCTGTTTGGACTCAGTAAACAAGCGAATCCAAAGACAACGGCTCTGATCTGTTGCAGCGCTAAGTACTGGACGTGGTTTTAAACGATGAGTCAAAACAATGGCGGCTTAATGTGTGGGTGGCCACGTGTATGCTGTTGTCTTGGTGTCTGCGGATCACGTGCAGAACAATAATGCTGCAATAACTGCAACTGTAAAATCAAGCAGGGAAATGAAAAGGCTGTGTGCGTTGCGGTCCAAACCTGACGGCAGTGATGGGTTGCCCTTGGAGACAGGCAGTCCATCGTGCCCAATTCTCCTTCAGCTCTCTCTGTTTCTTTTTCTGAAATATCCAAATCAAAGGAAACCACCGACATGCAGAAGAGTTTTGTAAATATTGTTATCACACCGTAACACTGATTGGAACTGAATTCAGAAGCTTACAATCTAAGAACACAATCTTATTTTGATCTAATCTGATTTTACCAGCTTGTTTGTGCAATTTCAAAACGTCCACAAATATAAAGGCTTCATATTTCGAATGACCTTTAGATATCTATTTACATATTTATTTCGTAGACTTTTATTCAAAGGGTCTTCATTTTTGAAGCAAACACTCATGCACGAGCTGTTAAAATATGTGCACACACTGTTTGTATCGGTGTGTGTTCACACGGATGTTCACATAGTCCTGCAGAGTTTCACTTTGTAATTTTAGGTGTCCGTTGTGAAAAATAAAACACCTATACGACCACGTAAAGGGAAGAGATTCTATATTAGGAAAATGTGTCACTATCTTTAGCTTGAGGTTGTGTGGAGCCTTATGGAGAAAATATGATGGTTTAATTGTACTATTCTGACCTAAAGAAAATGTCAATAACACAGTTATCATGGCCTACATGATGACTATTTTGCAATCTGTAATCGTGATAGAGCATATAGGCCTAACATAAGTCTTATGTTAAGATTTTTACCTCATGCAAGCAGAACTTTGCCTCAAAGACCTTCATCTTCATCAGATGCCTCAAACCCTCTAGGAGGAACAGCAGATGAGTGAATAACATGAAAGTGACCGTTCCACTATGAAGAGTGTAAATACAGTTTTTTCACCTCCTGAATATATAAAGGTGTGATTCAAGATGAAGTGGACAATCCTTATCCTGAAACGAGAAGAGTGTCATTTATAAAGCTGTAACATAATAATCCATTTTTGATGGATCCAATATTGAAAAGAAACGCATATTAAGACAATAGATGCTTTAATTAGCATTTGTGATTGTTTAAAATGACATAAACAGCTAGTGTAGAGCAGCGTGTTTTACCTGGTGCTGAGTGGTACGATGTTCTGATCCGAGCTCCAGTTACAAGCATCGGACACTTTGAGCAGATACCTGTACCTCTCAAAGATCTCTTTGGGCGCTTGAATCCCATAGAAGATGAGATCATCATCTATGATTTTCTAGATGGGATGAATAAAGACCAGATAAGTTAAAGAATAAACTTTTTTGGAGTTCAAGAAACCTGTTTTTCATGAAAGACTTACGGTAACTTTCAGTTTCTTTTTTTTCAGTTCTTCGATGTATTCACTTTGCTTCTTGAAAGCTTCTCTCTCCTGCTTCTCAATTGTTTTGCCAACCAGGACGTAGTCGTATGATAGAGGTGTGTGCTGAGTGGCGGCAATCACACGGCAAAGTCAGACTTTCAAAATCGATATCGATAAATCTTATTCTGGGAATGAAGTGGCCTAGAATAGTTAACGTAAAAGGGACACATTAACATCTTACCACAGGTGGGAGTGTTGTCTGTTCATTGCCATTCTCTTTTACCACTCCCATCAATTCCAGCAGTTCAATACTGGGCTACACAACAAAATAGTGAAAAACAATAAAAAGTTATGTTGAGAACATATCTTTAATAAAGCGATATTTGGGTTTCTTTAGGAAATATCATTGCCATTGAGCTCTTCAAAGGTTTCTTTTGACGTTTTGATCCACACAAGCCGAAGTAACATAGTCCCATTGTATAATAATAATAATAATAATAATAATAATAATACAACGCTTATGAAAACACGCCAAAAGGTCATCATCTTCAACATCTCCTGTTGAACAATGACGGGAGGAGCGTGTGTCAACGAATTCCTCTGCAGGTGAGTCAGGATCACCTGCAGAGTTAAGTGAGACTGACCCCAATGGCATGTTTGACACACTGACACCTTCGTGCCGATCCGCGCTATTCACTCACACCGCCAAGGTGTGGCGTACCTGGACGCGCACATCAGAACGGCGTGATACCGGTGGAAGCACAACATACATCCCATTCGATCCTTTGTGTACAGACAAGCGCGGCCCTTTCCCCCCAAAAAACTGGAAAGTGCAGAATTGGCAGTGATTTGTTCAACATAACGTCACTGGAGCAACAGCTGGCCCCGGAACAGGTTAAGCCTGAAACGATGCCGATATTATGTATGTGTGAATAAGATCACCCACCTGCCTCCTGTGGGTCGGCATGATGAGAAGGCGCTGAATGCAGATGCGACCTCCAGGATCCCCCCCAAAAAAACACAAGCTTCAGTCACCATCCGACGATCCCGGAGCCTCTGTGTCCTCTCACCGAGAGCCCCGGCTATAAAAATGACATTGCACTTGAACTGGCAGAAGGCAACTTCCGTACTTCCTCTCGGGAACAAACGTGTTGTACGTCTCACCCGCTAAGGAATGTAAAAGCGACTCTACCTGTTGCTGTAGTCGCGGCGTGTATCTGTATCGCCTCCACCTTTGTTTCCGCGTGCCGCGATGCGTTCAATGGACAAGGAAAAGCAAACAGGCTGCTGATGTGTGTTTTCAGCTGCTGCAGCCGGACGGAGACAGTCAAGTGCAATGAAAATGGTATTAAGAAAATGTCTTGCCTCCTCCTCACTGATGTGAAATAACATGCATCCACCGCTAGGTGGCAGCAGTGTCTTTACCGGCCTGTAAATCACAGGGCGCCACTGACGTCGCTCACCGCTGCACTTTGAGTCACGTATTCACTGCACATTTCCCTCTTTTGAAAACCACCAAAACATCTCCACTTTTAGAGGAAGTGCCAAAACAAAAGTCATAAAACAAGTTAATCATTGAAAAATGCATAACATTGACTGGCTGCTATTAGTAGTTTTTTGTGAAGGGAAATAATCGTTTGCTTTACTTGAGAATTTCTATTTTATACACTACATTGCCGTTATTGCAGTACAGTACAAAATGATTGAGCAACTTATAAAACGATGATGCAGTTTGATGGATTAACCAACATACAGGTGGAAATATCAAACTGTACTCCACTATAACCACTTAATTCATATGGTGTTTGATACTGACTGTAATCCTGTAATCTGAGATCAAACAAATTAAGCTTTAAAATTTTGCAATTTGTTTTAATTTGACTTACTCTTTAAAATAGACGTTTAAATAAGTTTGTCATACATTTGTGACTTGCTGAAGGTCCTGGGTTGGACTCCGCCCAGTGGCCTTTCTGTGTGGAGTCTGCATGTTCTCCCCGTGTCTGCGTGGGTTCTCTCCGGGTTCTCCGGCTTCTTCCCACAGTCCAAAGACGTGCCCTGCGGATCAGGTTAATTTGGGACTTTAAATTGCCCGTAGGTGTGTGACTGTGAGTGTGAATGGTTGTGTGTCTCTGTGTAGCCCTGCGATTGGCTGGCGACCAGTCCAGGATGTACCCTGTCTATCGCCCGAAGTTGGCTGGTTTGACAATGGATGGATAAAATATTTAGTTTTTAAATGTTTATCATGCTTTAAATCATTCTTACACGAGGAGTACTGCAGGAGGCCTACTTGATATTTATAGACTCGTGATAATCTTGTATGTGTTATGTTTTTCTTCACATTTTCTTTGTGATTACTTTCGCATAGTCTTGTGGACCGAACGCTTAAAGTTAGGGCTGGCTCAGGTTAGACCAGCCCTTAGATAAGCTGCTATAGGCCTATGACCAGGGGATTTCTTAGGACACACCAAGCTCCTCTCTCCCCTCTCTCTGTCTCTCTGTCTCTCTCCTTGTATCTGTCCCTCTCTCTCACTCTCTCTCTCTTTCCATAATAATTCACATCCCATTAATGCACATCATTAATTCAGCTTCTTCCCCCGGAGTTTTTGTGCTTTTTCGATTTGCAGATAATGTGGTTCCGTCTGGACCCTGGTCTTGCCTCCTGCCTGGCCCTGCCAACATCTACCGCTTCCAACACCATTATCATTCCCATTACTATTACTGTCAACATTAATGCACATTATTTACTTTGTTTTTTCCACGGTATTTGTGCTTTCTCGCCTCACAGGTTTCCATGGATCGTGGTTCTATCTGGACCCTGTTGCCATGGGCCTGCTGACACCTGCTGCTGCTATCATCCTTATGAGTATTATTTTAAATATTAATGCACCTGGCTTACTACATGCAATTTTTGAATCACTCTGTCATAGAACTTGAATGTATTGTACATCTTTTACGTTCATTCTGTACACATGAATCCATTTTAGTATGTGCATCTCGGGGGAGGGATCCTGCCGTTCTCCCTAAGGTTTCTTCTCTTTTTTCATTTTTGGGGTCTCGGGACAGAGGATGTTGCATGCGTACAGACTGTAAAGCCCCCTGAGGCCAATTTGTAATTTGCGATTTTGGGCTATACAAAATAAAATAAATTGAATTTAACTGTGTTTGTGTCCCATCGTTTCCAAAAAAAAAGAAAAACTAACATTTCAAATGGGTGGCCCTCTGTGCTCTGTTATTAAAGGTGAGCTCCACCATTGGTCTCGGAACCCTTGGAAAGCAACGCACACCCAGCAAGAACCACATGAGGAGGAGAGGCCAATGTGAGGCTGAAGAAAAAGTGGTCGAGAAAATAAGTGGCTGTATTTCTGTCCATGGCCACACCCCGCCGAGGAGCCCCAAATAATTACACCATCAGCAAGACCGTATGAACCACTTAAAGGGCAACAGAGGGGGGCCTCGGCGGCCAAATATAACCCGAGTGCAAGTACAGGGTAGGGAGGTGGCTGGGAGGAGCAGGGGAAAGCTGCTGGCCCCTTTCCTGAACTCCGAGGAAACAACCAGATGAGGGGAAGGACCTGTTAGTTAAGCTAAACACCATGTTGTTAGAAAACAAAGCAGAATATACCCCCAAACTAAACATCCATGTGATTACTGAAAGGTGTAATATGGAGTTTACACAGTCAGTGTGGGCTGGACAAAGAATGTAACATGGGTATTATGTTTTATTTACTGACAACTTTTTTTTGCTCCAACTACAATGGGAACAGAAAATGTCTCTATGTTAAGATCTCTCTCTATTTTATTTGAAACCGTGTACATGGTTGGTTGTGAAGGAGTGGACGCTGTAACACTGGACAAACACATTTGAGTAATATCTAAGACCAATATTAGGAGTGAAAGCAGGATCACAACCCCATAAAAAGACTTGACTGTGGCTAATTGCTGGGGGTCGTTTTTTTTCACTCAGTAAAACCTGCTCTTGGTTTCACTTGTTCACCATCACGTCACAAATGTTATCATCAGTATGAAGTCTAAAAGAGACCTTAGTCTGATATAGCTACTTGTTTATATTGCTTTGCCTTTACGTGATTGATAACTCTGTTATTTCAACTGCCCATTCCGTGTTCCTCCATTTGAACATTCATGGGCCAACCTGAAACAAGCCGTGTGAGCGGGCGGCGGCGGCTGTTCACCCCGCGGGCTCATTGGCTCGTGGCGCGGAGCCACTCCCCCCCCCGCCCCCCCGCCACGCACGGACCTCCCCCCGCCGGAGTGACGCGGCAGTCGGCGGACTCTCGTGGTGCAGAGGCGTCGCTGAAGAGGAGCTCTGTAAAGGAGGGTGGGGGGGAGGACAACGGCTCAGGAGTCACCGTCGCGTGGGGACACAACTCTTCTGTCTGTCCGGGCAATTTTTTGGTGTACTAAAGGACTGACGAGCGGGGGGGGGGGGCGGGTGTGGATTCATCATGCACCGAATAACGGGGAAAGCCGGCGGGGACAGTTTAATTGAGATGAGCCCTACCGACTCATTCAACGGTGAGTAGCTAAAACCCGGAGCCACCGGAGCGTCAAACGGTCGTGTTGTGCTCCCGCTGTTGTTGAGATACCGTCCTACTGGGAAAGCCATGGAGACTTAGCCTAGTCTTCAAAAAGAACACCTTTGACATAAAGTTTTCGAAGAATGCTCAAGAAATATTACGCTATTAAGCCTTTTAACGTTACACAATCTGGAAATTGTCAAAACTTTTTAACGACCGTAGCAACGTAACGGAAACGTATCACAATTAACAAAGTTCACCTGCGCATTTTATATTAGATTTAGAATTCCTGTGGCCTGGCAAAGGACAGTGTGTAACAAGAGCTTTTGTATTTTAGTTTAAAATCTAGAAGGCATATTTCCCTTTTCCCACCAGCACACACTGAGTGTGTCTTTCTATGGGAACTTGTGACAGCTGGCCTGTTTACTGGAAACTCTCTGTCACATACAGGCGCCACTTCTCATCTCCTCCGTGTCAATTCCAAACAAACGCCTCAGTCATTGTGTTTTTGGCCATCTATGGTGCATGAAGTATGACTCCCACTGGATGTCGTCTAGCTTTCTGTTCCACCTGCAACAGAGACACATTATTCCGGATTAGTATTAATTACGTTTGCGTCGTTTGTTGCTTTTTGAGATTATACATTGTGACTCCACAACATGAAGTCCTTGTTGTATTCCAGATCTTGGTTACTTAAATATGGAGAAGCATAGATTTGACAATGGTGACTGCTGATGGTATAACAGTATACCTCTAGCCGTATTGAACAAGGCAGGACCAACAAAAAAAGAACTTATAAGTCTGTTAGCAGTTCTGTTGCCTGTAGCATTTCCACACAGCACATCAGAGTCTAAGTGAATGAAACCTAAAATCTTGAAATGCTTGTTGCATGATTTCCCTTTTTGTGTTAATGTAGCTACGTGAAGTCTGCAGTAGGTCGGTTGCTGTGGTAATAATAAAAAATAAAAAAGCCTTGTGGCATTTCCAGCGTGATCAGCTGCTCTCTCTTGAACAAAGCCTTAACTGTGGAGGATTCTTCGCTAGGTGAGAACTAGCGAACTAGAGACTGTTGGCTACTGAGTGCTCTGATACTGAGTCCCACTGGGCAAAGATGTGCTCAGTGTGCTCATATGTTGTGAAAGAAACATATTTAGAGACCAATGACAGAAAAGTATGTTGGGTGTGCAGATGATAAGAACAACAAGCTTGATTTTTACTTTTCTAAAATTGGTTTTAGTTGTGACATTGTTTGAAGGTCTGCAGTGCACATGTCAGTTCTTTAGTTTTGAACCTCTAACTTATACTTTTCTTACTTACTGTGTAATAATGTAGAGACAGAGAAGGTTAACACATTACAAGGTTCCACTGCTTGTTTCGGTTCACATGTAGGAACATTTTGTGTGTTGAGTCCAGACTAAATATAACTCCGAGAGACCATCAATTAGGGTTGCGCTTGTATTCCAACACAGACACAGAGGCTGAAACCTTGAGTTTTTTTGCCAAACGTCTTGCCACCAGCACTTGATGTTTGCCTTGCTTTTCAATCTACCCCTTTATTTTGTTTCTGTGTGTCATTAAATCAGCGTAATAAAGCCTTATTTCCTCAAACAAGCCCCTTCTCATTTGCATCACACATGGGGGGTTTACCAGACTCCCCACTCTGGTTTCCTGTGGTCCCTTCCGTAGCGGTAGCAACATGGCTGTCTGTTCTCTCACAGTGATCCTGCTCAGTCACGCTCTCTATATAAATATAGACCGCAACATTGGCGGTCTGTCAGTGCACCTCTATTCACTGAGGCAGCTGTTCATATGCCTGAAACCTTCCGGCCTCCAACCTGCCTGTCAGATATTCACGCTGCTCCTTATTGTTGGCCTGCAAGGGCGGGAGAACACTGTCTGAATTAGCATTTGATTTAGTGTTTCTTGTGTTACTGTCTTGCAGATGATACGAATGGCTACTCTCAACACGCCTCGTGCAGCACAGGATCTCCCCAGCACGAACAATCTCCGGTAAACAACAACAACAACAACCTCCCACACACACACACACAGCAATGTCAGGCAGCTCCTTTTTACTAGATTGAGGACAAACTGAGCTTCTGTTTCTTGGATCATTCTAAATTACACCGGCTGTTTGAACACTTGAAAACGTGGTCCTCGTGGATGTAATTGTGACCGCCCCCCCCCCCCCCCTATATCCGGGGGTTTTTTTTGGGGGATGTGTGCCCAACACCCAGGCGGAGCTGCGGGACAAAGAAATTTTTAAAGCCACACTGGGCCTTCCAGGATATATAAGCTGCCCATGTGTTCACTCGGTCTCACTCTTCCTACGGCCGACATCCACCCTGCATCCCCGTCTGTTTGTTTGGCTCCTTCAACATCTCCATAAAACAGAGAACATGATTCTGATACCAGCTTATAACCCTTTTCTCCTGTCTACCCCTTCCCTCCCACACTGTAGTTTAAGTCTCCTTTAAGGCCTGATGTGTGTGTAGAGACCTGTGAGTCTCTCAACACCAGCCTGGCCTCGCTGCCCCGCTCTGACCACAGCGACAGTCCTCAGTGTGAGCCTCAGACCTTAGAGCAAATCAGTGCTTTGACTGGGGTAAGACACCAGTCGGGGGCGCAGGTGCATGCCGCTGTGACAGTGTGCTTTCTCTGTGTCATTTTACGTCAACTCCAACCTGTAACTGAGCTAACATTACTTATATGACATTCAGTGATTTTCGATGTGTTGTAAAGGATGCGTAAATATAACGCGTGTGTGGCGTGTCAGACGCTGTCATCACCTCCGTAAGGTTCCCGCTACAGTGTTGTTGAATTGTTTTGTGTTGTTAGGCTTTCCCTCACTATCCAATCGGTTCCTCCACAGCTGTCGAGAAAGCGGGCGCTATTCCTGAAGTTTCGTTCCAGGGTATGGCATGGTAAAACAGGCTTGTGATGTGATGCTGTGCAACCATATGCATATTTCAGCCCGTATTTCCTTCTTGAGAAGTGTACGTTCAGTGTTGAGTTTCTCCTCTTGCATTAGTCAGAGAATAAAGCTCCCCGCATACGAGATGAAATCAATACCCGTTTCTTGGTAGCGAGCTGATGGTAGCTTCTGGAAAGCACGTTGTTTTTGCAGCAGACTGCTACGGAAACATGCTGGCAGAAGCTTTCATTAAAAGGCCTTTTTACTTGCTTTGTTCTCACCTGCGATAACCGTCCGCTTCACTGACGAGAAACCAACAGCCCGCTGGTGTCGAGGCATAATTAGAAAGTGCACGTTCGCGAATGCAGCGCATTTCTCATGGGCCTGGTAGTTTCTGAGTGTGCGCATTTATGTGTCTTTGTGTGCTTTTAAGTATATACAGTCTGGACTGTAATCATGACCCTGCCCTGTGCTCATGACAGGACTGGACTCGGCTGTGGCTAACTAACCATATAGTGTACTGTCTGCTTCTTCTTTTCAGTCCTCTAAAATGTGGCCTTGTTGAAGCAGTGTTAGAAGTATTTTCAGAAGTATTTTATTAAAAGTGGAATCCCTGCCCATTTTACATGCTAATCTTAAAGAAAAACATTCTGACAGAGTGGGAGATCAAGGATTTCTAGAGAGGAGGCAGCTGCACATCTATTAATTGCCTCTATAATGAAGCACGGAAACCAGTCTTCCTCTTACAGGAGCTTTGAGCGGCATGCATTGTTTCAGCTGGGTGGTCAACAGGAAGCTTCATGGAGAACCAGCTCTAGAAAAAGAATCTTCTGTGTGTTTCGAGCAAGTCTGAGGATTTCAATGAGGAATCAAAGCTACCACGTAGAGTTCTTGTGGACTTGTAGACTTCATTTGGCTGTTCTTTTTTCTCAAAATGAAACCTCCTTTAATTTGTTGAAATTATTTTAAAAAATAGAGATGGGAATTGCAACCTAGTCAGTAGATTCTGTGGCACCAATCACATCATTATTTTACTAATCTGTATATGAAGAAAATGAAGAAGCGTTGTTGGATGGAAAGAAGATTCTTCATCGGGATACAATTTAGCAGCTGTGCTTTTCTTAAATCAAAGAGGTGACCGGTTTAATTGAGGTTCTTCTCCTATAACTATATTTTTTGACAGTTATATTTCTAAGAAACCCCTCCCTGAAACTAGAAGCCTATTTATCTTGTGCATGTTCTGCTCTTAACCTCCTTAATTAAGATAAAAGACGCAGATGTCTATGCACCCAGTACTTAGAGGTTGGTCGGTAAATGTATAGAACTGTGTGGCGTCTCCCAGCTTTACTGAGCAGAACGCACTGATTCCATACGGCGGATCTGTAATTACAGCAACGTCGCAGAAAGCTCCCACCCTGCCAAAGTCAACGTGGTCCAATGTGGTCTCGGAGGTATTGCGGAGCAGAAAAAGATCAAACACGTGGACAGAAGTTGTTCTATAAGCTGCCGTAGTAGGCCACACGGAGTGGACGATCCAGCTGTGGAGCTATAAACAGCTGTCCTAAGAACAGGATGTCACCACTGGTCTGAGGCAATTGACACGCCTTTACCGCTGAGGGGGTTCCATTTGTACTTCACGCCCGCCGTGATAAGGTTTCTAGATTGTTTCATTTGTTAGTTTCTAACAGCCGATGTCCTTATCTGGTTATTTAGCTTTAGATGTTTGATGGTCAGCGTTGTACAGTGATGTCACTGCTGCTGATGCTGGGCTTTAAATTCCATTAGCCAGCTGGCAGCAGCCATGTTCTCCCTGATGTCATCTCTAGGAGTCTCCTCCACTTCTCTAGTATCCCTCTTTGTGTCTCCCTCTCCCTCTCTCTCTCTCTCTCTCTCTCTCCCCCACTCTCTCTGCTAGATGTCTGAGCAAGTGAGGGCTTGTCTAGGGGGGTCGGTGGGGGGGGGTTGTTGAGTGGACTAGATGCAAAAAGAATCAGTAGAGTGAGAGAAACGGTGCTTTCGAGGCTGGGTCTCCTTCGCAGGAGAAAGGCGATTGTGCTCCATCAGGCAGCCTCTCCGCCGATGCACCACGGCTGCAGAGGGAGTGGACCATGGAGGTAAAGTGCTCTCCCTCCCTCCCGACCCTCGCAGCTTTGTGGTGATGGATGCGGCCGGTTTGGTCAGCACTACAGTACAGTACAATGTTTGTGTGGTGCTTAACGCTGTCTGCTAAATTGTCTGCAGTCCAGTGTGTGTAGCTGCTACACGGGCGAGGAAAGTAACTTACTGGGTTATTTTTAGCTCTCTGAACAGCTGAAGCAGAGCTAGCAGCATTCTCTCCAGCCCCGAGGCCGCTGAAGGGCTAGCGTTTACTGGCTAGCACGTGTTTGAAATGTCTTTACCCGCCAATACCGGTTTAGATATAGATACAGATGCTTGGTGTACCTGTTGTGTAGAGGGTGGTATTTATTCATTTATGGTCCTTTCCACATCAGCATCTGCTACGCCATGTATCCTGAGGTACTGTTGCATGACTTTGGATCGATATGAAATCATTCGATTATATTAATTTAATTTTGGATTCAATTATATTATACAACAAATATTTGTTTTCTCATCTTTAGTAAATCAGATAAAAGGGACATAACCACCCTTACCCATGGCAGTTCCCCTTCATTCAGCATACTGTTTGTGTTTGGAGTGTTGAGTGTGAAGTGGTGTGGAGTCCTTGTTCTTTGGGTTTTGCTGTCAGCCACTGACCAATAACCGGTGTCACTGTCTGCTCTGCTGTGACTGAATGCATCCAAATACTTGTGGAGCTAATGCTGTTCCTCAATACGTACGTATTCAAATGGCGTGACCTCCTTCTCGTTATAGATTGACAAACAACAACACAGTAAAGACTCTGTGTTCTTCAGAGATGGAGAGCGTATGATTGACTTTGTCCTGTCCTATGTTGAAGATAAAGATGGTGAGAGAAAACAGGTAAGAAACAACTAAGAATGTATGTCCAATGTATTTGCCTAATTGCATGCATGCACAACTGATGTTTATTCGTGTTGTTGCTCTATTATTTTCCGAATTGAGTATCTTCAAATCGTAAAACGACTCAGAGGAAAAGCGGATTTTGTTTCTCACATAGAATATCCTCAAAGTTCACTGTGTTTGTCGGTGTCATACTCCAAATACCACAACACTGATAACGTTAGATAAACTGTTCTCGGGTGGACCAGTAATCCTCTTGAGGAATTTTCGGATAAGGTCAGATCTTGAGATTGCCCGGTAGCCGGTATTCCTCATTAAAACTGCTTTAAAGTGTTTCCCAACGGCAGCTGGTCAGATGTGTTTTTGTGGCATGTCATGTCATGTTGGGTGCTAAGAGACCCGTGTTGCATCCCCGGCTTTTACTCTTCACATTTTTGTGTTACCAGTCGGGCATGAGTCAGTGTGTCGCAGCCGACATTTTACCCAGAATCTGGTCAGTGAGTCAGACCGTGCTGGTCAGGAACTCTCTCATTTGTTCCACTCGATGAGGAGGAGTTCCTTCCTCCCCATATTCCTCAGGAATGTACAATGTAATAGTAGCTTTCGCTTCTAACAAGGAGGCACATTTTTTTTTTATTACTGATGATAAGGACGATTTTGCCTATATGTTAAGACATTAGACCTAAGACAAGACCTGCTATGTCTTGTAGTTGTGTAATTCTTATGTAACATTTTCAAACTGTGACTTGTTTTTTGCCTTGATTTACTTTTTTTTTTTAACTTGATTTACAGTATTCAACCGTATTTGAGTTGTCTCAGTTTTCCATCATACAATATGATCCAAATCCCTCCATCAACCCATCCATCCGTTATCTTTAACCCCGTATCCTGTTCTGGGATGGGTTGACTATAGCAGGGCTCACATAGCGAGACTGACCACCACACACGCTGATACACACACCTCCGGGGAATTAAGATCAATGATCCTAAGCTGTATGTCTATACGACAGTGGGGGGGGGGAAATGCAAACTCCACGCAAACTCCACAGTGAACTGGGGGCACGAGTGTATGCTATATGCTTTGTTTCCCTTTGAAGGAGAGGAGGAGGCTGTATGAAGCCAATCTGGTGAATGTCGGCCTGGAGCTGGAGACAGAAGATAAATCTGTAAGTGCAATATGAAAGGAAGTTGAGGGCTGTATGTATATGTGTATTTTATTTAGTCGGTGATTCATCGTTGACAAAAATAAATAACAGAATGTCAAAAAGAATAAAACAGTACAAAAATCTCTTTTCCACGAAACCTTTTCTCTTCACTAAACTTGTATTTTAGTTACTGAATCAGTTTCCGTAGACCCATCATTCTCTGTAATCTTTCTCACATCAGGAGTCAGAGGATGGAAAGACTTTTTTCGTGAAGATCCACGCTCCGTGGGAGGTGTTGGCCACCTATGCAGATGTGCTGAAGGTTAAGGTCCCTTTCAAGGCCAACGACATCCCAGACAACAGCGACATGCCGATGAACTGGCTGTCCACCCCGTTCCGTCTGCCCGAGCACATCATGCACCCCGAGCCAGATTATTTCACTGCTCCCTTTGACAAGAGCAAGTCCGACTTCTTCCTCATCGACGACAAAGAGACGTTCTTCTCGCCTTCTACTCGCAACAGAATCGTAAGTAATACTAATACTATAGTAATACTATACTATCATAGTAATCTCTCACACTTTTTTATCTAGTTTGTGAATTTGAATTTAAAACTTTTCTTTGACATTCACGTCTATTCTAAATTTGCAATATCAAATGCTGAAGATGATGCGGTCCTGTGTGCAGGTCTCCACATGTGTTACATTTTAGAACGCTTATTTTAGCAACTAACCGATACATTTCATAGGTTATACTGTATGTATTGGGAGGGTTATAATGTCAGAGATCCTACGCTTTTGTGAATAGAGAAGTAACTTTATCGTTCTGTTTTTATCCAACAAAACAACCTCCTTCTATGTCTCCCCGTGCGCAGGTCTACTACATCCTGTCCCGCTGCTCTTACTACAGGGACGAGTGTGGAGATAGAGACAAGAAGGGGATTAAGAGGTTACTCAACAACGGCACCTACACTGCTGCCTTCCCCCTGCATGACGTGAGCCTTCGATACAGTCTGCACTCATTACTTTCACGCCGCGACATCTAGTCGTGTTGCGAGGATGAACAACTTTGCTGCATGAATGTGACTGTGTTTCTATGGTGCGAGCAGAGCAGATACTGGACAAGATCGAGGGATGCTAACCGAGAAAGTGACAGATACAACCTCCACAAACACTGGGCCAGATTCTTCTGTTTCTTCAAAGAGCAGCCCCTCAATCTCATAAGGTAAGACTTCAAAAACAATTACCCCCATCTGATATACTCAACTGCGTTTTTGGCTCCCACTTCCCTGCTTTACGGACACTGTGACCTACGATTTCTCCTGGTTATATTGCCACAGAAGTCCAAATTGTTATATTGCAAATGCAATGGATTTCAACAATCTGCCATAAGTGACTTAAGAGAAATCTAGATTAAAGTCTATCATATTTTCTACTGCAAACATGTTGTTTTTCCCCTTCACCAGGAAGTATTATGGGGAGAAGATAGGTATTTATTTTGCGTGGCTGGGCTTCTACACTGAGATGCTGCTGTTCGCTGCAATAGTTGGGACAATTTGTTTCATCTACGGATTCCTCACTTACGACGACAACGAGTGGAGGTGATTTTTGTTATAACTATTTAGATTTTTTTTTAACCGCTTCCCTCTTTTGTTATGTGTTTTTTTTTACACAACAAAACCTTTTGGTTGAAAATATAAGAAAATATTTTATTACAAATCTCCTTATTTCTCTTATTTCCCTACAGTAAAGAAATATGTAGTGAGGAGGTCGGAGGGAATATTGTCATGTGCCCGCTGTGTGATAAGAAATGTGGCTACTGGAAACTCAACACAACATGCAACTCCTCATGGGTGAGGCATCCTGCATTTGTTCCTCAGTTGTCGTTGTTCACCATAAATCATCGTGGCGCAGGAGTAGAGCGGGTGCGCTGGGAACCACATGGTTGGTGGTTCGGCTCCCGGCTGCCCCATGTCGAAGTGTCCCTGAGCAAGGCACCTAACCCCTATTTGCTCCCTGGGCAAGATGTAAAAAGCCACAGGTTAAAAATGTAATGTAAGTTGCTTTGGATAAAAGTGTCAGCTAAATGACCTGTAATGTAATGATGTCCTACCTACAATGTGTGACATGTAAACTGATTGCAGCTAAATGTCAACACATCTGTTACTCACCATCTCTTTATGCGTCAAATATGTTCTTCTTTCAGCAATCGCACCTATTTGACAACGTAGGAACAGTGTTCTTCGCCATATTTATGGGGATTTGGGGTGAGTAAAAATGTCTGCTCCCTGCATTTTGTCATTTCTAACCCAGAGCACCACCTTGTGGAAGCAGATGAATAGTTGAGTCGTTTAAAATCACAGTTGCTCTCTCTGGATTTAAATGACGTAATCAAAGAAAAGAGTTTCCTCACTTAATAATCATCTGCCACTTTGGCAAACGTACCTATAAGGGAGAGTTTAATGGTGGTTAATGCACTGACTAATTACATTTTGGGTCCTGTGCTCGGCAGTGACGCTGTTTCTGGAGTTCTGGAAGAGGCGGCAGGCTCGTCTCGAGTACGAATGGGATCTGGTCGACTTTGAGGAGGAACAACAGCAGCTTCAGCTTCGGCCAGAGTATGAAACCAAGTGCACCAACCGCAAGCTGAACCGCATCACTCAGGTGTTTGCATAGCTCATTAACTGCTAATATTCTGTTTGATACTGTTAGCTTAAGGCCTGCTTAGCTTCCACAAGGCGTTAGCTGACACATATAGTTATCGTTGATCATCAGATTGCAGTTTTATTGATTTGAAACCTTTTTATTGTGAGTTTGTTGCCCTCATTCATGGACTAAAACACTCCTGTAAATGGAGACTTTTTGAGTAAGAACAGTATCACGTAGTCAAATTGACCAACTGTTTTTTTGAGGGGATCAGAAATACGTACTTATGTTCAGTGGTGCTATAATTTGCTTTGAACACATCCCACCCGCCTTCAGGAAATGGAGTGGGTTCTTCACAGGACTTTTACAGATTTAATGGGGAAGTTGTTGCTGTGCTGGGCCACAGTGACGCTCTGGGTAAGGGTGGCACCTAACATGGAATGCCACGATGGTGAGGAGTTTTGGTTTTGGAGTGGCGTAGTTTGTGTAGATAATGGACATTTCTTGAAAGACTCAGAGGCACGAGTTTCCTTTTGCAATGCGTCACTGTTGGTCCGGCGGATCAGTATCTTGAAAGGCCGGCTTCCCTAGGAGACCGCTCGATGAAAGAATCGGACACCAACACACCAACAGCTGTGATTGGTCCACCGCACTGTGCCTCACATCTGGGCCAGTCGGTGGTAATTCAAGGAGCCTAGCCTCTTTTAGAGCTGTCTTTTCAGGATCTAACAAAGGGTGACTGACTCCTGTGTCCATGCTTTGCTTGCTTATGATATAGGAAATGGAGCCGTACTTACCCATAACAAGCCAGTGTGCACGCACATGTCTGTCTGGAGCCACCGTCCTGTTATGGGTGAGCATTGTATATACTTGATCTAAACTACTTTCCTCTTCTACCTGCTCCTTCACCCTGTGTGTTGTAACGGTATGTGTGGCATGTTTTAGACCAGGGCCACTATGCATGAAACTCCTAAGAAACACAACCCCTCTTTAGTCATTTGGGAGCTGAGACCAAGTCAGAATCATTTCATATTTATGTCACTTACTGTAAATTCTAAAAACATAATCGAAGTTGTGTTATGAAAAATGATATATATTAGACCACAGTCACAGAGTTTTAAACATTATGGCCCTGAGTATTTTTGTACTGACTATAACATGTGACCGAGCTAGGAAGGTTTGCACACTTCAAGCATGACAGTTCCTCCTAAAAAGTATGTTTGCAATAATTCACCTTCCTTCATTGTAAATCGATTTTGGCATTGATTTTTGCATCACAATTTGTATGTGTGTTTTTATGTGTGCTGTGCTTTTGTCTTGTGCCATCTAGTTGTCTTTCATGTTGTCTCTGTTGATTCCGTCCTGAAGATCTCATTGATCATTGCCTGCATCATTGGCGTGATCGCGTACCGCCTGGCGGTATACGCAGCCTTCGCCAGCATCATGAAGGACAGTGCCACCACCAACCTGCAGGTGGTGGGCCCCTACATCACGCCACAGCTGGCCACGTCTGTCACGGCTTCCTGTATCAACTTTGTCATCATCATGATCCTCAACCTTATGTATGAGAAAGTGGCTGTGTGGATCACTGACATGGGTGAGAGTCAGAATGAGAGAGCGTGTCCAAGGTTGTTTTATGTATCCATTACGCAACTCCTGTTGACATTAAGTGTGAACTGTGCTCCCCCCTCTTTCATTTATGTATTTAAGAGCTATGTGTATTATCTTTTACTGTGCGGCAGAGATTCCCAAAACCCACTTGGAGTACGAGAACAAACTGACGGTGAAGATGTTCCTCTTCCAGTTTGTAAACTACTACTCCTCGTGCTTCTACGTGGCTTTCTTTAAGGGCAAGTTTGTCGGCTATCCCGGCAAGTATGAGTATATGTTTGGCAGCAAACTGAGGAATGAAGAGGTAGAGATATAACTACATTACATTCTTTCAAGTCAGAAGTGGTAATTTGACTTAAATAGTTAAATAAGGCTTGTTTCTTTCCCATTGACCCGTCTACATCCAGTGTGACCCTGGCGGCTGTTTGATTGAGTTGACCACCCAGCTGGTGATAGTAATGACTGGCAAACAGGTTTGGGGCAACATCCAGGAAGCTCTGGTCCCGTGAGTACAACTGAACCAACTGTTCACAGCACAAGAAACGATACACACTATTAAAGGCTGCAGCTACATCACATAATTCAACGATACACCCACCATGGCTGGAGCTTTGGGTAATATTTTGATAACGTTAATCTTTTTAGAAATGAGCACAAATGTTTTTGTAAATGTTTCTTATGTTATATGTTAGTTCCCCCTGCAGAATGATTTAGAAAAGTAATGGTATCAGAAACATCCTTAATGGTATTTACAATTACATCTGTGCTTTAGCTACCAGGAGAAATGTTGAATATCTGCTAACCCAAATATCTGCTTTAAAAAAGACCTGCATAATCGTTCCATTCTAAAAGAAATACATACATTTACCATGACTTTTAAGATCGACATGTATGTTTAGAAAGTGAATCATATCTTCATATTGTTTACAACGTAACAGAGCCTCCGACATGACTGTTTGATGGTGAACTGTGTTGCCGCGTACAGCTTTCTAACGCCATCTTGTGTCGTTCAGGTGGCTGATGAACTGGTGGGGCAGCAGGAAGGCACGAAACCACCCGGAGAGTCTGTACAGCCGCTGGGAGCAGGACCACGACCTGCAGGGCTTTGGTCAGCTGGGCCTCTTCGACGAGTACCTGGAAATGGGTAAACATGCAGCACATCGTCGAGTCAGTACACACCGAGCGAAAAATAGAGACACGCTTGAAGGTTGTCCAGTCCAGTCCAGAAGTCCAGTTTCCGTTCAGACCAGGCCTTCTGCAAAACCCAGATAAACAGATGGATGGATGGATGGATGGATGGATAGATGGACAGGCGATGTATGAATGGATAGATGCAGTACCTCCTGAGAATCTGTAGATGGTGCTGTTGGCCTTTTTATGTATTTCACTAACCTCTTTCCTCTCTGTGTCCCAGTGATCCAGTTTGGGTTCATCACACTGTTCGTTGCCTCCTTTCCACTGGCCCCCCTGCTGGCACTCATCAACAACATCATCGAGGTCAGAGTGGATGCCTGGAAACTCACTACTCAATTCAGACGTCCTGTGGCAGCCAAGGCTCACAGCATTGGAGCCTGGCAGGAAATCCTCAATGGGATGGCTGTACTGTCTGTGGTCACAAATGTGAGTGTTCCACAACGTCTGTGTGCTTTTGTGTCTGCTCATTATCCACCTAGTTTTTCTCTTATTACCGTTTTTTCCCTGTTTTCTAGGCGTTCATTGTGGCCTTCACCTCCGATATGATCCCTCGGCTTGTGTACATGTACGCCTACCAGCCGGAAGGTGAGATGAATATGAAAGGCTACATTAACAACAGCCTGTCGGTGTTTAACATCTCTGCGATCCCACTGGAAAACAAGCCTGACGACGGGGAGAGCCCATCCTGGTTCAACAGCTCCATCACTACCTGCAGGTCTGTGTGCTTGTAAGAGAGGAAGAGCGCTTGTGGGTTGTGTTTCTACTTCCATGGTAAAACATGACTGGTGGAAGTACTCACACTGACGCTTGGTCAGGACCCCTTAGTGTCACTTCTTTAATGCATCAAACTTTGACAATTTGACAACAGAAGACCACATGTTGTTGGTTTCAAACGGTACACAAACACTAGTCTCCTGAGGGAAAGTCCTGTGTTTGTCCCATCATAGTAGCTACTTGAATGCCCCGTGCGTCTCACACAGATGTTCAAGGGTGCTTTGTGCGTCTAACGCCAAGGGACTCGACAAAGTGTTTGAAGTTCTGTCAGTGAGATCGGGCTGAAATGCCGCAGCGTAAGATACTCTGCTGCAAGGTAAAGTCCTCCATTCAAAATGATAATCAAAAGGCTTGAATTATTACCAGCATGAAAGTATCAAGTATCAAATCAATCAAAGTATTTTTCAACTTGTCACTTTTAGTGTTAAGTATACTTTATTTGTTTAATTAATATTTTGGAGACTTTTGGATGTAAGTACCAGTTTAATGTAGATAATCCGCTTTTCACCACTGATGTATACATTGACCTGGTGGAGTGAAATAGTCCAGTGTCTTCTGGACTGAATGATGATCAAGATTTTGTGTATCACAGTGTATATTTTATTGTAGTAAATACTCACACCACAACTTTTTTTCTTTATTTCTTTTTTTAAAATGTTTATTTAATTGTTGTGCAACCTGAGGAATAATATCAGCGTCATTATTGCTTCCATTTCCTTTGCAGAATGGACTGAATAATGAATATACAAACATGTTTGTTCTTTGTAGGTACCGTGATTACCGCTACCCTTCTGGTCATGAGAAGGAGTACCACCACACCATGCAGTTCTGGCATATTCTGGCTGCCAAGTTGGCTTTCATCATTATTGTGGAGGTAATAGCAGGCTGCAGTGCTTCCACCACCACTTATTGACCACTTCTCATCCTTTTTTTTACAGAAACTTAACTTGAAGTAAAACTAACCTCTCGTGCCTTCTCCCAACGCAGCATGTTGTGTTTGTGGTCAAGTTCTTCGTGGCCTGGATGATTCCTGATGTTCCCTCTGACGTGAGGGCACGCGTGAAGAGAGAGCGCTACCTGGTCCAGGAGTATCTCCATAACTACGAAGTGGAGAAGCTGAAGATCCAACTCAGCCAAAACACCCACGATGACTGCACGTGCACGCCCATGATCTATCCATCTATACCCAAGCATGAGGTGCTGTCAGAGTGTCTCTAGCCCAGAGAGCTGCTGTTCGATCTGCTGCACAAGATGTAGGTGTTGATCACCCTGCTGGTGTGTTTTGATACTGACCACCACTTTGCTGTAGTGCCTGTGTTGTTTGTCTAGCACACTCACAAACACACATATTGGACTTTTCGCTAGAGGATTCCCCCAAATCAAAGCAATTCAATTGAAAGCAACTCTCAAAAAAACTCTTCTAATCTGCTGATAGTAAAAGTGCACACTGGTGAAATACCAGGTCTCTATGCATGCGAATAAAAAGGTCCTATTTATGTTTCTTCCACTCTGCGTCAGAGTTGTAACCAAAGTGCTGATGATAATCAATATTCGCTGTAAGGAAAGAAAAAGACAATGGTATACACTGTGTCTAAGCCAGAAAACGTACTGTTATTGTATTTATTTAAATGCCACTGTGAGCAACCAATGACTTGATATCCTACCACATCCCACACTTATCGTTGGTTCCACCTGCTATTCGAATAATAGCAGTAATTAATCGTTTGGAAACTGAGAACTTGCTTATTTGGAGGAGTTTAAGCGTTTTATTTTTTGTTGTTAGTCTTGCATAGTTTTTTTGCATTTAGGTTGTTGCGCAGATGTAACACAATTTCAACAATTGTGCTTCTTCCCCGCTGACGGGTTGCACTAAGCTTTAACACACTAGCAGCCCACCAGTTTAGAGGCCAAAGTCGTACACGTGAAGTAAATCCGTGCAGCTGCTAGTACCCTGAGTGAGGGCAGATGTGGGCCAGTTGTTGTGCAGCAGCAGTACGTGGTGCATGTCGACTGCTGACAGGGAGGGAACAGATGCGCCTCTGTTCACCAACGCGTCGGCGCTAATGAAAGCCTGCCCCTACCTACGGAACTATGTTTGCTCGCTCACACAAAGCGCTCCGGCCATCGCCCGGTTCTCCTGCCTGTTTGCCTTAGCTGCGTCCGTTGTGAAGGAAAGAAACGCATTCCCGTTTTTTTTAATTTTGCACCAGGCACTTAAAGAAACGTTACTACCACGACACAAATAAGTCAGTTGAATTGTTGTCATGACTCTACGTATTCATAATCTGTATTTTGAAGCAGCAAATTGTGATGATCTGTGTTCATTCAACCAGAACCAGAGGTGTATCGTCTGAATTTATTATTTATATTAAGCTTTTTAATCATAAAGGACATATTCTTTTTTGGGCTGCCTACATAGAAATTTGTAAGAAGAATCTGTTGTCTAAGTATTTGAATTGTACAGCTGGCTGGCTGTGCTACAAACTCCGGCAACTAAATGTGTTTGTTTGCGATATAGATGTTAGCATGTAGCCGAGAGCAATGTTTAACTGTTCTAGTTTGCCTTCTACTTGCTCTGGTCTCTGCTGAACCTTTTGATGCCTTAATACATCAAATAACATGTTTTATTTCCTTGTATATTTTGTATATCATCTATTTGTGCTTGAGTAATAACATTTCATTTTATACCATTACAATCCTACATAGAATTTGAGGTATGAGTTTTCATCCATTTGTTTCTGTATTTTTTTGTAAATGGTATTAAATCTGTATCACCAAAGGAAAACCCTCTAAAATAAAGTACCATTAATCTTGAACTGTTTGACACGTTTGTCTTAAATGCTCACCGGCTTCTCTGCTGAGAACATAAAAGTTGCTGTTCACATAACAGATGGCCGGAGAGAACACTGATAACTATTCAGTGTTTGACAAGTACAGTCCATTTAACACTGGTGGGCGTGTTTTTCACCAAAATATGATGGCAGGCTTGTTTCACTTGGCACAGCGCAGCGCCACTCCTATAAAGACATGGGCAACACTCAGGTTCAGGTAGGCTGGAAAAGTCCTCTTGTTTTTTAAATAATGTTCTCAAACAGTTCATGATTTACAAAAAAACAACCAATACACGATTTTAACAGCAATGTAATTATGGGAAATGATTGTTGATAAGGTCAGGGCAGATATCCTGTTCATTCATTACATGTTCTGTGCAATTAAACCAAAGTCTTTAATGCAGATTAAAAGAATAATGACCGGACATAAACTCTTGTAAACCAGCCTGCAGAGGAACCCCTCTGCAACCTGGACCCCCACGAGGGTCTACCGGTGATCCAGCTCTACGTGATGCCGTCCTTCTTCCTGGCGGTGATGATCCTTGGGCTTCCCCTCAACCTGCTCTCCCTCTCGGTTTTCTTCCACCGGCTGCGCTGGACCCGCAGCACGGTGTTCCTCCTCAACCTGACCCTGGCTGACACCTCGTGGCTGCTGGCCTTGCCTTACCTCATCAACTACCACCTGGACCAGCTGTACTGGAAGCTGGGGCAGCCGCTCTGCATGGCTGTGAGGATGTTCTACCACAACTACTTCTACCTCAGCATCTTCTTTGTCACGTGCGTTAGCGTGGACCGGTACCTGGCCATCGTGCACCCTCTGCGCTCTCTGGTGCTGCTGGGCCGGAGACAGACCGGCCTGCTGTGCGCGGCGGTCTGGGCGGCCTCGCTGATCCTCAGCGCACCCGTCGTGGGTATGAGTTGGATCCAGACCTGCCCCGGGAGCAACCGCACCGTGTGCCCCCTGTACATGCTGCTGAGTGAGACCGGGGAGAGCCTCCCTTATTCCCTCTTCTGTTCCACGGTGGGCTTCCTCTTCCCGCTGCTCTCCATCAGCTACTGCGGCCTGCGCAGCGTCAGAGAGCTGAGTCGGCGGCCGTGCTGCCGCGACCCGCTGGGCAAGAAGCGGCGGCTCCGGCGGGTGCTGAGCGCGGCGCTGGTCTTCTTCGCCCTGTTTTACCTGCCGTACCACCTGATCCGTAACGCGGCCATCGTGATGCGCGCGGTCTATCCTCACAGCCCCGCCTCCTGGCGGCGCGCAGACGTGGCCTTCGCCTTGGAGATGTGCTTCTGCAGCCTCATCACCTGCGTGAACCCGCTGTTCAGCTGCTTCATCGGCCGCCAGTTCGGGAAGGAGTTTCAGGGAACTATTGCCGTGCTGTTTTCACGGTGGCCGTGCACGCAGGTTGCCTCAATGACATCCAAACGGACCCGGATGACGGGGAGGGGAAGGCCGCGGATGTCTGCTGTCGCACCTGCGTGCGCACCTGGTACCCTCGCTGTTAAGATAACTCGGTAATGCTCTTTGAAAACTGTATGGACAACCTCTGTACGTCCTTTGTGCAATCACCTGTTTTGCTTTGAATGGATGAATATGATAAATACGATGAATGCAACAAAAGTCTCCTTTATCTCATTGAATCTCATATCAGTTTGGTCTCTTTAAATTCCCCACACAACACTGCCTCTCCGTGGTTGACTGCATACTGTACTTTACGGTCTGGTTCCTTTGGATGTGTGAATAGTCTTTCTTTTATGCAGCGAAAACACTCACACTTTAATTGAATGAAAAAAAGGATTTGCACGAATGGATCGGTTTAACACCTTTTGCAGACGCAACAGATCAAAGTAAATCCGAGTCGTGACCGGATGTCAGGGAGGGTTGTGTGTGTGTGTGTGTACGGGTGTGTGTGTGTGGGGGGGTACCAATGCTTTGTGCTTGCTGCAGCAAGTGATTCAGGAGTGTCCGGAGCTTATCCTGACATCATTTTCATTCAGTTACACATAAATGAAGGAGAGAGGTTATGCAAGTGGCACCTGCCGCTGTTAACTGATTTTTACGCAGTAATTGAATTAGAGGGAGAGGAGCGTTGGAGGGAGGCGGGGTGAGGAAGGAGGGGGGAGGGGGGAGGGGGAGGGGGGAGGAGGGGCGCTGCTGACAGGTAGACGAGCTGTGCGCGCTGTCCGCGGTCCTGAAACCTCCTGCGGCTGCTGCCTCACCTCAGATTGGACCGGAGCTCCGCCGCCCCGCACCGGCTGCACATTTTCACTTTTGCAACTCGATTTCTCGAAGAATTGTAAGAAGAAAGAGGACTCACCACGCCCCTCACGTCCTGCCAACAAAAAAACAAAAAAAACCCTCAACTTTCCGTTTTCTGCGTTGCTGTTTTCTAATCGCTGCCTGGATCTTAAAATGGCACTGCGTGGATTAACATTGCGCAAAGCGAAAGCGGACTTATTTGACTGCTGTTGTGTGACTGTGAAAGCAGCCCTTTCAGACTGAACGTGTCTCCTCTCGTGGCTCATCCTTTCAGGACATCGAGACATTTTTTTTCTGCTTTAAAGACAAGAGCACGTCGTTGGGATTAATATTTTAACAATATGCTCATTAATGCAGCGCATCCATTTCTTACAGTATTATAGAATTTTATAGAGGATTTGGATATGGAGCCAGGCATGGAGAAAGCTGCCCCCACCACCAAGGAGGGAATAAAACAGATCGCAGGAAAGGCCCTCGGGAAAATTTATAGGTAAGGCAGAGAATGACCCATTTATGCACGTCTTTTGATTACAGAACGATATCTGATACATTGGTATATCCAGGTGTCAACATCTGCAGATTAATGTCACACATAAAACCTGCACGGAATATAAATGTGTTTATTACTGAATTACATTGAAGTCAAGAGGGAAATCTCTTCTTTATGAGATGGATCACGAACAGGATGCTGAAAGCAGAGTCGTGTTGCCCGAATATTTAAGGATCAGATATTTCCCTGGAGGATGATCCCCTCCACCAGCTGCTGTGGGTGTTTTTTAATAATTAATGAAACAGAACGAGTCGTGACACAAGGTCGGAGGATATCTATTACCGTATGTATCCATCTGTATTAATCCATGATCGATGGACTTCATATCAATTGACTTCCTTTATTCGTTTTACTATCAGAAGGACTTAAATGAAATGTAATCCAGCGGGAAACTGGTACCCGACTTCAAAGCCAACAGCTCTTCAGAGTAAAATCAGAGTAAGGGAGCAGGACGTATAAATCCCATTTATTCATTATTGTAAATGCGAATATAATTATCTTTATGTCGAACATATAGCCAAAACCCTGAATACTTCTAAATCATTGGGAAACACACAACGTTTATAAATTACAAGTAATTTAGACTAATTATTTGTGCAGGAACACCACGCGTATTTTTTGTTGTTGTTGAACTTGATTTCAAGCTGCAGCACAGAAACGTGACTCAAAGCAAGAAAAAACCCTGCTGGTTTCATTTTAACTGCTAGGCCGTTTATTTAATGGATGCGGCCTCCACATTTCAATGTTGAGTTCATTTTAGATATACTTAAAAACTTTAAATGGCTTTGTTTAAATTTTAGGTGGAAGGCCAAGCAAGATGCCAACATCGCATTAATGGGAATTAATTTAAATATGATACGGGAACATTTAGCTATTGTTATAAATGATGATGATATTGCTGCAATGCGGTATGAATAGAATTATTTCCTCGTTTGTCAACGAGTCTTTCTTTTATAGAAACACAGAGAATTTCAGCCGGGAACGAAAAAAGTCCTGGTTTGAACTAGAAGGCAGGAGGCTTTGAATGGCCCGAGACAAATGAAAAGATAGAAATAAAGACATTGACGAGGCCCGTCGCCTAAAGAGCACGAAGCACTTAAGATGCCAGCCAGTATCATCTGCAGCATTCCTGCAAACGGCCTGTGAAATGAATGTGAATACATGTGTGTGTGAAATTATCAACCTTGTTGTTGATGAAGAAAATAAACGAAATCACACGTTTTCACTTAAAGTTTAAACGCAGCTAAATGTCCATGTATTTTGACGTCGGCATTGCATTTAATCTAAAAAAAAGAAAAGAAAAAAGAAAAGAAAAGATGTAACGGGCTCGTGTGGTGCAGGAGGCTGGAAAAGAAGCAGCAGACAGGTGAGGCCATCGAGCTGACGGAGGATGGGAGACCCGCCGGGGAACCGCAGCGGAAGGCGCCCCTCTGTGACTGCACTTGCTTCGGGCTTCCGCGCAGATACATCATCGCGATGCTGAGCGGGATGGGCTTCTGCATCTCCTTCGGCATCCGGTGTAACTTGGGTGTGGCCATCGTCAGCATGGTCAATAACAGCACGATCCACCAAAACGGCAAGATCATCATCACGGAGGTGCGTGGTGACTCAGCCACGTGGTTAATAAGTGATGCGGACTGATCGATAGGTTTTAAGTGCACTCTATTAAGCCCATAGAGATACTTTTAAATTGGATTAGTAGGCCATATATCAGAAAGTAACGCATGTGGTGTCTTTATTTTTACTTAATTTCTCTAAATAATCAGTATATAGTGCGCTTTGATTAAGTGATCGACTACGTCGCTGAGTCGCTGGTTTTGAACAATCAAAATAAATAGATCTTTCTGATAATATTCTGCCCAATGACAGTGTTTCACAATTAGATGAAAAATAATTATATTACCCCTTTGACAACCTTACAATGAAATACTTTTTCAATCGTCTTCCATTTGTGAAAATATAATATAAATGTTTTTTTCATTTTTTTTCCTGAAAGAAAGCAAAATTCAACTGGGACCCAGAGATCGTGGGGATGATTCATGGCTCCTTCTTCTGGGGCTACATAGTGACTCAGATCCCAGGAGGGTATATCTCCTCCAGGCTGGCTGCAAACAGGTAACTATACCAATGGACAGTGTGGCTGCGGCTGAGAATCAGATGCGCCTCTATTTAAAATTTATAAATAAGGAATATTTCGATTTCTGTATGACGAGGAAAGAAGGCTGACCTTACAGCAGATTTACTGGGGATTTGGCCGATGCCCACCAGGCATGCCTCCTCATGTTAATGAGCTCCCATGGGACCACCATGTCTAATCCTTTATGTTCAGAGGCATGGCAACCACATCAGTCAAAGCCCTGCAGTGTGAAATGCGGCTCCCAGTAATGATTGTAGTATGATTTCAACGGCCATTCTGCCTCTATAATCACATTATTTCCCTACAACAACTGATTAGTCGGCTGCCGACCGAATTATACAGGAAAAGAACCGCACGTGTGTAAAAACTGTGGAAGAAAAGATATTATAAGAATAACACAAGATAGTACTGATTATGAAAAGTAACCAAAGTAGGATAAAGTTGCCGTATAAACCCGTGCGCATCTACATTATAAGGTTGTTAGATTACTCACCAGGGAAATGGAGTCTAAATAAGATGCAAATCTTTGAAGAGCTTCATCACGCCAAGTCAGCTGAGCCCACCGAGGCCTTCTGCTGCAAACACCTCCTGTCCTCACTTCCCTGCATCAATAGTGAGTGTGTGCATGCCGTCCAATTAGGATTCATTTGTCTCCCTCATCAATTCTCCAAGTAAAGAATCCCCCGGTTCAACATTCTTTCAATATTTTATCACTTATCTGATGTTTTATTCCTTAATCAATATTATTGTCAATATGAACTCCTTCAGTGAGATGATCTTGTTTCAATGACATTCTGACAAAAAATCCCGACTCACTGTTTACCCAGAGTTTTCGGTGCTGCCATTGTGCTGACATCCATCTTGAACATGTTCATCCCTTCTGCCGCCCGGACGCACTATGGATGCGTCATCTTTGTGAGGATATTGCAAGGGTTGGTGGAGGTACGGATGCACACCTCGCACCACAGAGCTCGACCTTTAAAAGACTCAAAAATGATGCCTCATTATCAAGCCGACAGCTAAACTCGACCCTAATGAATTTGTCCTGACATTCTGTTTTTCATGCGCGATTTACAGAAATCCTCTTGTTCTCATCCCAAGGCTTTCTATTAGAATGTACACCGGATAATGAAGCCCATAATGGCAAGGTTCCATTCATTATAGCGTAAACAGCTGTCAGATGAGTTATCCATGAATAGCAGGGTTTATGTGTATGTTGGTTTACTCGTCCTGAACGGCTCCACTCTCACATAGAAACATGCCAAACAAAAGACATGAAAACCACTTGATGGGGGCGATGCCTGCAGCTCAACAGAAAATATTGCAGAGAGGGGTGCTATTATTAGACTGAAGGTTACTCCTTTGTGATTCGGCTTTGGGTGTATTTTCAATAGCAGCTCATGACCATTGAGAGAGCAAGCCGCTTGTGCTCAGCACCCAATCCTCTTATTACTGCAAATTAAACATTAGCATTTCAGGGTGTCTCCCACTGCAAGCCCCGGCAATTTGTGTCCATCAATAGCTGATTGTGTTGCCACTTAGTGCGTAATGAAGATTTAATAGGAGCAGTTCAGGGTTTTTTTCATGAAGTGGCTGGTCAGCCTGAATCTGCACTGACTCACACCTAACCCATTAGTCTGTGTTATCAAAGGTCAGCTACAATGCATGTCAGTTTGTTTGTTATTAAGTTCAATTTGTCTTGAATGTCTTTGGCAAATGAAAACAGACAATAGGTCAATCAGGTAGAATCAGAATTTGTACATTTAATTAGCAGAAAGTGGAGAAATGGATGTAAAATGTACTGACGCAGCAATGTTTCTTGACTCTGATGGGGGGAAAAACAAATTGTGTTGAGTGACAAGTGACGCGCGTGTGTTCGGGCTTTGACTGTAACGCCATTTGTCGCCGCGCAGGGAGTGACTTATCCCGCCTGCCACGGGATTTGGAGCAAATGGGCTCCGCCGCTGGAGAGGAGTCGTCTCGCAACCATTTCCTTCTGTGGTACAAAAAATCTGGACATTTCTGTGAATGACACGTTGTTATGGCATCAATGTAACGGTCATATTACTTCATAGACTGAGATGCAGGTTTAAAATGTCAGAATATCGCTCCTGAAGTGTGTGTAAAATGCAACACTGGACACTTGTCTCACTAAACAACACTGCACTCTGACTGAGGGATCAAATTGTGCTTGCTGATACTGTTTTGCGTTGTTCAGGCTCCTATGCTGGTGCAGTGATAGCCATGCCTCTGGCTGGGATCCTGGTCCAGTACGCTGGGTGGTCCTGTGTCTTCTATGTGTATGGTGAGTAGCACCGTCATGAGTACATTCAAGGCCAGACACAAGAGGCGAAAATATTTCATTCTGGGCTTTTCCTTTTTATTTTGTTAGACTTTGTCTATTTGCATTTGTAGATTTCTTCTTAAAACCCCCCAAAGTCTAGCTTTAAGAGTGCCTCACTTTCACACAATATCTCAGAAAACGTTAACAAAAATTGTCTTAATTTAAAATAAACAAAATCGTTAACTCCTAAAATCAAAGCAAAAAACTGCTCAGGCTTTTTGGGCTTGTACTGCCTGATTGAGTGACATCTTCCTAGTTAAATCACTAGTTGGGACAAATTACACATCGTACTTAATTAATGTGTACGTGCTCAGAGACTTAATGTAAGATTCATATTTGGCTGAACATGTTTGGTGTTTGACGGCCTCACTGTGACCTGTGATCTGTCCAGGATGCTTTGGGATATTTTGGTACATGTTCTGGGTCCTGGTGTCCTACGAGAGCCCGGCGGAGCACCCCACCATCACCGATGAGGAGCGCCGTTACATTGAGGATAGCATCGGTGAAACCGCCCAACTGATGAGCGCGATGGAGGCGGGTTCTCCATCTGGATCAAATGATTGGGTGCAACTCAAGTGCTGAATACGTCCGGCTGATTCTCCGTTTGTACCTTTACAGAAATACAAGACCCCCTGGAGGAAGTTCTTCACCTCCATGCCCGTCTATGCAATCATTGTGGCCAACTTCTGCAGGAGCTGGACATTTTATCTGCTCCTTATCAGCCAGCCTGCATACTTTGAGGAGGTGTTTGGCTTTGAAATCAGCAAGGTAAAGAAATCCCCCCAAATGCCTTTAATGTTTACAAAGAACATTACAAACTAATTTCACGTCATCCATGAATCGCCTGCTTACTACAAAATGCGACTGGATGTAACAGAACATTCTTGTATTACATTTGACACACACATTTGTATTGGGACATATTCAGTCTTTTAACTTTTATGCTTTTGACTTAAAAACCTTCGGTTTTAGTCAGATTCATCCATTTATGTTACATTACATTATTCAGTTTACATTATGTTAAGTGAACATTATTAACTATAGCAACTTAACCTTCACAAAACCTTTAAATGTGGCGATTTAACTCTTCTGTTGTAATGCTTCACTTTAAGAAAATAGATTTGAACACTTCATTTGGAATAAAATGTTGTTTCAGTCAGTGAGAGAATGTCAGACAAAGATTCCACGTAATCCCCGAGTGTGAAGCATGAATCAAGATGGCTTAACAGATGTAATCCAACTCCAGCATGCGGCTGTGATTACGGCAGGTGAATTATTGCTCAACAGTGACATTGCTGTCGGAGGTTGAATCAGGCACACAGATTGGTTCTGGCAGTAGAAGAACAATCCCGTTTGTTTCAACGCTTGGTGTGTATTTGTATCACAACTACTTCTGAGGAGTTGTGTGATGCTTCCTCAGGTTGGAATGGTGTCAGCGCTTCCTCACTTGGTCATGACCATCATCGTGCCCTTGGGAGGCCAGTTGGCGGACTACCTGCGGACCCACAACATCTTGTCCACCACCGTGGTCCGGAAAATCATGAACTGTGGAGGTGAGGCTTCGTGAGGCTTCGTGGGGCTTCGTGAGGCTTCGTGGGGCTTCGTGGGGCTTCGTGGGGCTTCGTGAGGCTTCGTGGGGCTTCGTGGGGCTTCGTGGGGTTTCGTGGGGCTTCGTGAGGTTTCGTGGGGTTTCGTGGGGCTTCGTGAGGCTTCGTGGGGCTTCGTGGGGCTTCGTGGGGTTTTGTGGGGTTTCGTGGGGCTTCGTGGGGCTTTGTGGGGTTTCGTGGGGTTTCGTGGGGCTTCGTGGAGGTTTCGTGGGGTTTCGTGGGGTTTCGTGGGGCTTCGTGAGGTTTCCGTCTGTGGCTTCGATTGAGGTTTCGTGGGGCTTCGCGGGACTCCGTCTGTGGCCACGATTCAAAAGAAGCGCTCCTCAACACGTAACTCTCCTGTTGTCTTTAGGGTTCGGCATGGAGGCCACTCTCTTGCTAGTGGTTGGTTATTCTCACAGTAAGGGGATGGCCATCTCCTTCTTGGTTCTGGCGGTGGGCTTTAGTGGATTTGCAATATCAGGTGAGACTCAGAGCAAACGATTCTAGTTCTAATTCCTATGTGCTATTTAAAAGATGCCCACACTCAGGATATTCACTCTTTTATTGCTGCAGGTTTTAATGTCAACCATCTAGACATCGCTCCTCGCTACGCCAGCATCCTCATGGGTATCTCAAACGGGGTGGGGACCCTGTCAGGGATGGTCTGCCCTCTAATAGTGGGAGCCATGACAAAGAACAAGGTGAGTCATTTTTATTTAGACAGCGATGTGAATGTTAATGCAGATAAAAACTTGCTCCTGAAAAACTGGTTCCAAAGCTCCGGTGTGGTTCTGCACTTTGTTTCTGTTACCGTTGTGCGAGCCTAAAGGAGGCGTTAACATTCTGTCAAGTCACTCACCAGTCACGAGGGTCATCAGTGGCGTTAGCCACAAGAGTTGTGAGCAGCTCAAGTTAAACTCAAGCATGTTAGCATCTTCTCTAAACCTCACTGTGGTTTTGTTGACCAAACCGATGCTTGTGCGAAGGCAGTTTATTTGCGAAAGAACATGCACGGAACAAGTAGAACCGGAATGAGTGCAAAGGGTTTAGTACAAATAGGGATTCCAATCAAATCATTGGATCAATCGGCGGCGGCCCAGTGAATACAGCGCGATAAAGAGCTTTGGACTTTTAACTTCCAGCTGAACATCCTCCACCGTGTCGTGAGATGAGGACGGTGATGATCAGATTGTATAGAAATGTAAACCAAGGGAGATCAAAGCCCTACAGATTGTTAGGCCTACATTCAGATTCTTTGTGCAACTATTAGCTTTAACCCGATGGGAGGAGCACAGACAAAAAGGCAACAATCAGGAATCTCTCATGAGAAAGCAAAGCCGCGGGGGCCGGGGTGGTACATTTAAAAGCACACAGTGGGTTGAGAAAACACACAATCGGGGGCTGCGGTCAAGAAGTGACTTTGCCCGCCTTCAATTGCTTTCTGTCTCCAGACGCGGGAAGAGTGGCAATACGTCTTCCTCATCGCCGCCCTGGTGCATTACGGGGGCGTGGTGTTTTATGGGATCTTTGCATCGGGGGAGAAACAGCCATGGGCCGACCCCGAAGAAACCAGCGAAGAGAAGTGTGGCTTCATCGATGAGGATGAGCTGGCCGAAGAGACGGGTGACATCGCCCAGGGTTACGGCGCCATGGCCGGTCCGGCTAAAAGCTACGGGGCCACCGCGCAGCTCAACGGAGGCTGGGTTCAGGACTGGGATAAGACGGAGGAGTATGTTCAGGAACCGGCCGGGAAGATGTACGCTGAGCGCGGATACTCTTAAGCCAGACTCTCACGTCACGGATCGCACAACATTAAACGTAGGTGTTTAAATCCATCCTGTGTGTTCAAGTGAAACGGTCACTACTTTCAAAAAGCCAATGTAAACAAATAGTCGAATGCAATGCAGAACAATCCTCACTAGATTCTCACTCGCTCTCGTCACATCTACCTACTATAGGGCTTCACTATAAAGAGAGCAAAGAAAAACTGCAGGCCTATGTTGTACTTCTTAGGCACTCAAACCTCATCAATCTACTTGAACAACGGGAACCAGATGACACTGCAGTTGACCATCGAATAGGGTCTTTCTCTGAAATACCACTATGATTGCACTGAAACGAAGTATTCTAAATTTTAGTCAGTTTCTCAAATGTGTTTTATGTACTGTACATACCTGTATACTGTTTCTGTGAGACTATTGTGGATTTTGGGTCGTTGATCTGTGTTAACATTAATATAAAAGGCCATATTTTTCATGGACAGCACCTTTTCAGGGAGATGTCTGCTTGCAAAAAAAAGGTCTCCTTCTCCTGGAGCGAGGCCTATAATACTCTATAAGACAAAAATAGCGTGAGTGAAGTCGAACCGTAGAGTTTTAGTGTGTGTTTGCTGCATGAATTTGCTCAGATCAATGTATCAGATGCAACCGCCTCACAGTCACGGATAGTCCTCATTCGGCTCACTGCTTCGTTCCCAGATAGGCGTCTTCTGCCATTATTAATAATAAGATGAACTTTCATAATCAGGTGCCAGTCGTAATTTGAGACCAATCAAAAAAGTGTTGATGGCGATTGCTCAGAGGACATTGTTTATTGATGTTTGGTGTGCACTGCAATAAATTCTTGTACCAGCCGCCACCCGTCACATTCTGTTTTGTAATGTAACACTGGCTTGCTGTATCTAACTGTAATTGTTTTGGAGTCATGTGATGCTCAGCATTAAGGTGTGTGTGTTTTAACAAATGACTAGTGTCTGGAGAATCCAGCTTTAGTGCTCATGGTGCAGGACGAGTTGCATTTCGTCAGCGAGGAATGCAGTAACGTGTGTGAACAACCGGGTTGTCGTGATCTCTTGGTGTTTCTCTCGGTTGTTCTCATTGACACCAAAAGTATTTTGTTGACACTTTGATATCGTCACGTTCGATCGGACCACTTGAGTTAAAAGACCGCTCTTCCACATGCATTTATTTGCTATTTGTGCACTTTCCTAATTTTATTGTATGAAATTTGCAAGGATGTTTAAAATATATGAATATTTAAGAATGTTTAAGCTGACCAAAAGATGCTATTGCGGCTTTGTGCCTAAAGTTTATGTAAACATATAAATGTGATTTTATGGCTTCTAATATTGTGTTTAATGAAGAGGTATGTTGATGTCAAAAGTGTTAAAAGTATAAAGAATACTATCATTTTATAAAAACTCCCTTTGCCTTTGCTCCTCTTTTGGCTGTGATGATGGGACGTACTGTAACGCTCCCAGACGTTTATCTGAAGGTTAGTGGTCCTCAGAGACTGGAGCCACCTTACCAGTTAACCACCTTCTCCAATCATTGTCATGCATTACCAATCCTCTCCACGTTTCTCATTAGTAAATCAATGTTGCGGGTCTCAGGAGTCCCGGGGAGAGTATTGGACCCTCTAGCTTGGTAATTGGGAAAAGGAAAATAACATGTTGCGTTGGTGCTGGAGTTCACATCCCTGCAAACCCGGATTATTGTCACAGCGGTGAGGATGTATTATGTAGATGCACAAACGTGTGATAAACCCATTAGAGCATCGCATATTTCTTTGACCTGTAGAGGAAAAGAAAGGGAATGATAACACTTCTGTGGGAATGTCAAATGGAATATTAAGCATCCTGTTTTGCCAGCGTGTCCTCCTCTACACAACTGAGGTGAACAATGTTACATGAAACATAATCACTATTGACCTCCTGCATTCATTTACTGATAAATCAATGCTGCTTCATTCCTGAGCATATTGGACTATTAAAGCATGAATACTTCTGAACTTAAAAAATCCCCATTATTTAACATTGTAATTAATACGATATGTTTGTCTAGGATTACTGCATGAAAGTCAGATTGAAAAATACCTTTTTTGACCAAATAAATTATTATGAAAAAAGCAGATGGAAATGTCGACCTGTTAACTGATGAGACTATTACATGGTGACAACCAAATAAATCACGCGTTCAGGGAGTCGTGAGAGAACGAGATGTCTTCTACTCACATACGTCTACAGAATGAACAAAAGGGGGTATTACCTTCTGTGGTGCCTCTGAGCTGTGCAGCACATCCGTGGTAAATAATTCAGGCAAAACATGGCGTCCTTACAGCAGGAAAGGCTCTGTGCGAGTCTGAATCCGTGCTCCGGACTGCGTCTTTCAACATCTGCAGGTGGCAAAGAGTCATGAGAGCAGCTCATCATTAGAAGGTCCTCACTGGGCATCAACCTCTGCGGCTCGTCTGTCCCCTTTAGAAGAGATGATAGACGGGCATGAGGTCTGTGAGGAGAGGGGGGGGGGGGGGGGTCACACCCTGACCATCCGTTGTTACGCACACCAACGACACTTTGATCAATGTTACGTGGAGCAGCAGCAGCAGCCCCCTGTTCCGAGCGCTTTCACTAGCAGCAGTGGCAGCAATTACAGTAAATCTCAGTTTCTCCTACGATTATCTGCCAGCCCGAGGAGAGGAGCCATTAGCGCGTCACCGCCGCCAGCTTCCCGGTGCACATGTTAATTTGACAGAAAACACGATTGAGTCACCGGCCACGTGGAACATGTTTTCTCATGCCTAACCAGCCGGAGTGGTCATGGCTGTTGCACCGGTGACGCGTCTGTCGGGGGGCCCGGACGATAATTGGACAAAATCTGGCGCTGTATTTCATTCACAAGGGGGGGGGGTTCTCTCAACATCCATCTGCCTCGAACCTTCACCCACCGTTGTTTTCGCAGCATCCCCAACTCGTTTTTTGAGATGCTGGTTGTCGAGTTGTGTAATCTTGTAGGCAGGGGGAGGGGAGGGGAGGGGGGGGGGTGGGGGAGGGTGTTGAGTCGGTCCGCGGGGCAGGTGCAGGGTGGCTCCTGTGGGACTGTAATGGGATGAGGCCCGGCCAGAATGAGTGTTTGATGACTGGGTTGCACTCCTCCCCTGGGACGCAGCCAGCATGCAATTATCCTCCCCATCCCTTCTCGCTGGTCGACAATCCAAATTGTACACAGCGATCCCTCCAGACTGCTGCCTGAATGTCCTTTGACTTACAATCAAAAATTGAAATACCACATATGCATAAAGGGTGAGTAATTACAATCCCAAATTTCAAAACAGCATTGGAGTAATTACTGTTTAATGGAATAGTGCAGCACGATATTACACCACCGCGGGGCAATTGAATTCATTAACACCTCATTCCTGTTCCTTGCAACACACCTTATTAACGATGAACTAGACGAGCTTTATCTCTGACCCCCCCACCCTCTGCCACACAAACTGAAACCAATATTTATTCATTTTTAATATGGCTTTTTAGAATTAAAATCCCTGAATCTCTACGACGGGATTTTTTAAAATCTCTTCTTTCAAAGAACTTCTGCCTGTGACGTGAAAAATGGTGTCCGTTGTAAAATACCTCCATCTTGTTGAGTTCTGCGCACTGAAACATTTATTAGCACCAAGCTGATAACGCAGTACTGAGGCGGGGCAAGTGCCACATTTTCAGACCCGGCGTTTGAGGAGGGAGAATTTCATCTCACAATCCGAGGGAGAGGAGGAGCGTTGTTTCTGCACTACAAATCTGGTTTTCTAATCATCGTGAGGTATCTATCACAGGTCCTTCCAGTTCCCCTCCCCCACAGCACGTAGCGTTGACAGCTTCATACCCTCCTCTCCACAGCATCATCTTATCAAGCTTGTATCACACTCAGACAAAGGAGGAGAGGCTGATAAGATTTTACACGATACTCCCTGTGCACTCAGTATTGTGCTTTGAAATCTGGATGGAATGATGATGATAAATTGGCAGACAAGGGGACATTTTTTTACACCAATCTCTTCATGAAAAAGGGGCATTTCATAATTGTAAAATAACTCCTTTTTTTTACGGCAGCATCCGACATTTAATGTCATAATCGCTGAATGGATGCAGCTCTACTTCCTTTTGATGGGGCTTTGTTTTCTTCAACTCGCGCGCCTCCCTTTCGTCGTGAGCCCAAATACAGTCGTGTTTGTGCAAACACAGCACCTCCCTGGAGTGTCTGAATGTGCAGATTTTCATGGCACGTCCTTGAAAAGGACGACGTGAACTACTTTCACCTCTGTTCTTCGCGAGGTGTACCAACGTGTCACATGACGGACCTCCTTTCCTCACAGCTTCCCAGAGAACCGCCCAAATGGAAGCGACCTTCCCCTCTCTTGCTCGGGCGCCTGCCCGATGGCGAAGGCCACTGATCAGCCTCCTCTGAGAGGGACACAGGTGTGAGGAGGGCCCCCCCCCCCCGCCTCTGTGATCCGCCACCGAGGCCAGACAAGGGCCCGGCTGGGCTGGAGAGGCTTAGGCACGTGCCAGGGAGGGGGGGGGACCCCGTCCCTCAGAGGGTTCCCTATTCACACCACCAGATGGGGGCTGGATGGGGAGTTTTAATGAATGCTATTCTTCACGACCCTTTGGAAGCTGCCCGGCGAGCTGCTGTGATGAGAGCAGAAGACGAGAGAGAAGGAAATGCTGTTTGTTTTCTTTCTAATTTATCCTCCTTACTGGGGTGTGGGGGGGGGGGGCAGCAATGCTCATAGTTTATTAGCGGCTACTTGAACAGATTTAAGAGACGTCTCGAAGCGAACCTAAAGTGGGCTGGGGCAGATATTATGGGGCGCTGTCGACCTGCTGTTTGAGGGGACAAAATTAGACAACATGTAATTTCGCCTTGCAGGTTGAGAGCAGAGGGCAATTTGATCCAATTTATGAGACATATTTGAGACAAATATATGAGACATATATGAGACAAATAGCAGCTTTATATTAGAATGGTTTGGATTCTGCAAACATAAAAACAATGAAATTCTCAAATTCTTTAAAGATTATTTAGCATTAGGAGATTGAAAATAATGTTTTTTGGGGGTTATTATCAGTTGTCAGACATGGGCATTGTTTAACTAGTAAACATAATGTGTAAAACATGTTCTCATTTAATGGAGATACTGGTATAGCACGTGATTGCATGCTTTTGAAGTGAGACTAACACATCTGAATCATCGGCGTGGCTGCAAAGACACTTCGCCACATATGTGCAAGGCTGTGAAGAAGTTTGAGATACAAAATCTAAAAATAAAACAAAAAAAATCTTGTCAGATTGTCAAACAATGAAGTGATGCTTGGTAACACACAGAGAGGAACATTCCGGTCCTTATTTAGTACCTTTTTTTATTTCCTTTCAATACCAAACTGGCTAAAATCCAATTTAACACGGTGAACATCTTAATGAACGTATTTGCATACATCTTTGCCTCCGCAGCACTCAATCATTGTCGGTTTCCCACCAGTCGGATGCATATGTTCTTCATTGCGTGGAAATAAATTGGTTGTGTACATCCATCCCTCTACTCGCTGACCCTTGTCGGCCTCAACGTGAATTGCTTTTGTGGCGTGTTAAACGAGCCGTGGCCGTGTTGGCGTTTCCCTGCGCGCGGCGGACCGGCTCTCTAATCCGCTGCCTGCCACAGTTGTGTCACACACCAGCCATTGTGGAGGCTGTGATTGAAGACGCCTGATCTGACTAACTGATCCCTGGCCGGCACGCGGGCGAGGTCGGGGATGTGGGAATTGGCAGTGGAGTCACATCGCTGGCATCGAGCCAAATCACGGCGTTGAGATTCAGGAGGAGCGCCGCTTTGTTGTGAGGAGGCAATATTGACGGATGGTGTGCAAGAAATTCTAGATGATTTTAGGTGTGTTAAGTAAATAAAAAATGGATTTTACAATGCCTTTCTTTTCTTTTAAACCGTTTTTTTTTTAAACCTCGTAAATTAGCAACCACGGAATGATTGTCAAAAGTACATTTAGAACATCATTTGGCAGTGAGGTGGCAATTACAGGGCCGAATAAATCCTTGAATATTCAGACAACAATTTAAGTGCAACTTTTCATTAGAATTGAACTGGGTCAGAACATCTTCATCTTCAAAGCATCATGTGATTCCACTGTGAGTAATTGTATTGAAAAAAACATCAATCCCACTATTACAAGGTGAATGGATGAAAAAATGTTTTAATTACTAAAACTTGAAAAAAGGGTTTAAAAACATTCTCGAATGCCATTGGCAATAACATTTGCTTATGCTTATAGTGTTTTGGTCATAGCAAAACACTACTTGTTAACAACCTCCATCAGATGAAAATAAGAAATGTTCTACTAAATCCTTAAACTGTTTAAATTTGTCTACGAATGTCAACGCCCAAACCCAAGCAGAGATGCAATAACGTTGACTAAGATGGAAACAAATATTTTTAGAATCGGATAAGAAGAATATGATTTCTTTAAGTCATTGACAAAGTTTACAATAATCTGTGCTTTAGACACATTTTCTTTGGTAACAAAAAGTACATCCCATCGATATGAACACATTTAGACGTGTGAGTCCCGTCGGCCTCTCTTTGTTTAAATAGTCATCAGACTGACTTGTTGAAAACTGACAGTAGGTCTCCCCACACACTCAGACCCCTGACATCAAAGTCTCCATCAGACATTTTCAAAGCATTTAGCTCTTCTTCTACATCCACCCTCACGGAGGGACAGGTCTCAAACAAGCCCAAAAAGTGCTCAGTCAGTCTGTCGAAGGACACTGTTGGGTTTCTTCTGGTTTGAATCCATTCACCCTCACTTAGGCTGTACTCCATATCAGATGCCCACTTTTTCAGCAGATCACAGAATGCATCTCTAAATTTCGGCTGTTTTTTGGTCAGCTCTATGATGAGTGCAGAGGGCAGAGAAGAACACATTTGCTCCAGCACACTTTGTTCCTTCTGCAGCCAGTCCAAGAGAAAGTCCTGCGAAGAGTTCTTCTTCATCAGCAGAGCCGCAGCGATGACCACACAGAAATGTCCTGCTGCTCCTTCAAATCCCTGCGGGACGGAGTCTAAAATGTGCCGGGCTTCACCGCCTCGGCTCAGCAGAGCACCCAACCGCTCCATCAGCATCTCCGCCTGCACCTCAGCATCAGCACCAACAGCTGACGAGTCTGCGAGAGGACTCAGGACCTTACAGGCGGATTTGCATTGAATGATGCGGCTGCAGTAGCCGGTGACCTCCTGGTACTCACTCTGCTCGGCGTCAAAGAGGATCTTCATGACGGAGATGGGCAGCTGAGGATTCTTCAACAGCCCAACGAGCAACAAGTGCTGACACCGGTAGAGGTCCGAGAAGGAGACGTCACCGTATCCCGCGAAGGCGGCTCGCAGACCGTGGTTCGTAACCCGCAGCTGCTTCTCTATAACCCTCCTTATCGCGGGGTTGTCGTGGAACCTGCGACAAAGATGCTCGCAGTAGCGGGCCCATTGAAAAGCTCTGGACACAGTCGGTTCCTCCCATCGCTCCACCTCGCCGCTCAGGCTCGCCACCGCCAGCAGCTCCGCGGTGCCCGCCACGTTTTTGAGCACCGCCTCCATGGGGCGCTCTCGGCTCTCCGCAACCACAGTTCGGCCTGCGAGAGCTGCGGCCGAGGGGGAGAGACACGACGCAGCTAAGCTAAACGTTTCAACTGTCTACTGACACCAACAAAGAGCAAAACGTTGACTTGAATGGGCTAGCATGCGGGCTAAAAGCCGGTTAGCTGATGTTGACTGTTGGCACAACGCTTCCGGTGGAAAGTTTCAAACCAAAGTATTTTGACGAATGCTGTTTTTTTATCCAACGTTACTCGAACTAAACGAACCAAATTAAACCCAACAAACCAAATTCATAATTAGAAGAAAACATGCTCACGTATGTTTTTTCTTTGCTCGCGTACGCCGGCAGCTTGTTTGTCCCGCTTGTTCTACTGCGCATGCGTTCTCAATGCTAAACTTTGGCGATTTGTCAATTCCTTCAAAATAAAAGCAGAGTTTCACACCGATAACACGCACAAAAAGTGCACAATTGAGCTAAGCAAAACTTTGGGATTTTCTATCCGTTGTGTGATATTTTCTATCGTATGTATTGTATTCTCTAGATCACATCAATGTTGTTGTAAAAATAAAGGGATATAGATAAAATAAACGGTATTTGCTGATAACAGAGCAATATATGTATATGTTTGTGGTTCTCTTCTCTAATTTTGTGATTTATGAATAAAACCTAAATCCTGTCATTACAATGTTGTATTCACCACTAACATTTGATACGATCAGGGTCTGTCAGTTGGATATGATTGCATGGGCACAAAGAAGGAGATCCATTTAATTGAAGGAGGGTTGTATTTCTTGTTCTGACTGGCTGAATGAGGTCCAGAAATGTCATAATGAGGCAACACAAAGCGGAGCGAGGAATGGGGTTTGGCAGCAGCATAAAAACTTCCCTCCCATCAGCATCCGCAGCGCGAGTTCATGTGAGCGTCTGTGTGTGTGTGTGTGCAGTCAGGTTATTGTGCAAATGCGCAGTGGTGCACATTGGTTCAGTGTTTCGCAGCCCAACCTGTGGGTCGGTGCACCGCGGTGAAAAGCATGCAAACTGGGGTCCAGCAGCTCTCAGGACGAGTGAGAGGAAGGTGCGCAGCGACCAGCTGAACCCGCAGGGCGAGCACAGGTAAGGAGCCCTTTAGGACTCATGCAAAGGTATTTGTGCTGCTTTTCTGTTACCAAAGATACTACAGACGTGTTTTGTCTTTTTTAGGTTTGGGAGTGTAACTTGCTCTTTTTCTCGCAGGGGGGGGGGGGGGGGGGGGGGTTTTAATGGTTTTAAAAGTGAGGAGCCCCCAGTTTATTGGAAGGTTCAAGTGTTTAATTAGTGCAGTGCTCCTCTGAGTTCAGTCATAAGTCATCATTCTATTCCCAGAGTGGGAAACTGTCTGTGGCGGCCGGTTCTATTTGTGACAGCCTTAAAGAAGGAGGCAGCTTTAAAATCGAATAACAACTGTAAACAAAATGAGCAGATTTAAGAGGCGCAGATGCAACAGTCCAAAAGTAATTTATTAACTTCAGGAAAAAGAGAAACAGTGTGGTGCAGGAATAAGTGTTCTGGACATGTTGTCTGTCTGAGTGGAAGTTTGCCTCTTGTGAAAAGTGAAATAACACAGAGGTCCCCCATTTGTTACATTTGGAGATGATTTAGAGTAAAAATATTTTTTTTGACACATTGCGGTAGTAAGACAGTAACTGTTGGATAGGAAGACATCATAATAAACACACTTTGTAGGCTTATTGTATTGTTGATGTTACAACACAGGTAAAATAAAAACACAGGTGATATTTTCCGCTGAAGATTTCTTACTTAAATGATTGCAGTTGATGAACAATCGGACATCTGAAAGAAGCAACACAGTTCACATCTGTAGCAGGAACATTTTCTTTGAATAAATGGACAAATCAGTCTCCAGATCAGTTTACTGTCGTAGTGGAGGAAGTCATGAAGCGCTGTGAGGGTGAGGAGGACAGAGCCTCTCTTGTTTTTTTTTCTAATCGATGTGATTCAGCAGTCGGACTTCCCATCCGTATGCCTTTCCTCCAGCAATCTGCTGGTTATGACGGCTCCACTGAAGCCATGAGCCTTCAGACCGAGACGGTGTTTTATATCTCCAACCTAATATCGCTGGGCTATAAAATGTGTTTTAGAATCTGAATATGAAAAATAACACGAAACAGCAGGTCCAGCAGATGTTCCATGCTACACGAAGCCTACTGGCTGGTGGGGGGGCGGGTGGTAAGGCGGGGTTGGCTGTGTGAGTGGATGGGGTCAAGCTACAGTGTGGTGATAGGAAACCAAGTTTAACAACAGTTTAACGACAGCTTGTTGAGACTTTCCGGGGAAAGAGAGAGAGAACCATGAAGGTAATCCCTTTGAGAACAATACATCTTTTGAATTAGGAACGTTGTTCATTGACGGATGTTCACTCCAATGCATTTTTAATTTATATAAGTCCCAGGTGAAAGTTGGATGCAAAATAAATATAATAATATATTCAATACAACCAGTGAAAATATGGAAGACACCTTTTTACTGTGCTATGTTACCCATTGACAGACATGTCAAATACAAATATGTTATCCTCAGCAGTGAATAGCTTGTGCTGTGAGACACGACAAGTTGTCCCGGTGTCCACCGGCCTGCACCACAGTGCACGTGTGAATGTAGCACCTGTGTGTGAGTGCTGAGCTCCGGAGTTTTGTGTTTGTAAGAAACATGGCGCTCTCGTCTTCGGGATGATAAGACCACCTCGGTCGGACATCGAGGTCCCGATGTGCAGCGCGGCACCGCGGTGTGATTTGCTTACGGCCGACCCCAGAGGGACCTTGAAGTGTTACAAAGCTTTAAAGGTCAGATTCCTCACATTGTGTCACACTCCCTCGGCATTCAGAGGACATTTTCAGCACAGACTACGAACTAATTGTTCATTGAAGCTTGCCTGCCTTCGTCGTTTGAATGAGCTCTTCTTCTTATTTGCATCGTATATCCTGTTGCTATTTGCCTACCGTGTAAAATGTTCCCGCTTGCATCAAAGCCGGAGGAAAAAACCTTTTTAGATGCAACAATTTCATCACAAGGAGGGGATTAAACTTTCTGTTTCTTTAATGAAGCCCGGAAGAATAATTTAGTGAAGACGAAGAAACAGAATCACATTGATTAGCATCAGTCATCTATCTTGAGAAGTTTAACAATAGAAAACCTCTAGAAGAACCCGATATTTAAACTATCGTGTATTTTATCTGATGTCTTTCTTCCCGACTTCCTGAAAAGGATGTCCACGCATTCTGCCGTTGCATGTCAGCTCTGGCTCCTCTGGTTCACACTTGTTTTGTCCGTTACTCACAAATACACTAGTGGAGCCACATCGCATTGAAATAAGAAAACATTTGAACATTTTAGCTCAGACATTGAACGCCTGGCCCACTGTAGCACCGGACTGTAAGAACTGGTCTCATTAAGTCATCGACAATTCCCAAGCTGTGACTTGATGTTAAAATGTTGCCTGAATATAGACGTCAAATCCAGTCTCCCCATCACACGTAAGGCCTGCTGCAGTGTCTGATGGACTGGTTCGGTAATCTGAAGGAGCTCTTTGTCTGTTGTTGGTTGGATAGGAGTCCTATTGTATGCGTCTGTCTGGAATAAAAGCATCTGTTGTCTGGCGAGAAGGTGGACAGGAGCCTTGCTGTCTCGTGTCATCAGGTGGAATGAAAACCGAAGCAGGTTTCAGCCGAGAGGACAAAAGCTTTCTGATCCGTTGTCTCTTGCATTCATGTGATCGTCCTCCTCTTGGGCCTGAATGACAGCTGTTATTTGCGAATATAGACATGATGATTTAGATGTTTACACATCTTTATTTCCATAAATAGTGAGTGAATAATCATAATAACATATCAGTATATTGATGTATATCATCATTGTATATAAGGTATTAAGAACTTGTTGGTTTCTTCAGAGCTAAAATTTAAGTATCTATTAGAGCAGTTTTACATTGTCGATATTTGGAGACTCCAGACTGTTGGTTGGTCTAAAAAATACAATTGAAGATGTTTCTCCATATTCTATTGAGCGGGTAATTAGTCTGGAAAATAATCTGCAGATGAATCGTTCATGAAAATAAATATAAATTGCAGACCTGATCCAGAAATACTTTTCAGCAAATGCATTTTAGTACACGATACATATAAGCCCATATTGTATGTTACAAGCATTTTTTACACATTCATCTATGTACATGATACATACCTGACGTGCACAGGTTGGACACACCTATTTTTAAAAAACAGTTTAAAGTAACACTAACCGACGCAAAAATTGTAGCCTGGGAATGTAGTTGAATCAACGCCTGTCACAACATTATAGACTTGACATTTGAGGCGTGGATTGTAGATCCAGATTGATTTTCATGACAGTCCATAGAGACATCCTGTATGTGCAAACATTGAAGATTCACATTGTGTCTCTATCTGCATCCTCTTTGTTTTTCCTGTCCTTCCTCAGGCCGTCAAAAGGGAACCATGTGCAGCTTCCTGAGCCCCAAACAGCCCAGTGGCCCCGGCCTCACAGACATGCAACAGTATCAGCAGTGGCTGGCCAGTCGACATGAAGCCAGCCTGCTGCCCATGAAGGAGGACCTGGCCCTGTGGCTAACTAATATTCTCGGTAGGAAACACTCATAATCAACACATGACACGTCTGGCTACTAATAATAATAACAAGTTGTATGAAAAGAATGTCTTCTACCTCAGTTATTCATTTCACACTTGATATTTTCTGCAAACAAATGCAAAGTGCTGTTGCTGATTTATTCCAAACGCTGCTCTAAAAAATATCCTGGCTTTGAATTGTCTAACCTTCAGCATTAATTGAACTGGTATTGCAAACACCTCTGCAGTGGACTGGAATCAATTTGAACCTCATTACAAACATTTTAAAGTCGGTTGAATTTGTGAACCGGTTCTCTGTTCACCCTCCCATCGATTTTCCTTAATTGAATAATGGCCATCATTAGGAGTTCTCAAATAATGCACAGCAAGCGGTGGAGAATAAGCAGCAGGGGCTTTGTGCAGGGTTGCTATTGCATCATCAATCCCCCTTTGCGGTGTTCTTCTTCAAGGGAGCAGTCGCAAAACAAATGTTAATTTCATTTGAATTTAGAGACTCAAATTGAAATGCAGAAAAGTTTCCTCTTAACACACCATAGTCTCAGTATGGGTTACGCAATATGGTTTGTAATGGGGGGAAAAAAACAATATTCGGGTTTCACCAGTAACCAACCAGTGCCCACACAAAAATTGACCGGTAAAACCGCTGCTTACGATTCGTCCTTCACCAGAGTTTATGTCAATGCCATTCTAAGCAACTGTTGGTTAGAAAAAAAGTTTGTGTGTGTATAGAGAGAGTGTATAATCTGCTGATGGCCCTCCGTGTGTGAAGCTTTTCTTTCTTTCTTTCGAAGTACTTGCAAGCTGCACTTGATTCCCCTTTTGTCTTTGAACGACCCCACGGGACATTCTGCAGTCTGTAAACACTCCAAAAACAATTTCTCAAATCAACTGGAAGCCGGTTAAGCTTCTGGAACTGACTCCTGTGTGTGTGTGTGTGTGTGTGTGCAAACTACTTAAAACAACTTCAGTTTTAGTTATCGCTGGCAGCCTGCGTGTTTTCGCTCCAACCGGTTGACCTAGAAAGTCTTCTGTTGTGAGCGAACGAGGACCAAAAAGACTTCAGAAGCATGAACATCCACATGTTTGCAGTAACTGTTGAACCAGTTTGTTGGCTTGAACCGTGTCCTGTGTGTTCAGCGCCTTGTAGTTCTGAGAGAGAAGGCGCTGATATGCTTGGCAGGGTTTACAGCTCCAGGTGGGCTGAGTGATGCGGCAAAACGAGGCCACTGATTGAGTGGGAGGTGGACGCTTGGTTGTACTGATGAGTCATATCGCTGTCATGGTGGGGGTTTGAAAGAACTGAGCAACTTATGGGAGTAAGTATTTTGGTGAAATTGTTTCTCTCAGAGCCCTCTGGAGTATATTTCCCTCACGAGAGGATCGAGGGAGATTCTATAAGACAGGAGCTCACTGAGTATTTCTCAAGATTTCAATCTTTCTTTTCTGGGTTCAATTACAACATTTGGAACTCATTAAACGTCGAAGCCCGAAGACCCCTCCTCCCATAAGAAACAGAAAAGGGATTTTTAAAAAAAAGCAGAAAATCTCTCGGGTTTCTTTCCACAGACACCCCCCTGCAGCCACCTCCTATTTTGCAATGATCTAACTACGAAGGAATGGTCCTCTGGAAACCAGTCAACTGGACACCACATGTTGATCACTAATCTATGCAGGATAACAAGGCATAATGTGCACAGTCCTTGCGACTTTGTCTTTGCCATTACCCGGTGTACCCCCCCCCCCCCCCCGCCTTCTTTCCCCCCTCACCAGATTCCCCCAAGCCATGTTGTAATATGTGAACATTTGGCTGCTTAAACCCAGCAGCGAAAGCCAAGTACAATCAGTCGGGCCATTTCTGGGAGTCAATAACGTTGCATCAGGTTCAGCTTTGACTGAGAAAGGATGGAGAATAAATTGTATTTCTTTATACTGCACATCAATTTAAAAACGAGCATTAGCCTGTTGAATTTATTGCTGAGTTCTTTGCTTTCTTTATGTGTCCCCTGGTCAGGTCTGGAAATCACCGCCGAGAGTTTCATGGATTGCTTAGACAATGGCTTCCTGTTGTGCCAGCTGGCTGAGACACTACAGAAGAAGTTCAGGCAAAACGATGGAGAGCTGCCTGCCTGTGGAAATAGCAAGGTACCGAGAAACCTGATGATCACTGCAATTTGGCACGATGACGTCCATCGGGAAAACCCGAATCTGGGAGCCAATCCTAATAGTGTTCAACGATTCGACGTATTCAGCACATTGATGTCATCATTTTGACGGACAATCACTGTGGCAACAATCCTCCTGCTTGATTAGACATTTAATGACTTTTACTAATTCTTTAAAGTTAGTAACACCATCATCATCAAAACATATGAAAGTACAACAATACACTGCAAATTGAAGTACTCTTCTTTTATTTTACCCTATATAACGTCTCACAAAACAAACAAAAGGTATCGCAGCGTGACAATAAAAAGGCTCTAAAATTAGTGAAAGATTATGGAATTGTTGACACTATTTCCTAGGAGAAAAGAAAAATAATGGAGCTGGGCACTTGTTGTTCTGTCCACTCGCTCCTGGCGCATTGAAAAAACACAATGGAATCAAGTGAACACAATGAAATAAAGTCCCCCTGACTTTAGTGTTCTGTATCAATTTTCTGTTATTGTTATTAAATCGGATGATTTCATCGGATCAATTAGATCAATCAAAGCTACACCGATAGAGTTCCTCCCATCTCAAAGAGATATTGACCATTGAAAGGTAACACGGCGAGACCCTCTAGAACCATATCTGATGTCTAACATATAGGTCTTTCTTGTTGATTGGTATGTCGGCTCGGCAGCGACCACGAATCCCGTTGCGGGGAGCTCCATGATTTCAGAAAGCAGTGCTAAAAGGGTGGGGGTCGGGGTCGGGGGGTGGGGGATGGGGGCTTGCAGCCTTCAGCGGGGCAAAAAAAGAAAGGAAGAAAAAATAAGGGCTGGCGAGGACACATTAACTGATGGGGCCCCACATCCCCTGTGCGCATTGGCAGACCTGCTTTAAATGTTCATTTCTGGTGAGCCTTGCGTGAGGCTTTAATGACTTTTAAAAGATTAAAGGGAACCTCTCATGTCGTAATCGGATATTTCACTGGATCACTGCTCAGGAAAACAAACCGATCAGAGTGTACATTTTTAAATTGGATCAGCTTCAGAGCTACTGCAAAGAAGGTTTGATGTCTTTCAGTTAATAGAAATGTTGCCCCTGTACATCCCACTTGTGCCCAGTCGGTAGACGTCCACTTTCACACTGTTTAGCAAACGTTTTCTCGATAAGCCTTCAAAACTAAAACGTTTCCGGCGCTTAGTGTGACAAAAGCCTCATCTTGCAGACATGCAGACAATTGACATTATCTGTAGTTTCTCGATGTCTCTGTACTTTCTATATCTCCAACGAAGGGAAACGCAGAGGAGAGGAAAGAAGAGACTCCTGTGTTGGCTCTTGAGAGAGTTGTTGATGTCTGCGCTGCCGCGGCATTACTGCGCTGATGACGATGAGTCTCCTGATCTCAGTGTGAGCGCAGCGGCACAGATGAGAGGAAATACTTGAGGTCAGCGACCGTGAGACGGCAGAGGATCCGCTGAAATAGTCTATTGATCATCGAGAGGGATAAAGTGTCCCTGAGGCTGAAAGAGGCGAGAGAGGTCTATTGTGATGCACAACTCAGGCTTAAGCTCAAACAAAGTTGCACGGTGTTTCATGCCTGCAGCTCACATTATGCACTTTCTGCATTTGCCCGATGACGTACAACGTATGTCGTCTTGTGTCATTTCGTTCTCCCAACAAAAGCTTTGTTTATCAGAGCTCTCTGTAATGAGCAGTAGTTGTTTACTGTTTCAGTTGACCACTTTAAAGAACGTTCATCTGCTTTAAAAGTCTGCTTCATAACTTGTGGGTGGAGTGGGACTAAACGATTCCAGCAGAGAGAAACAATAAATTCCTTTGTGGAAGCTGTCTCTTGCAAATCTTCCCACATATGCAGATGATGTTTCGTTATTGTTTCAACGATAGTTAGGTGCCAGGTTCGATTACACAACCTTGCCAACTGTTACAATTGTTACTGCGCTAACAAAATGTAAAGGAAACGTTCAGCTTTTTAAGAAACGGGCTCATCTAGCAACCATTCCCGTATCTGTCCACATAATTTAAATAAGTAAGCGCAAAAAAATGGAACCAGCCCGGTTCTGTCCAAAGTGAACAAAGTCCTCTTACGGACACCTCTAAAGTTCACTAATAAGCGCTTATTTTAAACCTACAAAACCAGGGTGTAAAAACTATTTCTTGGACTATTGTGAGGCCACCAGGAGATGCTCCAGGAAGTTACTGAGCTGGAAATAGTTTGACACATAACCCCCAAAGCTTTGGAGGAGCTGGTAGGGGGATTTAAACTGTTGAACAGAACTGTTCCCCCCTTTTTAAAGTCTTAAGGCTTTACTAAAATAACTGGTGGTATGATCTCCTCAACTAACTCTCAACAAAAAGTGCAAGTAAGCCCATTGGAATAGTTATTAGTGCATGTGCAGCCATGAAAGTAGAGATACATAAATCATTCAGAATCTTTCTGGTTGAAAGAAAAGTATTTTTACTTCCCACATCCTTATTGTTCATCTTTTATTCTCCAACACATAATGCATTCCAAAGGTTCTGCACCTTCTGTGCAGTTATTCGATATTTAAAGGTGCATATCAGCCTCGCAGAAATAACAACATGTCATTCTGATGTTGGATCAAGCAAAACTGGCAATGTGGTCAACATTATTTCTGCAGGAATGCAAAGTAGTTCAACAACAGAACGAGTCCCAGAAAAAAAAAAAGTCAAAAGGAGAGCCTGGAAAGAAATGAAAAATACCCGCAAAAGCCTGCATATTTCCACCATGAGGTCATTGCACCTTTCTTATAGCACAGACACACATATCCTGTATAAAACCACAGCAAGCCACATAAATCCCCCCGAACAAACCGTGTGGGGGCTGAAACCTTTAAGCGTGTTATTTGATCCTGAGTCACAGAAAGCCTGGTAAAGTAGCTCCATTTTCTTACCCGCCATCCACTGTATTGATCTTTGTTGAAAAGGTTCTAGACCCTGAGCCCAAAGCAGCAGATGGAGAAGAAATCAGCGTAGATAAAAAGTGTGTTTTGGTGGAAACTCTGCGGGGGGGTGGGGGGATGTTCTGGACAAGGCACCCTGGTGGATATTTGTTTTTGCTTTGTCAAACACAAAATAAAACGTCATATTCAGCTTGGTGTCCAAGCACTCATCCCAGACTCATGTGCGTGTAGTGTGCATGAAGACATCTACTAACACTCCCATTGCCTCCAGCAGAGTATTCCCTGCCGGAGGATACCGTGTCGGCAGAGCGCTCCCTCCGGTTCCTTTTTCGCACGAGACAACACGGCTAACTTCCTGACCTGGTGTCGTATGGTTGGAGTTGGAGAAACATGTCTGTTTGAGTCAGAGGATTTAGGTGAGCATACTCTTTCTCTGAAGATGCAAACGTTTGACAGACAGGGGAGCCTACAGACAGGCTGCAGATACCGCGCAGCCTGCGTCCGGCTTGCCACCGTGGTATTCAGGGCTCCATCTCACGTGGATGGCGTGACTGTGCGGGTAGAGTATCACGCAGGTTGGGCTGCTTCTCTCTCTCTCTCCTCCCTCCTGAAGCTCGGAGAACTCGGCACCCTCAATCTTCTCTTCGACCTCTAACCCGCATTCGGACGAAGCTCGCTAGGGCCGCAGTCTGCTGGGGGCAGCTGTACCCGACGATGAGGAAATGCGGCACTCGTGCACACAGCGTCTGGAGTTAAACAAGCGGAGCACAGGCAGGAGGGTGTGAGTTAGAGAGAAAGTAGGCCAACGCTATGCAAATGTGTTCCTCAGCCCCGAGTGGGGACTTTCTGCTCTCTTCCTCATTCACACACAATAACTGTGTTATCTACATCCCTCTAATCTATTGCAAGGATTTTTCGCACATTATGTCACTGGAACATACTTGCAGTGAAAATATGCCTGGACTGAAACATTCTCCTTAAAATTGGATACACAGAATGTGACCCTGCCAGTAAAAGAAATACATAGAATATCTGTACATTCTTGTAATTTATTTCTAATGGCTGCTCGACCATCGCTAAGCAATTTCCACTATGCAAGTCATTTCTGAAGGCCAACTCATGCACACAGTGAATTACAAACTCTGCACCCTTACATGTGGTGGACGTGTAATTGTGAAAAAAAATTGTACTGTAAATACTTTAGATATCAGCTGACTTCTTTCTTTCTTTTTCTGTCTGCTGATATTTCTCCGGATGGATTTATCAGTTCAGCAGTAGATGAAACACCATCAGGTTTGCTATCTTAGCAGTAGATATTGTGTCTTTAATGCATGACGTGGTGTCTCACGTGTATGAACATCTTGTCTCACTGTCTGGTCATCTATAAAAAACACCTTAAACTTAGTAAAGAAACTGTGAGTCTGAAAAGAATACGCTCATTTGGGACAATCAGTGTTGGAGAGGAGATAAACATTTGAATGCATGAAGTTCATGACTCCATTTTTACCTTCATCTCACCATCACACAGTCGCATTTCTCACTCATTAAACGTGTTGAATGCTAAAACTGAATCTCTTCCTGTAGTTCTTCACAAGCAGCCACGAGAAGTGTGCCTCTGTCTTTTAGAGTTGGGACGGATAGCTTCACGGTACGGACTTGCTTTTTACGCAATATTTATTTTTCCTTCACACCTCCAAAATGCTTCTTCCGATATCTTATATATATAAGATTATATATATATATATATATATATATATATATATATATATATATATATATATATATATATATATATATAATCGGAATCTTCCATTTACAGAAGGACACTGCTCTTTGTTTCCTTGCACTAGTTACAACGTGGAGCCTCCTGCCCTTATTCAACTGGAGAAAGAGATTGAACAGGAAGAAAAATCACCTCCACCACCTCCATCACCTGTATCTCCAGCTCAGCCCCCGCCTCCGTCACCCCCCACATCTCCCTCCCCTTCTCCGACTCCTCCCAAAGTCAGTTCCTGTAAAAAAAGTACAGGGAAGCTGTTGGACGAGGCTGTAAGTAAACAGTGGCGAACCCCCAGTTTCTGCTTTTCAAGGAGGGAAATGTCTTTAATATATTGTTGTGTTTTACAGGTCAGACATATCGCTGATGATCCTCCCTGTAGATGTCTGAACAAATTCTGCGTAGAGCGACAGTCACAGGGTCGATACCGCGTCGGGGAGAAGATGCTTTTCATCAGGGTACGTTTGTTAAACAATGAGGACATTTCTGCAGCATTCAGTATCAAATCCTAAGTATCCAAAGTCTTTGCATAGTTAAATGTAAGAAGAATAAGGATAAGTTGGAGGTATATATCTATACATTAATTAACCATTTAACGGATTTATCCATTTAAGAGCACTAAAATAAGTTCAAATTAACTTCATTCTAAGCAGGTCCAACAAAAAATATAAACGTTGTTAAGGAAAAAACCCTGACATGGATCTGTCTAATGAGTACATTTACATACAAAATCATGTCTATGTACTAAAGAATCTCTGTGCTTTTCATTTGAATGAATACTCCCCTCCCGCTTCTACTGTGCTTTGTGTATTGTTTGCTAATTATATCATTAGAAGCATAACAAATCTATTCTGCAGGACATAAGTTACCACAAATGGTGGATGAACGCAGTAAAATATAATCAGCCTGTGCTAATAATCAAGCTAAGTGCTGGAATCGTTTGAATTTTTTAATATGGCTCATTAGTTTCATTGGGTTAATATATATTTAAGAACACAACACAAGGAGAGGAACAAATCAGTTTGTGGTGGATAACCACAAGGTCCTACGTTGCAGTGCAGACCTCTCTATGCACACAGCATGTGGCGGTGTGTTGATACTGGGGACCGGCGTTGGGATGAAGGTAAACCATTGTGTCTGGAGAGCCCGCCTCTGCCGTGAGGTCTGTGGTATTCCGACAATGTCCATCTTCAGCCAAACATAACTTGGCTCACTGGCTGTTAAGGGAAAATAACACCCACATATTTCCATATGATCTGAAGTTAATGCCTGGAAAATATTTTACTAAGCTTTATCGCCTATTAATTACGTTCTATAGTCACATTGCATCTATCGGCCAAGGAAATGTTCCTGGACTCTGTCTGAGTGGAAGGATGAAGGATACTGGAGGAGGATAAATGGAGGCTAACGCAGATTAGAGAAGTAGCGTTGGTCCCCTTGGGATTCTGGTTACTTGGCAACCAACAACCAGAATTCACACCTCCGAGAATGTGATTCATGCCCACGGTTTGTTTCGGATGTGGAGACGTTCAGAAGAGAGGTTACTCTTGGATGTCCTCTGCTGTCTGCACATCGTACCGCAACCGCTAATGTCAAATGTCAAGCGAGTCGTATTGATTTTAGGGTGTGGATGAACAACACTTTTTTTTATATACTAGTGACAATTTAAATGTCCTCCCATAACAACATGGGGGAATGAGAATATTTATCATCATTTAAAGGCTTTCGGGTGCACGATGCTTCAGTCTACTTTGTGTTGCTGAGCAACCAAGGACAGATGGTGAGTGTTTAATCCTCACCATCATCCATGTCTGTTCAAGTCGATTTTATTCATTTGGACCAAACCACACATTTGTATGAAATGGCTGTATAACTCCATCGTAAATGAACATTCAGTTCTGCTCTTTTATTTATTTCTTGAGTGCTTTTTCTACACAGTTCTATTACATTGACTAGTTTAGTGTTTTCTTTATGTAATTGAAACGATACAAATATTTGTTTATCTATGTTTTGTGTGTATAGTGTGGAGGGACTACAACTGCATTTGTACAACACTGCATTGTCTGTTGACAATAGAGCGGAACCTTGAGCCGTTCCAATTTGTAGAGCGTGAAAATGCTTGAATTAAACTTCGCCAGACGCTTTGGCAGCTGGTTCCACTGAAAAGGCATGAGGACAGAAAGTCCAAGTCCCCGGCTGTAGGCAGTGAGGACAACGGTGGCATGCAGCCCATTTAAGAGTGTACACCAGCGACCTGAGAGAGTGACCTTCTCAGCTCCTTGAATAAACGAGGAGGTTTGTATAGGCTGAACGAGGGGGCCGAGTAACATCGCAGTGTTTGTGTCCGAGCTCTGCCTCGGGCCGCCGTCCTTCTCCGCGCTGCAGAGGGGGCAATGGGCTTGAGCAAGGGTCTTGTCCCAAAGCGTGATTGAAACCCCTCTGCATCACACAGGTCCATTAAATCCACAGTGACAAAGCCTGAAGGCCTGGTCCTGGATATTGGAGGCACTGCCCCACCGGAGCCCTCTTGATTGATTATTTTAAGAGGCTTATAAATGTTGCATGTTATGCCTTGAGGGAAGAAAGCCTCGTATCTGGCCAGATCTCATGAGGTAGGCTTATACTTTGACATCTGTGTAAATTATTCACATGCAGTTTGTGTTTCTGAACCAAAATATAGCACCCTCGTGGTGTTGATGATGATCTGTTCATATACCTCCATGTGAATAGGGCCCTCTGTTGTTTTATTAGAGGTGTAATGTTGTGTTAATGAGGTAAGGGGGGTGATAAGGCTCCTTAGTGAGGTTGACATTTTATGTGCGCAGCCTCTGGGGAATGTGAGGATCCAATATATGAGAGCCTTTTATATCTTCTTCTCTCTATTGTAATAGCTGAAGTTGCCATGGTACCCAACCTTGGGACAGTGTGGCAGGTGGCATCAAGCAAATGTTGTAGATTTAACACTCAAGGAAATGCTCCATGCTTAAGCAGAGTGTGAACTGTCATTTTTAAGCGTTGTGCTTATCAGTGATGAAAAAGCCATTGTGTGAATATGTTTTAGTCATTCTAACGGTCCCACTGTAAGGATGGCAATGTACAGTAAGTCCTCCATTCTGATCAAGACTAGAATATCTCAACAACTATTACACTGTTACATTTCCTTGTCTCCAAAGATTGTATCTTACCGACTTTGGTGATCCTTTTGTCCAAAGCGACTTACAATAAGGTTAGGTATAATAAGGCACCAGCAGCAGCAAGTTTTCAACATCTGGCTGATGGATTGGCAAAACTTTATACAGATGTCCCTGGTTCCTAATGACTTTGGAGATTCCCCGACCGTTGGTGTATTTCTAGTTTTGAGTGATATACCTCAACGCCTACTGAGTGAACAAGACATTTGTCCCAAAACGTAAGTGTATTCCTGCCTTTAATATAGCGCTATTATCAGTAATTAAAAAAGGAAGATAGAAAAAACCCCCATAAATATATGTATAGAAATACAGATGAAGACATACACAACTAATGGCTTTCCAATCAGCCACAACTGTGTTTAGTGCAAGTTTACAAATTACAGCATGTTAAATAAAGATGGTGAATATGGGAAACACTATTCCTGCTTAGCATTAGCTTGTTAGCATTTTTATGGGGTGCATGTCAGCATGCTGACGTCAGCATTTAGCTGAACACATGCCTGTGGCAAAGTACATAGTTGCGCTATGGACTCTTGGTCTACTTTATTATGTATCCCCCACACATTCGACAGAGTTGAGCCAATCACTCTTTTTATCTGAACGCGGCGTTAGGCGAGAAAGAGATGGAGAAAGCTTCCCTCCAGGGACACCAACCAGCCTGAGGCCTCCAGCATCAATCAACAACCTCTGACATCAAAGCCACGCTCAACTGTTCATTCAACTCCTGCCGGAGAACCAAAGCCTCAATCAGTGAAATGACTTTGGTCCCTTTGAAGGATCAGCAGCCCGTTTTAAGCTCTACTCTGACAGTGACATCAGAAGGGATAACATTATACTACTTCCCTCTGCAGATGCTGCACAACAGGCACGTGATGGTGCGCGTCGGTGGAGGCTGGGAGACGTTTGAGAGCTACCTGCTGAAACACGACCCGTGTCGTATGCTGCAAGTGTCCCGGGTGGAGGGCAAGCCGTCCCCCATCAGCAGCAAGTCCCCCAACATCAAGGACCTGAGCCCCGACAGCTACCTGGTGGTGGCAGCCCACTACCGCAGCAAAAAGTGAAGACTTGAGACGGAAACGGGCCGCGTGTAACGGAGCGGCTTGAAAAAAATGGCAGTCATTACAATATAATCAAAATGAAGTTAATATGGCCCATAGTACCCAGCGGTGTGTGTGTTAAACATTTTATTCTGAATGAGATCAAGGAAGATGTGGAGGTTTTGTGACCCTTTAGAAGCTTGTCACGCCAATTTTCAAAATTGAACTATATATATATATATATATATATGACATAAAAAGCAGAAACTTTGTTGTCCAGACAAATGTACTTAACCAAATATCTACATGGTACTATGTGTAATTTGCTAGCAAAAATGGCCAAATGTGCCCAAGAAACCAAATTTGTCCATAAAATCTTTTTAAAGTTTTTTTTAAGTTTTTTTTCTGTGTATCTTTCTTTATTAGACTAAGAAATTAAAGCAATGCTTAGACTGTCATGTTTAATACTTTTTCTCTGAAATGCATTTTATACTATAATCATCAATTTTTCGTTATTAGGATAGCTGCTGTGTTATATAATGTTAGAACATGGACAATCACCTGTAAAAGATGCAGTCAAACAGGACCTGATTCATTTAGAATTAATAATAGATTCAATTGAGATTTGAGATTCTGCAGTTATTCCATGTGTTGCATGTTATTGATTTCTAGAGTAGTGCAACAATTAGAACTTGATAATGTCCATTTCTTTTTTTTTACAATTATTTCCTACATGATTGTTCAATATATTCATATTATATCTTTAAACATTTCGACCAAAGAAATTCTCATGAATTCCACACAAGTAGCAGAAATGTAATTTTTATTGTAGCAAAAACAGTGGGTTAGATTTCCTGTTCTACAAAATGGCAAAAGCACCGGAACTCCTTTTAGGATCAAGGCTGTAAGAAATGCAGTAAATACTTCACTACGTAGTGTACACACTTCATTTGTTATTTTCCTTCAGTTGCTTTCGCTCTCCGTTTTGGTGAAAAAAATCTCTCCAAACGTTTGAGCGATCATGTTTGCTGCTCACCCAATGCAGGCAAACCATGTGCAAATAGATGAATAAAAGCTTATGTTTGTAATTAGATAACACATTTCAAACAATTTCATTCCAATTAAGGGGGCATCACATCCAGGTTCTGCAAACATTCCAATTCAATGCCAAAAACTCAAATGGTGCAGAGAAAAACCCACAAAGAAGTGCAATAGGCCATGTGCAGAAGTTAAATAGCGGCGTATCCTTGTGCAACTCTTCATTTTTACTGGTTGGAGTGCCTTAGTGTTGTTTTATATTATTCTGCAGTATTATATTGCCTGCTGCATATTTTGTCAAGTATGTGTACGTCATGACTAAGTCTCAAAATGATTGTACAAACACATTCTCATTACAGTCCCCAGAGAAATAATAATCGTATTATTTTGTCTCATCTCAAAAAAGTAACTCGAAGACTGTCGATTAAGATAAAGGTTGCTTGCAAATTTCCTGTGTCTTCCCTGACTTGTCCAAAATGTCAAAACGACTTGTATAAGTTGGCAACAAGTCCTGCTGTTCTGCTCGTCATCACTTCAGTGTTTTGCATAAAGCATGAAAACTGTTTTGGGCTTTTGTCTCATAGTATCATAAATTAGGCAAAAAAGGCTAAGCAGTCCAAACATCTTTCAAGTCATCTTTCAAGCGATACTTCATGTTACGTCAAGGTTTTTATTATCTTGATTTTCAGCCCATCTGCCACTAGAAAAATAAAGTGGAAAATCATCAGAACAATCTTCAAAATTGCTTAAGACATAGTGCTGAATGATCGTATAATATCAGCTGAATCTAGTCATCTGGACACAAAACTAACCTTCAAACCGCCACCGCCACCAGATGCCGGGGTGGTCATCTCCTGCTTTTCAATCTCTTCCTGTTTTTTCTTTTTTCTCTCGACAGCTTCTGGATTTTTGACACCCCTGTATGTTGTCTGAAAAAAAAAAAAAAAGAGTTGAATATATCTAGTCAAAACAGACACCGGCTTCAAGTGTTTTGATTAAAAAAAAGTAGTTTAATATAAATGTTCATTAATATATCTGGGTGATATGTACATATAAACAAGCAGTCTTAAAACCATGCTAAGCGTTTTTAATCAATAGTTACAATAACATTGTCAAAAAAGCACAAAGCTTCTTCCATCAAAAGTAGCAAAGTGGGCATTCCACCGCCACGTTGGGTAATTTAGATAAAGGACGGAGCGGCGAAGTGAAACGCGGCTGTGTGTTAAGGCTCAGTGCTTTCATTTGCTGTACAGAAAGTGTGTCAGAAGATTTGAAAAAAAGGGGAAAATAGTGACTCGGAGCAGAAACGTGTGGTCGGTGAAGCATAAGCCAATCCACCTGGCTGGGAAAGGTTCTCATTCTGGTCCATGTCTACTTACCTTGATACAACACGGCTCTTACGGGTTTGCAAGTGGCTTTTCTGTATAATAAAGAAATGCCTCCACACACTGTTATGCACATCACCTTGGAATATGAAATTGCAGGCTGCACATTTCTTAGTGAACAGATGAATGCAGAATGCAGCCTGAAAACTGCATTCAGGAGGTTATGTTGCATTTTTTATTATTGTTTAGGTGAACTTCTGACATTTTGGAATATTTTGAAGGCAGTGGTGTGTTTTGCTGTTTTATTGAAAACCGTTAAACTGAGAATATAATTCATTTAATATCATCGTGATATAATGTATAGCAAAGCTGATGTATTAGATCACATTGAGCTTGATTGAAGTAATAATATGACAATGTGTTCACTTGCAAATGAACCCACCTCTTTTTGTCTCTTCTCAGCGGCCTCAGCTAACTGTCGTCTCCTTATCTCCTGTTAAAAACAACAACAAGTAACGTTAACTTGTAAACTCCTACTCGGTGGTCAGCAGGCCTCAGTGTAGCTAACGCTAGCTCACCCAGTCAGCTGGGCCTTGAGCATATTCTGGGGCTAAACATGAGCCTATTAAACATTCATTAGTATTATTATTACCTAAAGTAGTAGGGCGTTGGTGACTCATGTCATTTTACACATGGGGCATTTATTTACCTATTGACACGGCTGTAGATTCAACTTTTAGTAAAAAATGAACCTACTGGATCTGGAGTGACAACAACGTCGTCTGCCGCCCCTCCGAGGCACGATAAGCACATCCCCATCCTGGAGGCGTTTTTCCAGGCAGCAAAAGGCAACGTAGAACAATGGTTATCCCTGTCTTGGTTTAGCCTAAACAGCTCAAGCTACCTGGTTAACTTAGCTGGTAAGCCGGTTTTTTAAAACCCCGGGCTGATTGTTGAAGGCAACTGAGGCAAAAGCTTCTACTCCCAACGGCTGTTGCTGGGTTTTCCAGCATGCTAACGCTACCGTTAGCTAACGGCTTCTATTAGCTCACCGCAGCGTTAGCGTTCTAGCTAACGTAAACTACAAGCCCCGCTACTTCCCCGAGCCACCTAAGTTAGTCAGTTCATTATTTCTAGCCACACCTCTTGTTTAATCGCATTGTCATTTTGAAAAATAGCTGTTGGAAAGTTAGACGTCAATGCCAGCTATGTGTCCCTCGAGTTTCTTTTGGACGAAGTTCAGCTGGCTGACGGATCAACGAGGCTATGTTCAAAAACTTTACACACGGCTTTCTGCTAACTATGCAACACACACACACAATGGTTAACAAGCGTTTATTTTCACGTCAGCAATTACAACCACACAAATACAGAACAATACTTCTGTTATACGAATATACTCCATGGCTCATATTCAGTTGCTCGGTGGTCATATCAACGTATTAGTTGACATTTTGCATCAATATGTGTTCGTTGCAGGATATTGAACATAGCCCGGAGTGATGAGTTGACGCTCAAAGCTGGTCCTCTGTTAGCTGATGCAACAGCACCACCTCGAGGCTTAAGGATACATCTAGATCTACAGAAATACTACATTTTATGGTTGGTTTGCAATTTACCTCTAACTAACACAATAAATGCAGAAGGGATCAGACGATCAGTAACATTACCTGATATTCCCATTTTCAACATTGTCCATGGTACTTACAGTTGACTCCACCTGCAAGTGGTTCACAGACTTCCTGTCTGACCGGAAGCAGCACGTGTAGCTGGGCAAACATCTCTCTGCCTCTCGGACCATCAGCATCGGTTCCCTCCAAGGCTGCGTTCTTTCCCCTCTGCTCTTCTCCCTGTGAACCAACAGCTGCACCTCCAGCCATTAGTCCGTCAAGCTCCTGAAGTCTGCGGATGACACCACCCTCATTGGACTGATCTCTGGTGGGGATGAGTCTGCCTACAGGTGGGAGTCTGACCATCTGGTGACGTGGTGCAGCCAGAACAACCTGGAGCTCAACGCTCTGAAGACAGTGGAGATGGGTGTGGATTTCAGGAAGAACGCAGTCCCACCTTCGCCCATCACCCTGTGGATTCCTTCCGTTTCCTGTGCTCCATGATCACCCAGGACCTCAAGTGGGTGATGAGGAGCAGGAGGCTGAGGTCCATCAGGACTAAGACCTCCTGCCACACGAACAGTTTCTTCCCGTCGGCAGTCGGGATCATCAACAGAGCCCGGTCCCCCACTGCCTGACTCTGACATCCCACCGGTCACTCCCTTCACACTCCACATGCACATACACTTGTCACTTTCACACACACCCACAACACAGTTGTGTAGAGTATTGTTATCGCTTGTGCACTTTATTTTTAACTTTTATTTTTAATTTAAATTCCTTCTTATCCTCTATTTTTAAATTGTTTATTCTATATCCCCACAGCCTTGCGTTTTTATTTTATACCCTAGAGTCAAATTGTAAAATTGTAAATTGAATATTGTATTTTCTTTATTATGCATTATGTTGTCTGTCTGCTGTTACGCACCAACCACCAAGTCAAATTCCTTGTATGCCTGACATATTTTGGTAATAAATGTTTCGGATGATTCAGGCTACAACACCAAAATAACACGCCGACGCGTGGGCCAATTCACCTTAGTGGTTGTCGATTTTGCAAGTCGACTAATTTCGAAGCCCAACCCGGCTCTCTGTTTTCTCCTGGTTATGCTCTTAATCACGCAGTGGGGACACGTGAGAGCTCCGTGTGATGAATCAGCAGTTGTGTTTCTTCTCTACGATCAATAAACCTGAGAGTTTTAATGTTTTAATGTCCGCTTATTATCCGTCAACGCGTTAAACCCCACCCATCCATCTCCGCTTCTACGCCCGGTCTACTTTCACGGCTCTAAGTGCTGCACTGAGGCCGTGGCAGGTTCAAGAGATTGTGCAGCTTTTCACAAACTTTCTGCTGGGGGACTCGCACTGAAGGCGCAGGTAGACGCGATGGAAGTCCAGGTGTCCCAGGCCCTCGGCAGCTCCTCAGGTAGGTTTCACTCACCTCTCATGGCGACACTTTGAGTTGTAGTTAACCAAGGAATGAAGATGAACCGTTGGGAAAATGAAAAAAACATCGGTTGTTACTACCACCTTTGTGTATTATTTATAAGTGTTTATGCAGACAACGTATTCAAAAGACAACATAAGTAGAAAAAGTACACTTTTGTGCAGCAGTTGACCATTGTATTTATTGGCCATTCATCATACTGTAAAGTCTGCATCTGTAAGTGCGGTTTAGGTTTTATTTATTTTATGAAGGGGCATTTAATGAGAAATGTATGAGGTGGTCACAGCATTTATTTCATCATCCACAGGTCAGGAAAGCAGAGCAGCAATCATCAATCTGAAACATCTGGGGGCAGTGAGTGGGGAGTCAGTTTCATGTATTACATGGATGCTGTGGCTTTTATTAGCTGCTCTAAATCCTCACTGCTGCGGGAAAACATAAGTATGCCCCAACTGTGGTTATGTCCGCACAGCTAATAGGACGGTGTTTCCATCTGTGTAGAGCCGTGTGGAGGATGTTCAGTGGTGTGCAGGGACTCTTGAGAGGGGGAGCGGATTGAGGCGCGGTGGCTTTGTTAGTGTATCAATTCATGTCATTGTAAAGGTTATGAGGAGTCTGGAAGAGGTTTGAATCCTTCGGTTTGTGTAGCCTTACACCAGGTGTTTGGGTCAGTCGTCAGTAGTGAGTAATGTACGATGAGGCCAGTGACTTGTCTTAAGCAGAGAGCGTTCCTGTTGGACGAATAGAAGAGTTTCATGTGAACTTTCCGGGAAGAAAAGGAGGAAAATACTAATTTGTACATTCAAAAAATAATATTCGGCGTCTTGCTGCCAAAGATTCGGTCTAAACAGTTCCGGTAAATAGCTACCACAAGTTTGTCAGTCATTTACCTTTGTGAGGCTCTCCGTGATGTTTGTGGGATTTGCAGGTCCAGTAGAATCTGCTGGAAGTCATAACCCTTATTTTAAATAAATGAAACTTTCACATGCATTGCACTGAGGCATTTCAGCATTTTGTTCTGCTGGAAGAACATTTTATTCTTCACACTTCGAATAAGTGTAGGAGACCTTTAAGTGACCTTATGTGATTAACGCAAGATGTTTAAATGACATTAGGCCCACAGACCAGGTTGGAGTAGCCTTCATGTTATGGAAATACTGCTGTATTGATGCCCTCCAATACACGCCCTTTAGCTTATATGTATTAAAGCGGTAAATACTGATCCCCTTTTATTCAATTAACAAGTTGCTGGAGAAGATGTCCACCTGGCTGCACTCAAACTAAATGCAATTATTATATCAGCTGTGCATATTTCCACTTTGCAAAGTGTTTGTCAACATATATTGATTACATTGTTCCATTTCCTACAGTTATCAATATGTCAAAGATATATGTGTATGGGGTTACCGATATGCAATGTGGCTCCTGTTGTATATTTTCCGATTTAGATTCACACTTTCTTCAAAATCTCATCATACATTGATGAGTTCTTAGCGAGAGAAGAAATAAGTGACGTATTTGTTTGAATAAATAATCATTGGGCCAGGATGTTGAAGCAGGAAGTACCTGCTCATCAATCGATCTATTATCTCCATTATTTTGACGTCCTCGGGACAGTTACTGCACTCAGACTACACGTCTGCAATAGACCGGGCACTTCCAGGGACATTTGTATGAAAAGTCAAACTAATCTCAACAGTTTGAGCTCAACTCTGGGATTCACTCAAATATCATTACATGATATATATATATATATATATATATATATATATATATATATATATATATATATATATATATATATATTTTTTTTTTCCTCCGTGTAACCCCCTCAATTATACATGCTTGTGGTACCAAGTCCCCTAGTAGTAGTGCACAAAGTCAACAGTGCACATAGAAAGCATTGCAATGACGGCATAAAGCAGCATGTTGGTCAGTCACGTGTTGTTCTCTCATGGGCTCCGTTGAGACGTGATGCTGAGGGGAGGCGTTGCCTTTGACCCTGTGGAGCAATGATCACTCCTGAGATATGAAGTGATTCTGATGTTTGGTAAGTCACATGGTTTGGACCCTTGAGTGCAGCCCGCGGGGCCCGAGTCCTCTCCGTCTTAATGGTACCTCATGTATGCATGAGGCACAGAGCGCAGACCGTAAGATTGTAAACAAATTTGAAGTGCATTATTGTATGCTAACTTGGTTTAAGCTAGCCAGTGACCTATTTAAGAGTGGAAGCCTTCACATTATATAATAATGCAATTACTGCAAAACAATGGCCCTGGGGCTTTATTTCAAATCACTAAATATACATTTATTATGTGCATTCAGCTACTTTTTTTTGTCTGCCGCTTTCAATACAAACAAAGTGTGAGCCGATCCGGTGAGTTACACAGCTGGTTACAGCCACTAGCCTTAGTGTTCCACATCAGTGTCAAGTGTCTGACAGTAAAGATGTGTTTAAAAAATGTATGAGCGCAGTAATACGAGAGGGTAGAGAGTAGAGCGCTGCACTGCCGTGATCATATACACATTTTAATGATAATGATAATTCTTTCATTTGACCTTTTTGATGCCGTTCCAAGACCAAGATCACGGTGCTTGTGATAGGAGGCCCTTCTTGAAAACCAACAGAAATACTTTGACAACATGACATTAGCACTGTGGATTTCCCACTTTGATCCTGTTTTGTGTGTGTGCGTGTTTGCAGGATCATGTCACCAGGACACCTGTATGTTCCTGCCTCTGCTGGAGAGGAGCGGTCTGGTCAATCCCACCTCCATCAGCCGCTCTGTGTCCTGGAGCTCCTCGCTGGCCCACAGCTTCCCCTCCGGAGACACGGAGACGGACAGCAACCAACTCTCCGGTGAGTTTTCTCTGATGATCTTGTGAATGAATAACGTCCATCTAAGATCTGCCCGCACTTAGTAGGGACATTGCTGCGTACTTAATGTGTGTAAAGTACCAGGTCAACTGTGAGACGTTACGTTAATTCCTCAATGAATACGGACCATGTTGAGTTTGTGATTAATCCATAATTCAATTTAAAGTGGCAAAACATGTTGGCAATCAATTCATTATTAAATCCATCTACCAAGTAAAACCACCAAATGATTTCAGGCCGCAGCTTCTCGAATGTTTAGAGTCACTGCTTGTCTTTTTATTACATTAAAT